GCGTGTACATACACACACACGCACACGCACACGCACACGCACACGCACACACACACTCACCGTCCGCGACGGCGGCCCGGTCGGCTGCGCGCTGTGCCTCCCAGGCGGCGCGCTCGGCCGTGAGGCGCGCCTGCGCGTGCCGCAGCTCCTCCAGCTGCGCGTCGTGCGTGTACATACACACACACAGCACACGCACACGCACACGCACACGCACACACACTCACCGTCCGCGACGGCGGCCCGGTCGGCTGCGCGCTGTGCCTCCCAGGCGGCGCGCTCGGCCGTGAGGCGCGCCTGCGCGTGCCGCAGCTCCTCCAGCTGCGCGTCGTGCGTGTACATACACACACACGCACACGCACACGCACACGCACACACACACTCACCGTCCGCGACGGCGGCCCGGTCGGCTGCGCGCTGTGCCTCCCAGGCGGCGCGCTCGGCCGTGAGGCGCGCCTGCGCGTGCCGCAGCTCCTCCAGCTGCGCGTCGTGCGTGTACATACACACACACGCACACGCACACGCACACGCACACACACACTCACCGTCCGCGACGGCGGCCCGGTCGGCTGCGCGCTGTGCCTCCCAGGCGGCGCGCTCGGCCGTGAGGCGCGCCTGCGCGTGCCGCAGCTCCTCCAGCTGCGCGTCGTGCGTGTACATACACACACACGCACACGCACACGCACACGCACACGCACACACACGCTCACCGTCCGCGACGGCGGCCCGGTCGGCTGCGCGCTGTGCCTCCCAGGCGGCGCGCTCGGCCGTGAGGCGCGCCTGCGCGTGCCGCAGCTCCTCCAGCTGCGCGTCGTGCGTGTACATACACACACACGCACACGCACACGCACACGCACACGCACACACACACTCACCGTCCGCGACGGCGGCCCGGTCGGCTGCGCGCTGTGCCTCCCAGGCGGCGCGCTCGGCCGTGAGGCGCGCCTGCGCGTGCCGCAGCTCCTCCAGCTGCGCGTCGTGCGTGTACATACACACACACGCACACGCACACGCACACGCACACACACACTCACCGTCCGCGACGGCGGCCCGGTCGGCTGCGCGCTGTGCCTCCCAGGCGGCGCGCTCGGCCGTGAGGCGCGCCTGCGCGTGCCGCAGCTCCTACAGCTGCGCGTCGTGCGTGTACATACACACACACGCACACGCACACGCACACGCACACACACACTCACCGTCCGCGACGGCGGCCCGGTCGGCTGCGCGCTGTGCCTCCCAGGCGGCGCGCTCGGCCGTGAGGCGCGCCTGCGCGTGCCGCAGCTCCTCCAGCTGCGCGTCGTGCGTGTACATACACACACACGCACACGCACACGCACACGCACACACACACTCACCGTCCGCGACGGCGGCCCGGTCGGCTGCGCGCTGTGCCTCCCAGGCGGCGCGCTCGGCCGTGAGGCGCGCCTGCGCGTGCCGCAGCTCCTCCAGCTGCGCGTCGTGCGTGTACATACACACACACGCACACGCACACGCACACGCACACACACACTCACCGTCCGCGACGGCGGCCCGGTCGGCTGCGCGCTGTGCCTCCCAGGCGGCGCGCTCGGCCGTGAGGCGCGCCTGCGCGTGCCGCAGCTCCTCCAGCTGCGCGTCGTGCGTGTACATACACACACACGCACACGCACACGCACACGCACACACACACTCACCGTCCGCGACGGCGGCCCGGTCGGCTGCGCGCTGTGCCTCCCAGGCGGCGCGCTCGGCCGTGAGGCGCGCCTGCGCGTGCCGCAGCTCCTCCAGCTGCGCGTCGTGCGTGTACATACACACACACGCACACGCACACGCACACGCACACACACACTCACCGTCCGCGACGGCGGCCCGGTCGGCTGCGCGCTGTGCCTCCCAGGCGGCGCGCTCGGCCGTGAGGCGCGCCTGCGCGTGCCGCAGCTCCTCCAGCTGCGCGTCGTGCGTGTACATACACACACACGCACACGCACACGCACACGCACACACACACTCACCGTCCGCGACGGCGGCCCGGTCGGCTGCGCGCTGTGCCTCCCAGGCGGCGCGCTCGGCCGTGAGGCGCGCCTGCGCGTGCCGCAGCTCCTCCAGCTGCGCGTCGTGCGTGTACATACACACACACGCACACGCACACGCACACGCACACACACACTCACCGTCCGCGACGGCGGCCCGGTCGGCTGCGCGCTGTGCCTCCCAGGCGGCGCGCTCGGCCGTGAGGCGCGCCTGCGCGTGCCGCAGCTCCTCCAGCTGCGCGTCGTGCGTGTACATACACACACACGCACACGCACACGCACACGCACACACACACTCACCGTCCGCGACGGCGGCCCGGTCGGCTGCGCGCTGTGCCTCCCAGGCGGCGCGCTCGGCCGTGAGGCGCGCCTGCGCGTGCCGCAGCTCCTCCAGCTGCGCGTCGTGCGTGTACATACACACACACGCACACGCACACGCACACGCACACACACACTCACCGTCCGCGACGGCGGCCCGGTCGGCTGCGCGCTGTGCCTCCCAGGCGGCGCGCTCGGCCGTGAGGCGCGCCTGCGCGTGCCGCAGCTCCTCCAGCTGCGCGTCGTGCGTGTACATACACACACACGCACACGCACACGCACACGCACACACACACTCACCGTCCGCGACGGCGGCCCGGTCGGCTGCGCGCTGTGCCTCCCAGGCGGCGCGCTCGGCCGTGAGGCGCGCCTGCGCGTGCCGCAGCTCCTCCAGCTGCGCGTCGTGCGTGTACATACACACACACGCACACGCACACGCACACGCACACACACACTCACCGTCCGCGACGGCGGCCCGGTCGGCTGCGCGCTGTGCCTCCCAGGCGGCGCGCTCGGCCGTGAGGCGCGCCTGCGCGTGCCGCAGCTCCTCCAGCTGCGCGTCGTGCGTGTACATACACACACACGCACACGCACACGCACACGCACACACACACTCACCGTCCGCGACGGCGGCCCGGTCGGCTGCGCGCTGTGCCTCCCAGGCGGCGCGCTCGGCCGTGAGGCGCGCCTGCGCGTGCCGCAGCTCCTCCAGCTGCGCGTCGTGCGTGTACATACACACACACGCACACGCACACGCACACGCACACACACACTCACCGTCCGCGACGGCGGCCCGGTCGGCTGCGCGCTGTGCCTCCCAGGCGGCGCGCTCGGCCGTGAGGCGCGCCTGCGCGTGCCGCAGCTCCTCCAGCTGCGCGTCGTGCGTGTACATACACACACACGCACACGCACACGCACACGCACACACACACTCACCGTCCGCGACGGCGGCCCGGTCGGCTGCGCGCTGTGCCTCCCAGGCGGCGCGCTCGGCCGTGAGGCGCGCCTGCGCGTGCCGCAGCTCCTCCAGCTGCGCGTCGTGCGTGTACATACACACACACGCACACGCACACGCACACGCACACACACACTCACCGTCCGCGACGGCGGCCCGGTCGGCTGCGCGCTGTGCCTCCCAGGCGGCGCGCTCGGCCGTGAGGCGCGCCTGCGCGTGCCGCAGCTCCTCCAGCTGCGCGTCGTGCGTGTACATACACACACACGCACACGCACACGCACACGCACACACACACTCACCGTCCGCGACGGCGGCCCGGTCGGCTGCGCGCTGTGCCTCCCAGGCGGCGCGCTCGGCCGTGAGGCGCGCCTGCGCGTGCCGCAGCTCCTCCAGCTGCGCGTCGTGCGTGTACATACACACACACGCACACGCACACGCACACGCACACACACACTCACCGTCCGCGACGGCGGCCCGGTCGGCTGCGCGCTGTGCCTCCCAGGCGGCGCGCTCGGCCGTGAGGCGCGCCTGCGCGTGCCGCAGCTCCTCCAGCTGCGCGTCGTGCGTGTACATACACACACACGCACACGCACACGCACACGCACACACACACTCACCGTCCGCGACGGCGGCCCGGTCGGCTGCGCGCTGTGCCTCCCAGGCGGCGCGCTCGGCCGTGAGGCGCGCCTGCGCGTGCCGCAGCTCCTCCAGCTGCGCGTCGTGCGTGTACATACACACACACGCACACGCACACGCACACGCACACACACACTCACCGTCCGCGACGGCGGCCCGGTCGGCTGCGCGCTGTGCCTCCCAGGCGGCGCGCTCGGCCGTGAGGCGCGCCTGCGCGTGCCGCAGCTCCTCCAGCTGCGCGTCGTGCGTGTACATACACACACACGCACACGCACACGCACACGCACACACACACTCACCGTCCGCGACGGCGGCCCGGTCGGCTGCGCGCTGTGCCTCCCAGGCGGCGCGCTCGGCCGTGAGGCGCGCCTGCGCGTGCCGCAGCTCCTCCAGCTGCGCGTCGTGCGTGTACATACACACACACGCACACGCACACGCACACGCACACACACACTCACCGTCCGCGACGGCGGCCCGGTCGGCTGCGCGCTGTGCCTCCCAGGCGGCGCGCTCGGCCGTGAGGCGCGCCTGCGCGTGCCGCAGCTCCTCCAGCTGCGCGTCGTGCGTGTACATACACACACACGCACACGCACACGCACACGCACACACACACTCACCGTCCGCGACGGCGGCCCGGTCGGCTGCGCGCTGTGCCTCCCAGGCGGCGCGCTCGGCCGTGAGGCGCGCCTGCGCGTGCCGCAGCTCCTCCAGCTGCGCGTCGTGCGTGTACATACACACACACGCACACGCACACGCACACGCACACACACACTCACCGTCCGCGACGGCGGCCCGGTCGGCTGCGCGCTGTGCCTCCCAGGCGGCGCGCTCGGCCGTGAGGCGCGCCTGCGCGTGCCGCAGCTCCTCCAGCTGCGCGTCGTGCGTGTACATACACACACACGCACACGCACACGCACACGCACACACACACTCACCGTCCGCGACGGCGGCCCGGTCGGCTGCGCGCTGTGCCTCCCAGGCGGCGCGCTCGGCCGTGAGGCGCGCCTGCGCGTGCCGCAGCTCCTCCAGCTGCGCGTCGTGCGTGTACATACACACACACGCACACGCACACGCACACACACACTCACCGTCCGCGACGGCGGCCCGGTCGGCTGCGCGCTGTGCCTCCCAGGCGGCGCGCTCGGCCGTGAGGCGCGCCTGCGCGTGCCGCAGCTCCTCCAGCTGCGCGTCGTGCGTGCGCGCCGCGCTGCCGCCGCTCGACCGCCACGCGCACACCTGCGCCTCCAAGCTGCGGAACACGTAACACGTGCCATACACATTCACACATACATTTTGTTATTAATTGACCACTCAGGCCATGGCCCCATTAGTAAGCAACCCAGATGAAGTGAGTTTATACCTATGTATTGATGTAAGTTGCTGCCAGACGATACAAGTAAGCGTGTATATAGCATGCTGTAATTTTAAAGCCGCATCTGCACCGATTTGTTCGTGCAAACGAGGCTCCGTAACTTCGCTGGGATTTTGGACTTCGGGTTCATTTTCGGTTGCTGCCTCGGGGCCAGTGGTCCCAGCTCCCGTGTTAGGTTCGGTGGGTGTGTCAGTCGACAAGCGAACGGCTACTCCTGGAACAAATTAAACATATATACTGAGGACGTTATATCAATAAAAATGTATTATATTCATATTTTATTATATATATTTAACGCCGTCCGCTACCATCTGGAGACAGCAAAGCCGGCCTTGCTCTTGTTTTTGATGCCTCGGAAGTCTTGATGGTACGGACCTGTCCATCCTATGGCTGCGCATAGACAGCGACAACCATCCTTGCATCTACGGGTACCTCTATAAGGCTCAAAGCGGCAATGCCGAGATAGACCGACTCATCGATCACGTCCTAATGGCTGCAGACTCCGTGCTACTACAGGTCCCATACGCAAAGATCGTGATGCTCAGTGATTTTAGCGCCCACCACGCGGAACGGCTTTGTTCCCGTTTAACCGATCATGCGGGTAGATCTGTTTATGACTTTGCCTAGGCATATGGTCTGACACAACTGGTTACTTCGCCTACGTGGATCCCAGATGTGGAGGATCATGTACCTTTCCTGTTGGACCTTCTGCTGACCGCTTATCCGGACGGATATCAAAGTCTCCGTCGATGCCCCTCTTAGCTCTTCGGACCATTCTCTGGTCTGGAGTATGGTGCCACTCACGCTCCCATCGCAGTTGTGATCCGCAGCTTGCCGCCGTGTTTGGCAGTATAGGTCGGCCGATTGGGACGGGATGCGGTCTTTTTTTGCATACCACCCTTGAGGGCAGGTTTGCTTCTCGCCGGATGATCCCAACGTTGTTGCTGATGTGGTATATCAGGGAATGGAATTATTTATTCCATCATCTGTGGTACCTATCGGAGGCCGAACTCGGCCAGGAGGCCATGGTTTGGTCACTCCTGTAAAATTGCATCACGCTATAAGCAGGAGTGCTACCGGGCCTGGGCTGACGCATCAACGTCCCGGGATGTAAACACCAACGCTCTTAAAAAGAAGTATAATTCCGCCTACAGGTCCTTCAAAAGTGTCATTGCCAAGGCAAAGTCAGAGCACATTGGCAATGGTGTGCTATTCACACACCTTTTGATGTAATGTTACTCAAAATACTGTTTATACACAAAATGTTTATTATATTGTTATAATATTATTGTTATAATGTTTATAAATGTTATGTATGTGAGCACACACGAGACAATGTTGGCGTCCGTACATGTACTGACTTAAATAAAAACTTTAAACTAAAATGCCTACGCGTACATAATGTGTTCGGTGTAAACTGAACAGGCAGAATTGGCGAGAAACTAGTTCGCCTCCCTTCGAGAACACGTGCTTTCTGGTCTCTCGCCAAGGCTATCCAAGACAACTTCTGTCAGTCATTTCTGCAATCTTTGCACAGGGTGGACGAGTCACTGGCCCATGACGTAAAGGAGAATGCCGATCTGCTAGGCTCTCTTTTTGGTTCCAACTCGACTCTAGATGACGGCGGGAACACACTGCCGACCATCCCGCGGTGTGAGTGCTCCATGCAGGAAGTGCTGTTTACACATCGCTCGATGCGTAAAGCACTCCTCTCTCTGGACGTTTACAAGTCGAGTGGGCCTAATGGAGTCCCACCTATTGTGCTGAAGACGTGTGCTCCGGAGTTCGCACCGGTTTTAACGCGTCTTTTCCGGTACTCCTACTCTCTAGGCGTAGTCCCGAAATCATAGAAGACAGCTTTGGTGCACCCGATCCCTAAAATAAGCGACCGCTCAGATCCGTCCAACTACAGGCCTATCGCTATCACCTCCTTATTCTCCAAAGTAATGGAAATTATTATTAACTGCCAACTCATGCGGTATTCATTACGTGGTAGATCCATGCCGCAGCTATATTAATAGTATAGGTTTAGTACAAATGGGTCGGCTCAACTGCGGAAGGACCACGCTCTCGCAGAATACCAGCATAAAATAGCAGCTTAATGCTGCTGTGTTTCGTATGGTGAGTGTAGAGAACCAGAGACCCTTTTTACTGGAAAAGAGGCATTCTATCTTAGTCCTCACAGCTGATAACGCATCTGCATTTTAATTCGCAAACGAAGATAAATGTAGATGTCTATGGGCCACAGCAACCACTTACCATCAGGTGGACTGTGTGCTCGATTGTCACCCTTATTCTATAAAAGGAGGATCACCAGCTAATTAGTGACCGCTATTACGATTTCCGTCGAGGTCGCTCAGGAGGCAGTGGAGACCAAGCGTTGGCCGCTAGTTTGGACACAGCGAAGACCTTCAATCGGGTTTGGCACAAACAGTTTCTTTCGAAGCTCCCTTCCTATGGGCTTTACGAGAAATTGTGCAATTGGGTCACCAGTTTTCTTGCAGATCGGAACATCAAGGTCGTAGTAGACGGTGCATGCTCCGATTACAAGCCCAGTAACGCTGGTGTTCCACAAGGCTGCGTGCTATCACCAACGCTGTTTCTTCTGCATATCAATGATATGTTGCAAGCTGGTAAAATTCATTGCTATGCAGACGACAGCACTGGTAATACTTTATACACCGGCCGTGTCAATATTTCTCGGGAAAACGTCACCGAGTACCGGAACAAACTTGTGGTCTGAAGTCGAGACTTTGTTGCACAAAGTCTCAGACTGGGGACGACTAAATCTAGTCCAGTTCAATCCTCAGAAGGCACAAGTTTGCGCGTTTACCGCTAAAAAGAACCCCTTTGTCGTACCTCCTCAGTTTCAAGGCACTTATTGCCTCGCTATTATCGGAATCCTCGGTGTCGACATATCGAGTGACGAGCAGTTTCGTGGTCACTTGGAAGAGAAGGCCAAATTGGTCTCTAATAAGCTTGGCGTGCTCAGCAGAGCGGGACAGTATTTCATGCCGGCACCACGCCTGCAACTTTACAAGGCGCAGGTTCAGCCTCACATGGAATGCTGTTCCCATCTCTGTAGCACCGGAAGATTGCCAACTCTGGCAATGAGGACCCATGGGGCCTTGCATACAGGCTCGCCAGGGGGAGAGGTCTATGAATATAAATTCATCACAAAAACAAAAAAGGGGCCGTCACTTTGGAAGATTAATAAAAAAAATAAAAGAAAATGGTCGTCGTTTTGAAAGTTTTTGTTTTAAGACCGATTCTTTTAAATATCAATATCTATGAGTTCCAAATGGTTTATGTATATAAATTTATCATAAAGTTCAAAAAGGCGCGGCCACTTTGTGATATCTTGTTTTTGAACCCATTTCTTAAAAAATGATAAATTGCTTTTAAAATCAATATCTGGGAATCCACGTGGTCTGTGAATGTGGTGTCCGACCGAAGCTTCGGCTTAGGCTTCTACATCGACTACCATCGGCCAAAACACCATCTTTGGGGAAACCAAAGGTTTCTAGAAAGTGCCGAAATTGAACGAACTGTAATGAATGAGCGTGATCGGGATGGATTTGGCGACGCAATTTTTATAATTTCTAGATCAATTTCTAGAGAAGATTAAAATTACCTTTTTATATTATCCAGACAATATAAACCTTTAATTTAAAATAATTTATAATATTCATTTTAGCAAACCTTGAACTGAATTTCTTAGGGTTTATAAGTCTTCGGCTTTGGTTAAAGGTTGTGGCGATAGGCCGAAGCCGAAACCGAAGCCAACTCAGTTTCGGCTTTGAGCAGAAATCTACTGTAGTCAAAACTGAATTGTTGTTGTTAAGAGATCGATTCCATTAAAATAATATTTTAATGGAATCGCTACAATAAAATTTTAAAAATGGCGACTTTACTTACTTTTTTCAGTTTTCTCAGGAGAAAATCCTAGTAAGTACTCCCAGATATTGATTTTTGAAGAAATTGGTCCAAAAACGATATTTCAAAACAACTTTTTTCAGTTTTCATGCTGTCCGGTTCATTGTGGAACCAAACAGAATTTTCTACACACTGACACACGGTCAGTTCATATTAGGTAAGCAACCAAGCAACGCTTACTCCTATCATATTGTTATGACAGCCAGTTGCGTATTGCGTCTCATTGCAGATAAGGGCCAGTGGCCTTAGTCAGGTAATATGTAAATGTGTAGGCATAAAAATAGATAACGCTCGGACTATTAATGCAAGCAAGAAGCATCCTTATTTTTACGGGCCTATATAAAGCCTTCTCTCCTTTGTATATGTTCGCGCCAAACGCTAATTTCAGGAACTAACGCGAGAGGACGCGCGGCTCGGTGCCATACCGGTTTTGACGTCGGTCGAGCGGTGGGTGTTGAGAACGCGTAAAGGCGAAAGCCTGTCGTCTGCCAGCTGTGCTAACGCCAGCACTCTGTCAATTTTTGTGCGGGAACCGCGGAATAGTTTAGGCGTCAAGTAAATATCCTGTCTAGGATTTATAACGCGCATTCCTTGTTCGATAGCCTTTCCCGGGACTTATTGGGTCCGACTCAGAATCTGTATAAGTGCATTCGACAATATTAGCTAAAGCGGCCTTTGATATTCTGTTGCTACCTGAAAATAACTGTTGCTACGCGAAGCGGGGGTAACCTTTGATCCGGACACTCCCTGTTCATTTTGTGTGTTAGGCTTTATAACAAACGAGAGTTAGTGGCTTCTGTAAGTTAGTTAATAGTACGATAGAGTTAATGGACTGTTATCGTGACGAACGAAGAAAATGACTGTGGACAACGCCGCGGAAGATTAACTCAATTTGGAGCGGTGTCGACTCCCGGGCTGCTGCCGATGGCCAAGGTCTACTAAGGTCAATCACCATCAGTCACACCCAGATACACATCACATCACCTTATTTCCTTTGCACTACACAACCACATGCGACTTGACCGACTCCGGAGGGACCAGTCGCCTTGGATATAGGTAAGTAAGCTCCGTCTAATATTCTCCTGGTTGAATGGCCGTAGTATAGAACGCTCCCCCATATAGTTTAGTGTAATTAGAGATTTTCCACTTTGGCCTTAGGAGGCCCGACCTACATCTGCTCGTCGAAACTCAGCTGAGGATTTGACCTTTATGGGAGCAGCCGTAGGCCGTAACAGTATATGTTATCGTTGTTATCGCGAGTGTTTTAGTACTTTCTGGTTGAAAGAGTGGAATGACCTGGATTAGCCTAGAAAGTTCTATATTTGTTTAATTGAGTATAAAAGCGTATGCTGGGAAGGGAGAAGTTCAGAATGAACTGGCAGCGGCTTAGCAGGAGTAGATAACGGCTCGGCAAGAGCAGATAGCGGCTCGGCGAAAGCAGATAGCGGCTCGGCTAGAGCCGATAACGGCTCGGCGAGAGCAGATAGCGGCTTGGCAAGAGCAGATAACGGCTCGGCGAGAGCAGATAGCGGCTTGGCAAGAGCAGATAACGGCTCGGCTAGAGTAGATAGCGGCTTGGCAAGAGCAGATAACGGCTCGGCTAGATCAGATAACGGCTCGGCAAGAGCAGATAGCCGCCCATCAAGAACTACAGTATAAAGGATTCATTAAACTTGATGATTTGAGGATGCGATTTTGAATTAAGTAGGTCAGCATTAGTTTTAGCAGCATTAGCAGCAATAGTAATTCCGAGAGTAGGCCTTTCCATAGCTCGATCAGCGACCTTGAGCTTCTTTATACAGCCAGCAGTGAAGGACTACGTTTCAGATCCATTGTGATCACTGGCAACACTGGCAACACAACTGGTTTTATACTCTTGTTTTCAAGTTTTGAGGTATGTGTGAAGAGATGTGTGTCGTGTTGTTACTGAACGCTGTCTAGTTAAGAAGAATCCGTCGATTCACGTCTCTGTCGAAGTTGGACTTACATAGTTGGACAATTTGTATCAGATAGATGTGACATGGACGTTACACATGACCTTTGTTTTGAGCTATCCGTTGGGAGACACTATAGTGGTCATTGATTATTATTGAGACCGAATCCTTTCTAGTATAGAATCTTTAAAACTTCTTCCAATGCAGCGGTGATGAGTTTTAGGGATATAACGTCACCATGTCTTACACCCTTCTGTAGTTGGATAGGTTCCGTACTCGGTTAGCCATCTTAGCCTTGCTGAATGTGCTTCAGCACTTCCATATATCCGATTATAGACTTGGCATCACTAAAGGCATTGCAGCACCGCCACATTTCGATGGAATCAAAGGATTTCTCATAGTCGTAAATTTCAAACGCTGTCGCTTTCTTGAAGATTAATGAAGATTAGAGTAATGGGAGACGGAATAAAAGAGCTTCTGTAGGACGTAAGCAACTAGCACCACCAATTTTTACAACGATGTAAACGAGAGCCAAGAGAATGATAAATACGAACGAAATATAATCTAACTATTTCTTGAAGGCTCATTAACACACATCAATGATCGTCGTCATTACCATGGTCACCATTATTATAAATATCATTTTTTATGCAGCAATTATCATAGATGTCACGATTGGCAGACTGGTAGGCAACGAGAGCATTAATGTGGTAAGCTACCAGGAGAGCATAAGTGTGTAGGAGTGTACCTCTGTGGCGCGCTGCGTCGAAGCCGGCAAAGGTGTCGGCCCGGCGCGGAAGCGCAGGGCTCTGGTACGCGACGGAGTGCCGCTCGCCCGCCGAGCTGGTGCTGCGCCCCAGCGAGATGCCTCCGCCCCAACTGCCGCTAGATGCCTCTAGGGCTTCCTGTTATTTAGCAATGTAGTCATCTTCCATTCATCCATTCCATTCATATTTTTCATTTTATTCATATTTTTACGCGGTAGAGCCATCCAGCAGCTATACTGTGGTTGAAGCACGAATGGGTCGACTCGACCGTGGTAGGACCACGCTCTCACAGAATACCCGCGTAAAATAGCACTTAATGCTGCTGCGTTTCATTTGATGAGTGTAGAGAAACAGAGACCCTTTTTACTAAAAAACGAAGCATTCCATCTCAGTCCTCAAGGGTGACAACGCATCTGCATTTTGATTCTTAACTGAAGATAAATGTAGATATCTATGGGCCACAGCATACACTTACTATCAGATGGACTGTGTACTCGTTTGTCACCCTTATTCTATAAAAAAATTAATATACGAAGTAATGCTGATATAAAGGAATTCACTACCCCGCAATAACTTCCCGTGGGTGTCGTGAGAGGCGACAGAGAGAACCTGAAGTAAGAAAGGGACAACATCATCATCAGCACTTTACAACACGGCTAGTGTTTGACTTCTTGGTGATGTAGTCGGAAATATATCGAAGATATAATATGGTAAAAAGGGCAATTAAGGCATGCCTAAAATAATAGTATCGGCCAATTTTAAGGCTATTTATTTCTCTAGAAGTAACGTACAATATTGGTGATGCACTTGGTGTCTTAATAACACAGCTCCCTGAAAAATAAACAACCACTATACGTTTAACACGTCGTGGTGGCATTGTTAAAAATCTATCAGCTCACTACTATAATTGCAATACGCACTACACAATTATCGTAAAACACGACACGGCAATAATTATAATTATAAAAACCGACTTCAAATAGCTGAAGAAGAATTTCTTTATTTGATACCCTTAGAGGTAGATTTTTTCTCCAAATTTATATGAGACTACCCTTGAAGTAAAACCTATTTAAGAGAAAAAGGATCATCAAAATTGGTTCACAATCTGCGACGATATTGCGTAACATACATACAAAAAAAAACACACACACTCGAATTGAGAACCTACTCCTTTTTGAAGTTAGTTAAAAATGGAAAAGTAGCCGATAAATATAATAGTATGGTTTTTTTTTATAGGAGAGGGGGTAAACGAGCATGCGGCTCTCCTGAAGGTAAGTATGACTACCGCCGCCCATGAACAACTGCAACACCAGGGGAATTGCAGATGCGTTGCTGGCCTTTTGAAAAGGAGTAGGCTCTTTTCTTGAAGGTCCCTATGTCGCATCTGTCCGGACAAATCGCTGGTGGCAATCGATTCCACAAGGAAGTTGTGCGAGGAATGAAAAAATCGCACAGTGGTGGACCGCCAATCACCCAGATGGTATGGATGTTACCGCGAGTTTTGTCGCGATGTGCGATGGTGGCGGCATGCATACCCCGTTGATCCAGGCGTATGGCGCCTGACCTGATCTGGTCAGTAGTGCACCCCCCGGACCTGGCGACGGCCGCCACCAACTCCTCCTCCGATACCGAGTCATCCAGACCCATGATGCGCAGGTCTGCGCATCTGACGGGCCTGGACACTCGGGCCTCGTCCGCGTTCAGGGACGCTCTGAGCTTCGCAGCCACAGCGTCCGCAGTCGCGCCACTGGATTCCCCGGGGATCTCCAGCATACGGGCCCCCGTCTAGGTGACTTTGAGCCGGAGGCCCCCAGTGATCCCGAGCTCCCCGAGATCCACCGCCTCTTTCGCCTTCGCGAGCAGATCGCGGTAGGTAACGCCCTTCTTTTCCGCGTCCGGCTGTAGTGTAATCACTACAGCTGCGGTCTTCGGGGCGCGGAGCCTAGCCGCGATCTTGCGCGCCCTGAACTGGCACTGCCGCTCCTGCTCTTTGGCCTTTTTGGCTGCCTTCTTCCCCCAATGTTTGTCCCCGACCACCTGCCAACCGGCTTCTGCTGCGGGAGGTGTAGGGAGCTGGGGGGGCGGTGGCGGCGGCGGCAGCTGGCTTGCCGCTGGCGATGGCCCATTCGCCGCAGGCACTGGGGCTGGCGCATATTACCAGCCTGCAACATATCATTGATATGCAAAAGAAACAGCGTTGGTGATAGCACGCAGCCTTATGGAATACCAGCGTTAGTAGGCTTGTAATCAGAGAATGCACCGTCTACTACGACCTCGATGCTCCGATCAGCAAGGAAATTGGTGATCCAATTGCACAATTTCTCTGGAAGCCCATAGGAAGGGTGTTTCGAAAGAAGCGCTTTGTGCCAGACCCGATCGAAGGCCGTCGCTATGTCCAAAATAACGGCCAAGGCCTCCCCCTTAGACTCGATCGCCTGCGCTCATCTATGTGTTAGATAAACAAGAATATCACCAGCTGAGCAACCCCGACGGTAACGACACTGGCGGTAACTAATCATCTGGTGCTCTTCAAGGTACCGCATGAGCTGGCAGTTAATAATGAACTTCATATTTTTCGAGAACAAGGAGGTGATGGCGATAGGATGGTAGTTGGACGAATCAGAGCGGTTACCTTTTTTAGGGATCGGGTGCACGAAAACTGTCTTCCATGAATTCGGGACATCGCCTTTGGAGTAGGAGTACCGGAAAAGACGCGTTAGAACCGGTGTCAACTCTTGGCGGGATTCCGTCAGGCCCACTCGACTTGTGGAAGTCCAGGGAGAGGAGTGCTTTGTGTACTGAGCACTGTGTGAATCGCACATCAGGCATAGAGCACTCACACTGCGAGATCACACATGGTCGGCAGTGTGTTACCCCGTCATCGAGAGTCGAGTTGGACGCAAAATGGGAGCCTAAAAGGTCGACTTTCTCTTTTGCGGCGTAGACCAGTGAGTCATCTTCCCTGTGCAGAGATGTTAGTGATGGCTTACAGAAATTCCCTTGAACAGCCTTGGCGAGAGACCAGAATGCACGGGTTCTCGAAGGAAAGCGAACTAATCTCTCGCCAATTCTGCCAGTGTGCTCATACGCCGAAGCCTCAACCCAGGCCTGATAACACTTCTGCTTACTGCGTAATGCAGATCTGGAATCTGGAATCCGCTCGATGGAATCTGTTGTAGCAAGAAATCTGTAGCCATTTGGACGTGGTCGATGAGACGTGGTAATGCGATAGTTCGACCGTCTGGTAAGCGTGGCGTATACGGTAAGCCTTTTCTACTGTGGGAGATGACCATGCTGTTGATAGATTCCTTCGTTTAATATGCTACTGATTGACAACCTCATTTGTCTAATAGTCGTGAGCGTCACTGTTGATCATTCATGTGATCTCGGTTTCGAAACACGGGATGGGCTACAATGTCTTATTGGATTTTTATTTCAAGAATTTCTCAGTAGCAGCCTACAATCAAGTAAAACGATCAAAATGGCTGCCAATTTTTGAATTCTAACATAACATGGATCCTTAGATATCGAATTTAACAGCAATCGGGCCAGTAAGTAAAAAGTTCACAAGTGGTAAAATTAAAAATTTTGTACATCAGACTTGAATATAAATTATAAAGGATAACTCAAAAATACACTTGAATCTAGTACCCCTCCTTTTTGAAGTCTGTTAAAAATGGTGGTCACTTTTTTAATTCTGACACCGGATACGTTATCTTGGACGATACGGATCCTCAAAAAATCGATATTGAAAACAATCGGTCTACTAACTAAAAAGTTCAAAATGGTGGCCAAATTTCTACAACTAAGGAATTCGTCAACGTTCATATTATAAGAAACGAATGTCAAGTTCAAGCAACTTATAAACAACGCAATCCACTCTAGGACAAATCATTTTTAAAAATATCGCGAGAAATTAGCAGGAAGTAACCACACGTTACACGGCTGAACGCAAATTTTTATACATTGAAGTAATACGAGGGCGATACTGAAAGTTTTTAGAACTAGCCACTTGTAAACGATATAATATAAAAATAAGTTCAAATTTTAAAAATGGAACTCTGCCAATATTATTGTGTACATATGTATTTTATTAATTTGTTATTTGTTTATGATTTGGCGGCAAATTGAAAATTGTCTTTGTCACGTCAGCATGAATATAATGCGAGAAAATTTTCGAACAATGATTTTTTATGACTTTCGATGTCATTTAAGTCAACAAGATAGTTATGATAAACTTCGATTGGCCTTTCAAGATGAAGCCCCATCTCTTGCCACTGTTTACAGCTGGTTTAATGAGTTTTTTTCCGGTTCCGGTGTCGAACAGTGAACATCAGTTATTGTTACTCGTCATAAAATAATTCTAATTTACCGGTAATTTCTACACAAACAACTTAAAACTATTAACAACGTAAAAAGTAGTGACAAAAGCAAGTGGTGAATATATATTTGGACGACTGAAGTGCAAAAAGCAAAACCATTTCTTCGTTACCTACACCGTCGAACAGGTTAGAAAAGCAAAATCATTATTCCATTCCACGGTGACAGATCGAGGTACCAACCTACGAAACACAACAGCGACCATAAATTACAGGTGACAAACACTGAAATATTGCTACCAACTCAAAACTAGTGTTGCCAACTCTAGACCAGTTTTTGCCAATTGCAAACTAGTGTTGCTTACAAAAAAAAACAGTATTACCAACACGAATCCAGAATTGTCATGCAAAACGAAGCTATCACCAGCATGGATAAACAAATGAAAGATTTCTGGAGAACAATGAAGGAGGAAATGGCAGCGCAAACAAGGGAGATAACCGAAGCAGTCACTAAAAACGTTTCGGAAAGTATCAACGAAAAATTAACTGCTCTTGTGGAAGAGAATAAAAGCCTGAAGACGGAAGTCAAAATCTTACATGAAAAAATCAAGCAAATGGAAGAACACAAAAGAAAAAACAACGTCATCTTTTTTGGAGTAAAAGAGGAACAACATAGCGAATCCCCAGTCGAATCCACTATAAAATTGCTAAAAAAAAACATGAATATACACATCGACTTACATGAAATAAATAACGCTTATCGACTAGGAGAAAAGAAAGATAATAAACCACGTCCTATTCTTGTAACCTTTACAACAAACTGGAGAAGAAATGAAGTACTCAAAAATAAAAATAAACTGGATTCGGGAATCTACATCAAAGAAGATCTCAGTAAAGAAACCTTGGAGAAGAGGAAGCAACTTCTGCCCCAACTAAAGGAAGAAAGGGCAAAGGGTAAAATTTGCTACTTTGTTAAAGATAAAATAGTCACCAAAGAACCGAAAGAAGCCAAAAGAGATAAGAGGAAAAGAGATAGCACCGATTCTCCAGACAAATTCTCAAACCAACCATCCACTTCGGCCCCAAAGAAGATCAATAAAACGAACATGCTAGACTACGTGGCACGAGGTAGATCCGCGTCACTGTCATTACCTACAACCAAAAAAAACGACCAATAGACACCGACAACAGGAAACACAAACTAACCAACAAAAAGTATATACCCAACGAAACAACCAAATTACTCACCCCAAGACGGTTGGTCACCGCGGGGAAAGGCGACCACTACCCTCCTAACACTACCCCCCCTACCTCAAAAGAATGCTTTTGATATCAGAAAACAAAATACCAAATACATACACATAGCAACATACAACACGCTATCTCTAAGGTCCGAAGAGAGCTTACAAGAACTTTTACATTCTATAAAAGACATTAAATGGGACATTATCGGCTTGAGTGAAGTAAGGCGGAATGGTGAAGCTATTGTGGAGTACAGCCAGTTCATATTGTATTATAAAGGTGAAACACCAGGAAGACATGGAGTGGGATTCTTAATCAAGAAAGAACTCAAAAACTTTATCGTAGAAATAAATGGTATATCCGAAAGAATTGCTATATTGAATGTAAAGATCCCTTCAGACAAAGAAATATGGTCTATTGTGCAAATTTATTCACCAACCGAGCAATCAACTCCTCTAGAAATTGAGTCATTTTACTCGTCTCTTAATACCGCCCTCAAAAAACACGCACAAAAAAACTGCATTGTAATGGGTGATTTTAACGCACAAGTTGGGACACCAAGGAATGGAGAAGATATCGTACTGGGCCCTTACAGTTGTGGAAAAAGAACAAGAAATGGACAAAAACTAATGGAAATGGCTTTTGAAAATAATATGAAAATACTAAACAGTCAATTCAAAAAAAAGGCTTCTAGACGGTGGACATGGGTATCACCAGATGGCCGCTACAGAAACGAAATAGACTACATTTTAACTAACAGGCCAAAATCATTTGATGACTGTGGCACCATATCAAACCTCAATTTCAATAGTAACCATAGAATGCTTAGAGCACGTCTGAACACATTATCTACTCTGAGGTTAAGGAGGCCCTTCAAAGTAAAAACAACAACTTCAAACAACGAAGCAAGAATAGCCACCATTAAAGAAAATCTCAAATCCGTCACAGAATCATTTCTTCAACATTTAAACACTCAACAGAAATACAATATACTACACGAAATACTAAAGACGAGACTAGAAAACAACACTGAGAGCAAGCCAAAGGATAAAAGACATTTATCAGAAAAAACAATCGAACTCTTAGAGGAAAGGTACAAATTAATCAATACATTAAACAAAACTAAAATCATCAGGGAGCAAATAGGCAAACTGAGCAAAGAAATAAATAACCAAATGAGAAAAGATAGAGAACATTTTAGACTCGAGACTTTTGAAAAACACATTAGCAAGACTGGAGGTATAAAAAAGGCTCTTAAATTTTTATCAGACAATAAAAACTGGATACCAAATCTGAAAGACCGTCACTGCAAGACAAAGACTAAAAGACCAGACATATTATCAATAGCTACAAACTACTACGAAAACCTATATTCTAGCAAGATACAAATAGACAATACTGATTTAAATGACAACAATAGTGTACCACCCATACTAGTAGAAGAAATAAACAAAGCAATCGAAACACAGAAGAAAGATAAAGCGCCTGGTCCTGACGAGATCAACAACGAATTGCTTTTAGACTGCAAAAACTACATTGCACCGTTACTAAAACACATTTTCAACGATATACTGTACACCGAAAAAATTCCAAAACAATGGACTACATCAACGATCATCCTGCTCCACAAAAAGGGCGACAAAGATGAAATGAACAACTATAGACCCATTAGTTTAATGTCCAATATTTATAAAGTTTTTGCGAAAGTAATCCTATCTCGAATAACTAGAACTCTGGACGAAAATCAGCCCAGAGAGCAGGCCGGCTTCAGGACAGGATATTCAACGCTAGATCATATACATGCTGTAAGACAAATTTTTGAAAAGAACAAAGAATTCAATGCACCATTCTACTGCTGCTTCATCGATTATAATAAGGCATTCGACACAATAGAACACGAAAACATCTGGCGCTGTCTGAAGAACCAAGGTGTCGAACATAAGTACATTAGAATTCTAAAAAACGTTTACACTAACAGTACAGCTAGGATAAAATTAGAAAAAGAGGGCAAGGAAATAAAAATAAATAGAGGCGTTCGTCAAGGCGACCCGCTATCCCCTAAATTATTTACAGCTGTCCTAGAAGAAATCTTTCGTAAACTTAAATGGGACCAGTATGGACTAAACATAAATGGAGAAAAACTAACCCACCTACGCTTCGCCGACGACATTATATTATTCGCCACAACAAAAGAACATCTACAAAACATGCTCGTAGACCTGGAAAGAGAAAGTCGCATGGTAGGTCTAACAATGAACACTTCTAAAACCAAAGCCATGACAAATACACACGAAGACCCTATCATCATAAATGGCGAGCCAGTTGAGTATGTGAAAGAATACACTTATTTAGGACAACAAATCTCAACCACCGACATAATGTCAAGGGAAATAGATACTAGAATTGGAAAAGCATGGAAATGTTACTGGCACTTAAAAGAAGTAATGAAGAACACCGAAGTTAAAATGTCCGTCAAATCAAAGCTGTACAACACCTGCGTGCTACCAGTCCTAACATATGGCTGCCAAACTTGGGCACTCACTAAAGCGCAAAACAAGAAACTAGAAACCTGTCAGACAGCAATGGAGAGGAGCATGCTGAATATAAAGAAGTCGGATAGAATAAGGAACAGAATTATTAGGAAACGTACCAAAATAGAAAATGTAACAAGGAGAATAAGAAAACTCAAGTGGAATTGGGCAGGCCATATAATCAGAGGCATTGAGAAATGGAACAAAACCATTGTATTTTGGTACCCAAGAAATAGAAAAAGGAAACGAGGTAGACAGTTTCGAAGGTGGGAAGACGAAATAAAAGCCACAGCAGGGAAAACATGGACTAGGAAAGCGATGAATAGAACAGCGTGGAAAGAAATGGAGGAGGCCTTTGCCAAAGTTGGGCAAACAGACCAAGTTGTTGGTGTCATCGACTAACGAGAGTCGTGAATATAAGATTATGTTAAAAAAAATGTGTGTCTGAATAAAGGCTTATATTATTATTATATTATTATTATTATTAATGAGTTCAAACGTGGTTGCACTAATCTCAACGATGATCTGCGTGAGGGACGGCTTTCTACGGCGACGAATGAAGATAACATCAGTGTTGTGCGGCGTATGATAGAGACTGACAAAAGAGTGACTTATTAGCAGATTCGAACAAGCTTAGGCATCGGTATGAGTCAAGTGCACAAAACTATCCATGAACATTTAGCGATCAGGAAACTGTGCCCGGTGGATACCTCATAATTTAATAGAGGCCCAAAAACTTGGTCGTGTTGATTGGTGTCGTGAAATGGTTCAAAGATTTAACGGAGTTGACTCAAATGCTGTGTTCGACATACTTATGGTTGACGAAACCTGGATTTATTATTATGATCCTGAAACTAAGAGACAGTCTGCTGTATGGGTGTTTCCTTCCGAGGAGTTGCCAACTAAAGTGAAGAGAGTTCGAAGCGTGGGAAAAAAGATGGTGGCCTCGTTCTTCAGAAGGACAGGTCATTACACAACAATTGTTTTAGAGGATCGAAAAACAGTTACTGTAGAGTGGTACACTAACAATTATTTGCCACTTGTCTTGGAAAAAATTCGGGAGAAATGACCTCGCGTAGGATTCGTAGCATCCTCCTTCACTACGACAACACCTCGTCGTACACCGCCAAGCAAACAATCCACTACTTGGCGACGTCAGACGTGGAATTACTGGGTCACCCGCCCTAAAGCCCCGACCTCGCACTTTACGATTTTTATTTATTTCCGAAAATAAAAGAAAAACTTCGAGGAAAAGGTTTTATGGACGCCGAGGAAACAGTTCAAAATGCCGTCAAAGAGACCCCTAAGAACGAGTGGGCATAGTGCTTTTCTCAGTGGTTCCATCGGATGCAGCGATGTATTGATGTAAATGGACACTATTTTGAAAATATATAATAAAACTAATAACTTGCTAGTTTGTTCAGTTTTTGATTTTTTAAGAACTTCCCTCGTATGTATTACGTACGCGAACAAAATCTGTGCGGCAGTGCAGGGCGCATGGTTGAAGGCAAAGAGTACCTTTATATGGCACATGGTAAGTTTGAGCCCGTGGGCTAACGGGTAACGCGTGTTTCAAACAACCAAGTCTCGACGTCTCTTTTAGCACATAGTACATAATTATTTCAATGATACAAATAATATTGAATAACTGAAAAGGGACACGCGCAACTGACTGCATTGCGAAACTCGCCTAGAATTATTGTTGATGCGTCACTCGATTCGGACGTATGTATGGAGTTCAGTTACTGCATTAGCTAAATGTTTACTGTGCAGCTGGTATGATATAAATAGAAAATTTTATGCTTTATATAATAATATTTTTAAGACACATAACGAACTATTATTATGAAAATTAATTAAATGTGGCACACTAACCCTAACAACCCTGCAGACTTCCTGCCACAGAGCATGCGTATCGGGTGAAGGAACAGCCAGACGGACATAATCAGGAAATACTAATCCGCCTGGAAACACCGAAGTTATGCCTGAAACAAAACAAGCCAATAATTATTAAGACCTTGTGCCAGTAAATATTTCATTCGAAACCAAGAACTGGAAGGAAACTGCGAGATCTTTTTTACCATACCCGTATGTGGTACGTCCAACGTAGAGGAACCGGTATGGCCAACCATTTTCATGTGTAACGCCATCTTCTCTTCTAGCAGAACAGCGTGTTCTCTGTCCTTAAGTCGTAATGCCTCTGAAAATAAAATAATTAACAACGATAATAACAATAAGAAGTAAAAATAATGTATAATATTTTTCCTAATAATGAAGAAAACACCAGCAAGAAAACAAAAAAAAAATTATGTAAAGCATTCTGTTATAATGTTTACGTTGACATCGAAGAAATTAAAACTCAAATTACTTACAATTTATTGCCGATATCAACACTAATTAATTTACAAAATTACTAGAACAAAACATAATTCAATTACAAATAAATCTCATAGCTTATATTTATCTACATACAGTTTTATTAATGAAATTGGAATGAAAATAACAACATTAAAGTTATATACTATGGTAAAAAAAATCTAAACGCACTGACGTCAATATAAGAGAAGTATGTATAACCTTCATGCTTGCATGCAAAATGTCTACGAAAACTTTTTTATTTATACTTTTAATCACCTTCAATATGCCACCATGGTGTTTCATCTGACAACAAAACATTTTTTTTATTTCATTTTTTAGGATGGCAAGCACACAAATTTATACACTACTATTTTACAAAATCAATAGGAACTATAGAGTATAGAAATAGGGTAGTTGACACTCATGTTAACCATTTTTATACACAAGTAAGGGTGACAAGCGGGAACACATCCCTTCTGATGAGAAGCGGATTAGGTGCATCATTAATACATCTGCCCTACATAAAGAAATAAAATGATGGTGAAGTGACTCCTAAAGACTATGATAGTAATTCTCGTATTACCAAATTTCGACTATATTTAGTAAAAAATGACGGTGATTCTTGTTACTGAACAATACAGAACACGACATCATTATGCTGTTATTTTAGCCTGTGAGAGATTGTTACGTAATGTATAATTTATAATAATCACTAATCTCTGTCGTGTTTTGGAACGAAGTTCCTTATCGGACGCCACGAATTAGGCAGATGGGGGGCTAGGCGAGAAAAAGTGTAAGATTTTTTCCGTCACGACCCCTTCTAACGTAATGTAGAACCGCCTTGGCTAGCTACATTAGAAGGAAGCGAGATGGAATAATATCCATCTCCCTCGCACTTTTTATTATCTTGCCATAAAAGAAATATTATTTTATTTTAAATGACGCTTCATTTTAATGGACGCTATTAATTCATTTATTTGTATTTGTTAATCTATAATCTAAAATCTAATACTACGAAAGGAACTTCGTTCCAACCGAGTGTTCCACGTTTTATTTAACTTACACATAAAAATAAGTTAATATAAGTAATTAGATAATTTGTGAACAGTCTTTGGATACGGACATCTACACTGTTTTATGGAACACTGTTGATAGTCGATGTACGTTGATATTGTTCGCCTCGACACATCGGCCAGTCTCACTATGGCAAAAGATACCTTTAGCCTGACCACGGTCTCGTGATTGCGAGATTGACAGTGAGAAAATCTGACCTCTATACCCATTTTCTTCCTAATTTCTGTCTGTTACCTTATGTAGGTCTTAGGCTGGCTTTTCACTATGGGATATAATATATATTAATTCCCTAAATATAAATTATATCCCGCGATTGGCGTTCACACTGTGAGATATATCTTTTAACCAGTGCGCGTTCGTCATTGGTCATTGGATTACCCCCCTTTACCCCGTACACCGTTCTGCAGGGGCGCGGAACGGTGTGCGGGGTACAGGGGGCGAAATATAATATGAAAATATCGCTTGGTCGAGCGAAAAAATATTTATAGCTTGAGATGTAATATATATTATAGCTCAGTGTAAACGGTTCCATATGAAATGTATGGTGAGCGATATTAATTTATATCTCGAGATGTAATATATATTATATTATATCCCATAGTGAAAAGCGGGCTTCAGGTACAGACATCCTACATCTATTAATATTTGTATATATAAACACTATCCCTAGGGCTGTTAGGGTGAACTAGGGTTATGTTAGGAAGTTAGGACGTTAGGAAAGTTAGATTACAGCTCTCCTTACTATTTGTTTATAGGCAGCTAGGTATTAAGCACACAAAAATACTACACAGTGACACTTTAGTGGACACCCAATACAGTTACCATACTAAAACACCTTCGATAACTAGTACATCCTGACTGAAGTTTAAATTAGTTACTTCAAATGCTATGATAAAGTAATTTATTAATGATGAAGTTAACTACCCAATTGTTTATTTTACATTGTCATATAAAGTCTTTAAGTTCGGAATTCGCTTCCTAGTTTTTTCTGCGTATTCTGGGGGGGGCAAAATTCCGCTCAAAAACAAAACTGCTTGGGGCAAACTGAGCAACAATACCAAGGCGACCCCTGCCACGCTATCCGTGAATTTCTGCAACATCAGGGGACTTCACTCTAACCTAAACGCCGTCCACTACCATCTCGAGACGGCGAAGCCGGCCTTGCTCTTTCTGACCGAGACGCAGGTTTCCTCTCCGGCTGATATTTCGTATCTCTCCTGCCCGGGGTACAAATTGGAGCACTCCTTTGTGCCTCGGGCTGGAGTTTGCGTGTATGTCAGAGAGGACATCTGTTCTCGACGCCTCGGCAGTCTTGAAGGTTCGGACCTGTCCATCCTTTGGCTACGCGTAGACAGCGACGACCATCCGCGCGTCTACGGGTGCCTCTATAGGTCCCATAGCGGTAATGCCGAAACAGACCGACTCATCGACCACGTCCAAATGGCTACAGATTCCTTGCTACAACAGGTCCCATCCGCAGAGATCGTGATCCTTGGCGATTTTAACGCCCACCATGCCGAATGGCTCGGTTCACGTTTAACCGATCATGCGGGGAGATCTGTTTATGACTTTGCTTTGGCATATGGTCTGACACAACTGGTTACTTCGCCTACGCGGATTCCAGATGTGGAGGATCATACACCTTCCCTGTTGGACCTTCTGCTGACCTCTCATCCGGACGGATATCAGGTTTCCGTCGATGCCCCTCTCGGCTCTTCGGACCATTGTCTGATCCGGAGTATGGTGCCACTCACGCTCCCTTCGCGGTTGCGTTCTGCAGGTTGCCGCCGTGTTTGGCATTACAGGTCGGCGGATTGGGACGGAATGCGGTCTTTCTTTGCATCCTACCCATGGGGGCGGGTTTGCTTCTCGCCGGATGATCCCAGCGCTGTTGCTGACTCTGTCACTGATGTGGTGCTACAGGGAATGGAACTATTTATTCCTTCATCTGTGGTACCCATCGGAGGCAGATCTCAGCCTTGGTTTGGTCGCTCCTGTAAGACTGCATTGCGCAGAAAGCAGGAGTGTTATCAAGCCTGGGCTGCGGCTTCGGTGACTCGGGATGTAAACACCAGCACACTTAAAAAGAAGTATAACTTCGCCTCCAGGTCCTTCAAAAGAGTTATTGCCAAGGCAAAGTCAGAGCACATAGGCAGAATTGGCGAGAAACTAGTTCGCCTTCCTTCGGGAACCCGTGCATTTTGGTCTCTCGCCAAGGCTGTCCAAGGGAATTTCTGTAAGCCATCACTACCATCTCTGCACAGGGAGGACGACTCACTGGCCCACGACGCAAAAGAGAAGGCCGACCTTTTAGGCTCCCTTTTTGCGTCCAACTCGAATGTTGATGACGGGGGGAACACACCGCCGACCATCCCGCGGTGTGAGTGCTCTATGCCGGATGTGCTATTCTCACAGCGCTCGGTTCGCAGAGCACTCCTCTCCCTTGACATCCACAAGTCGAGTGGGCCTGACGGAATCCCCCCAATTGTGCTGAGGACGTGTGCTCCGGAGTTGGCACCGGTTCTAACGCGTCTTTTCCGGTACTCCTACTCCTATGGCGTTGTCCCGAACTCATGGAAGACAGCTTTTGTCCACCCGATCCCTAAAAAAGGCGACCGCTCAGACCCGTCCAACTATAGGCCTATCGCGATCACCTCCTTGTTCTCCAAAATAATGGAATCCATTATTAACTGCCAGCTCATCCGGTACCTTGAGGATCACCAGCTGATCAGTGACCGCCAATACGGTTTTCGTCGGGGTCGATCAGCTGGTGATCTTCTAGTCTACCTGACCCATAGATGGGCGGAGGCAGTAGAGTCCAAGGGGGAGGCGTTGGCCGTTAGTCTGGACATTGCGAAGGCCTTCGATCGGGTTTGGCACAAAGCGCTTCTTTCGAAGCTCCCTTCCTATGGGCTTCCCGAGAAATTGTGCAATTGGATCACCAGCTTCCTTGCAGATCGGAGCATCAAGGTCGTTGTAGACGGTGCATGTTCTGACTACAAGCCTATTAACGCTGGTGTTCCACAAGGCTGTGTGCTATCACCAACGCTGTTTCTTCTGCATATCAATGATATGTTGCTAACTGGTAACATTCATTGCTATGCGGATGACAGCACTGGTGATGCTCTATACACCGGCCGGGCCAATATTTCTCGGGAAAACGTCGCCGAGTACCGGAACAAACTTGTGTCTGAAGTCGAGTCTTTGCTGGACAAAGTCTCGGATTGGGGGCGACTAAATCTAGTCCAGTTTAATCCTCAGAAGACACAAGTTTGCGCGTTTACCGCTAAAAAGAACCCCTTTGTCGTATCTCCTCAGTTTCAAGGCACTCCCCTTCTTGCCTCAGCCAGTATCGGTATCCTCGGAGTCGACATATCGAGTGACGTGCAGTTTCGTGGTCACTTGGAAGAGAAGGCCAAATTGGCCTCTAAAAAGCTTGGCGTGCTCAGCAGAGCGGGACAGTATTTCATGCCGGCACACCGCCTGCAACTTTACAAGGCGCAGGTTCGGCCTCACATGGAATACTGTTCCCATCTCTGGGCAGGGGCTCCCCAGTGCCAGCTCCTTCCACTTGACCGCATCCAGCGCAGAGCGGCTCGAATCGTCGACGACCGAGCCCTTTCCGATCGGCTCGATTCATTGGCACTGCGAAGAGATGTTGCATCTCTTTGCATTTTCTTTCGCATCTACCATGGGGAGTGCTCTGAGGAATTGTTCGGATTAATCCCAGCCGCCAAATTTCATGAACGCACATCGCGGCAGAACTCCCGATACCATCCACACCATCTGGATGATTGGCGGTCCACCACTGTGCGATTTAGAAGATGTTTTCTTCCTCGCACGACTTCCTTGTGGAATCGATTACCATCAGCGATTTTTCCGGACCGATACGACTTAGGGACCTTCAAGAAAAGAGCCTACTCCTTTTTAAAAGGCCGGCAACGCATCTGCAATTCCCCTGGTGTTGCGGTTGTTCATGGGCGGCGGTAGTCACTTACCATCAGGTGAGCCGCATGCTCGTTTGCCCCCTCTCCTATAAAAAAAAAAAAAAAAAAAAAAAAAATAGTTATTTTTTTTTATAATAAGTTATCTCTAAGTCTTCCAAAGTGAATACTAATATAAATTACCTTCAAATAGTGAAAGTTAGCATTGTAAATACACCTTGTTACTTATATTTAAGTCTCAATATCGCATACCTGTAATCAGTCTTATATTCTCATGGCGCGCTTCCAACTGTCGCTGTCTTTCTTCAGCGGAAGTCGCGAGCGCTCCCGCTTCGGACTCTTCCACTTCTTCTGGGCAACTTTGTACTGCGGCTCTGGATGTTACAAAATACCCTTTTTCAGTATGTAATTAAAGTTCGGAATGTTTTATACGTTGCTAAAAAAAATTAAATTAGAACTTACAGTACACCTGTTGGTAGCAGTTACTGTAATCAATAGACACGTTTTATAAGTGGTAGAGCCACGCTGCAGCTATATTATGGTTGTAGCAAGAATGGGTCGGCTCGACCGGGGTGGGATCCCACTCTCACAGAATACCAACGTAAAATAGCAGCTTAACGCTGCTGTGTTTCGTATAGTGAGTATAGACCTGAGACCCTTTTTATTGAAAACGAGGCATTTCCTCTTAGTCCTCAGCGGTGACAAGGCATCTGCATTTTAATTCTCAATTGAATATAAATGTAGATGTCTATGGGGCACATCATTCACTTACCATCAGGTTGACTGTGTGGTCGCTTCTCAACCTTATTCTATATAAAAAATGCGTGTGTCGTGGAACACTCGGTTGGAATGAAGTTCCTTGCGTAGTATATTATTATTGATAAACGTAGGCATTATATTATTGATTAACAAATACAAATAAATGAATAATTATTCATTATTTCTTTTTGTCTCATTTACTTGAAAATATAACTTTTCTTTAATTACATAATTTCTCATCCCATCACAATTATTTTAAGTTATAAAGTAATTATACCGTTAGTTATAAAGTACCTTACCGTTACAGTATATTAAAGTTCACTGTATGACATAAGCCTTCGCCATAGATATTTGCCATAGTTGCCACGCTTGGCGGATTGGCAAACGCATTTTTATTTACAATTCTTAGTTGTTATTAGGAAGACGCTTTTGCATATCTGTTTCGTTTTCCTTCGTCGCCTCTTACGCCGACGGGACGCAATGGGGTAGTTCGTCACTATAAGGCAAGTACTTGTAAAAAAAATATTTTTTCGAGTACGTCGTGTATATTTAATGGCGTGTATGCAGGCGGCGATGTCCTTGGGGCGGTGGACCCGCAGCACGAACAACTCGGGGTCGGTGGGCCCTTCGAGTGCATAGTGAATACCTAATGGAGTGTATCGAGGCGGCGATGTCCTTGGGGCGGTGGACCCGCAGCTCGAACAACTCGGGGTCGGTGGGCCCTTCGAGTGCATAGTGAATACCTGATGGCGTGTATCCAGGCGGCAATGTCTTTGCAGCGGTAGACCCGCAGCTCGAACATCTCGGCGTCGGCGGGCCCTTCGAGTGCATAGTGAATACCTGATGGCGTGGATCCAGGCGGCGATGTCCTTGGGGCGGTGGACCCGCAGCTCAAACGTCTCGGGGTCGGCGGGCCCTTCGAGTGCATAGTGAATACCTGATGGCGTGTATCCAGGCGGCGATGTCCTTGGGGCGGTGGACCCGCAGCTCGAACGTCTCGGGGTCGGCGGGCCCTTCGAGTGCATAGTGAATACCTGATGGCGTGTATCCAGGCGGCGATGTCCTTGGGGCGGTGGACCCGCAGCTCGAACGTCTCGGGGTCGGCGGGCCCTTCGAGTGCATAGTGAATACCTGATGGCGTGTATCCAGGCGGCGATGTCCTTGGGGCGGTGGACCCGCAGCTCGAACGTCTCGGGGTCGGCGGGCCCTTCGAGTGCATAGTGAATACCTGATGGCGTGTATCCAGGCGGCAATGTCTTTGCAGCGGTAGACCCGCAGCTCGAACATCTCGGCGTCGGCGGGCCCTTCGAGTGCATAGTGAATACCTGATGGCGTGTATCCAGGCGGCGATGTCCTTGGGGCGGTGGACCCGCAGCTCGAACGTCTCGGGGTCGGCGGGCCCTTCGAGTGCATAGTGAATACCTGATGGCGTGTATCCAGGCGGCGATGTCCTTGGGGCGGTGGACCCGCAGCTCGAACGTCTCGGGGTCGGCGGGCCCTTCGAGTGCATAGTGAATACCTGATGGCGTGTATCCAGGCGGCGATGTCCTTGGGGCGGTGGACCCGCAGCTCGAACATCTCAGGGTCGGCGGGCCCGCTGCAGATGAGGTACAGACCGCGGCCCTCGGCGCCCGCCTTCTCGCGCACCAGCAGCTTCCACAGCGACACCACGCCCGCCTGACGCACAACAACCACTAAATGCATAACTACTGACAAGCAAACACGTGTCGCCATCTGTTCTTCCATTCGATTTTAAAGTGAAAGTTTCTGCATAATCGTTGCTATTTGTCATTCGATGAAACGAAAAAGCGACACTAAAAAGAGATAAACATATGCATCTATAAAATTTAGCCTGCGAGAGAATGAGATAGAATACAGTATATAGTCTCCTATTATCTCAGTCTCGTCTTCTGAAGGTTTCACTTCTACCACGTGTGAACTGTGAACTGCACACATGTTTTTTTTAATGTTCATGGGCGATAATGAACAGTTACCACCAGGTGAGCCGTATGATCGTTTACCTCCGCTTCCATAGAAAAAAAGATATTGTTAAACTAGGTCTATGCGCTTTGCCATATTCGGCTGCATCACCATATAGCATCAGGTAGGAGGATACTTGTCAAGCACTGGTCTATATTGTTCAATCGAATTTCATCTTTACCAACATTTTTAATATGTCCTACCCCTAGCTCACCTCCACCAACTATTTATTGATTACGATGCATTATATATAAGCCCACAGGGTGATACCGCACCTATATTTTGATTCTTGGTCGTGAGGGTAGATGTAGATGTCTATATCCACTTAATATAAGTCGGATTGTGTGCTTGTTCGTCACACTTTCTTTAAAAAATATCACGCAAGCGCAGTCGCGACCATCAGCCAGTTAAAAAAATAAATAAAGTTGACTATAACCCGCGTACCTTATTCTCGGGCGTAAAAAACGTGTATTTATTGTTATTGTCGTGTAGAAAGAACAGCACATCAGTGAGCACGATCACAAAAATTGTTTGCATCTTACTGCGGCCCTGCATCAATGTCGCGACGCCTTCAAATCTGAAAGAACCAGGATAGTAAAATTCACAGTTTATAAACGTCGTAGTTTAGACACAGGCGCAGGAAAATAATAATGTGTGTTATTATTTTTAATGCACCAAGTGTCAAGAATTCGAAAGCCGTCATAGTAGCGAGGCAAGTAATTAAGCAACACGATTGTAGAAATAAGTTATATAACATGTAGACCCCCTCTTACTTCAAACTTCTATTGCCTTGCAATATATCACTTTTCTTGAACTTTCGTCCGCGGAAATTGGCGAAAGATTTGGCATCGATGCGATGATAAATCTCCAATTTCCTATCTTCACGTTCTTTGGCAGCAACTTGGTTGTCAACATCTACTAATATTTCCTGAAAACAAAAAAAATTACATTGAGTATTTGTGTACATTTATTAAATTTGTGCACTTTCTTTTAAGCACCGAGCTAAAATAGTTTTTACAATTTTCTAAGTTTGCTTTTAGTGTATTAAACATATAATCACGTGACACGCCTAACCTAACTTCATCAGCAGACTACTAGCTGACAGAAGGCGTTGAAACCTTATAACCTTGTTAAACCAACTCACACTTGGCGCGAACACTAAACTTCTTTATTGTGATTTTACAAGAAAAAAGTTGGCATTCTACTGTAACCCATGGTCATCTGCTAGCACCTTAAAACTAAGACGGCTAAGTGCTTAGTCGCCATGAAAAACTTAGACAAATTGTCTCACAGCCAGTAATGATACTGGCAATGTTCCGCTCAAACCAAAACAGTAATAATGGACGCACTGTTCTGTTTGGTGGCAGAATTGAGCAGCTTCCACTTATCCGGACAGGCTACGAAATAGAAAAGGCATCACAACACTTAGTAAATAAGCAGCAATGACTAACGTATTTAAAAACGATTATACACTTAAAAAAATAATTAATGAATCAGTTAGTACCTTGACGCCACATAACGCCTTTTGTAACAATTCCCGTTCGGTGACGTCATCACCAGCAGTCTTCAATAACGGCTCCAATAGCAGTGGATATTTTGTCAGCCTCTGTGCTACGAACAGCACGCATTCTGGTACACCCTGGTGACATACAAGGTTTTTTAAATACACATATAATTCATACTAAACCAAATATTACTGCATCAAAACTGGCCTTTTACTGTTTATACCTTTTTTCTAAGAAGCGGATTTTGTTGGCACTTGCGAATGAAGCGAGCCAGCCGTGGCTCCCTCGTGCAGCACTCTTTGAACACTTCTACAGCTTCCCGATGTCTTGAACAGAATTCGCCTGAAATTAAAGCAAAATTAATCAAATTCCTTTAGAAAGCGATTATGAAAGAATTTTACAAAATAATATAGTATATAACTATACAGTGAGTGAATGAGAAAGATAAAAATAAAGGTAGGTATAATTAAGAAAAAAAAAGGGTTTATTAAAATGATATTAATAATAGTTGTTACCCGCCCATTTCCCCTTTATACCAAATAATAATACTCTTTTCAACCGTCTGAGCGCGGTTGAATGACAAATATCAAAATACAATAACATAATATAAAGTTATGTAAGAAATAAGGATTCTGTCTTGAGTGGTACAAGAAATTATTCAAACATCATCATCACCTTGAATAAATTTGCAGCTGGACTTTGTTACCCGTCGCTGGTCATGGCAATTTATGTTCGGCGCAAATGGTACGCGTATATTTTTTATCACGGGTATAATTTCTAACCATAAGATCTTTAAATCTTTCTGGCATTTTTCATAGTCGCCTCTTAAGGACTTTCCGACTCACGTGATGAAACGTGGCACTGGAGGTCGATATCAGTAATGAATGATTGAAAGAACGAATTTGAATGAATGAATACAATTTAGTAAATCAAGAGAATCTATATCTTGAAGAAGCTTTTTTGTGTTGTTCGGAAATAAAACTGTGCATGTCAAATACTTTCAATTGTTGTTTTACATTTTTGGTCCTTCGAGCCGGATAAACCAGCGACGTATCGATTTATTTATTTATCCAGTGAATATAGTGTATTGAACCGTCAGCAATCTAGTTGCCATCACACGGTGGCAGTGGAGCTTAAAAGATTTGTTATGATAGACTCATTAAATTGCATTTGAACTGCTGTTGGTTCCATAGTTTCTAATACTCGTATTTATCTTTGTTTAAATATAATTTTGAATAGAATAAATGGATGAATGAATGATTGTAGTACCATGAGCGGCCTTGAGCGGTAGACATTTATCCGTAGTTACGCAAAAAGAATCTAACCCACAGTCGGGTCAAAAATTAGTTATATATTCAAAAATTAAGGTTTAGAATTTATTTTTTTCACAAACTAAAAGAAATTCCAACAAAATCTCAGTCAACAGAGAGAAAGGAAGTCAGGACCAATTATTATAATATAAGAACCTAAATAACCTCAATAATTTATTATCATAATTCCACTAATTACTAATCTTACATGAGCAACAGATGAATAAGCAATTAAAGATTTTATATCCACTTGATAAAAACAATTAAATCTAATATATAAACCCCCTAATAATGTAATAATAATTCAAATAAAATTTATTTGTATTCTAATATTTTGAAAAATAATTAAGAAAAAAGTCATTCCTACACTTGGAAACTACGTCTAGATGATTTCAATCGTCAATATTTCAAAAGTAGCCTTTTGTGGGTTAGATCTTTTTTGCTAAACAATGTCTATTTCACAGACTGTAATGAATGAATGAACGAATTTATTACTGTAATTGGCTTTGAGTAGGTGATGCATTGCCGGTGGTAATGTGTCGCAGAGTATGTCGGCGGTGTAATGAAATGTTACGAATGAACGTGTTACGTGGTATAGCCAAGTTTCAACTATGTTATGGTTGTAGTACGAATGGGTCGGTTCGACCGGGGAAGGATCACGTTTTCACAAAGTACTAGCGGAAAATAGTAGCTCAATGCTGCTGTGTTTCGTATGGAGAGTGTAGAGAATAGAGACGCTTTTTACTGGAAACAAGGCATTCCATTTTAGCCCACAGGGGTGACAACGCATTTGCATTTAGATTTTTATTACTAATTTACGTTTTTTCCCGCCGAGCGACCTTTAAGATTGTGTGCGTGCGAAGTAAAATTGTAGATTTCTATGCATTCTGAATTTTTAAGATAATAATTTTAAATTAAAAATTTTGTCCAACCGACTTTAATACAAATAAATTATTAAGACTAACGCAAAAATTTGGTCAGACCTTGATCAAATTTATATGGGGCCATATGTGAAGCACCCGCTTTCAAATAAAAAAAGGATCATCGAAATCGGTTCACCCAGTAAAAAGTTATGAGGTAACACACATAAAAAAAACATACTCCTCTCAAACAAACAGGCTCCTTTTTGAAGTCTGTTTGAGATTTTCTAATTAGGTTTTTTAATTAATCGCCTATATTACTTATTCTGAATATTCTCTGCAAATTTGGGCGTATATTGCAAAATAACATTGTATATAAAAATAATAAAAGAGGTAATGTATTACCGTAAGCGGCCTTGAGCCTGTGGTGTAGGGCAGCGCGAAGGCGTCATGATGGCGGTATAGTGAAGGAAACAACAAAGGGACGTATTACCGTAGGCGGCCTTGAGGCGGTGGTGCGCGGGCGGCGCGAAGGCGTCGGCCAGGATGTCGGCCACGCTGCGCACGTGCGGCTGCGCGCGCTGGCGGGCGCGCAGGCGGGCCAGCAGCGCGCCGTGCAGCGCCCACAGCTCGTCCAGCCGCGGGAACATGCGCGCCAGCTGCGCACAGCTCGGGAACGTTACCGTAGGCAGCCTTGAGGCGGTGGTGCGCGGGCGGCGCGAAGGCGTCGGCCAGGATGTCGGCCACGCTGCGCACGTGCGGCTGCGCGCGCTGGCGGGCGCGCAGGCGGGCCAGCAGCGCGCCGTGCAGCGCCCACAGCTCGTCCAGCCGCGGGAACATGCGCGCCAGCTGCGCACAGCTCGGGAACGTTACCGTAGGCAGCCTTGAGGCGGTGGTGCGCGGGCGGCGCGAAGGCGTCGGCCAGGATGTCGGCCACGCTGCGCACGTGCGGCTGCGCGCGCTGGCGGGCGCGCAGGCGGGCCAGCAGCGCGCCGTGCAGCGCCCACAGCTCGTCCAGCCGCGGGAACATGCGCGCCAGCTGCGCACAGCTCGGGAACGTTACCGTAGGCAGCCTTGAGGCGGTGGTGCGCGGGCGGCGCGAAGGCGTCGGCCAGGATGTCGGCCACGCTGCGCACGTGCGGCTGCGCGCGCTGGCGGGCGCGCAGGCGGGCCAGCAGCGCGCCGTGCAGCGCCCACAGCTCGTCCAGCCGCGGGAACATGCGCGCCAGCTGCGCACAGCTCGGGAACGTTACCGTAGGCAGCCTTGAGGCGGTGGTGCGCGGGCGGCGCGAAGGCGTCGGCCAGGATGTCGGCCACGCTGCGCACGTGCGGCTGCGCGCGCTGGCGGGCGCGCAGGCGGGCCAGCAGCGCGCCGTGCAGCGCCCACAGCTCGTCCAGCCGCGGGAACATGCGCGCCAGCTGCGCACAGCTCGGGAACGTTACCGTAGGCAGCCTTGAGGCGGTGGTGCGCGGGCGGCGCGAAGGCGTCGGCCAGGATGTCGGCCACGCTGCGCACGTGCGGCTGCGCGCGCTGGCGGGCGCGCAGGCGGGCCAGCAGCGCGCCGTGCAGCGCCCACAGCTCGTCCAGCCGCGGGAACATGCGCGCCAGCTGCGCACAGCTCGGGAACGTTACCGTAGGCAGCCTTGAGGCGGTGGTGCGCGGGCGGCGCGAAGGCGTCGGCCAGGATGTCGGCCACGCTGCGCACGTGCGGCTGCGCGCGCTGGCGGGCGCGCAGGCGGGCCAGCAGCGCGCCGTGCAGCGCCCACAGCTCGTCCAGCCGCGGGAACATGCGCGCCAGCTGCGCACAGCTCGGGAACGTTACCGTAGGCAGCCTTGAGGCGGTGGTGCGCGGGCGGCGCGAAGGCGTCGGCCAGGATGTCGGCCACGCTGCGCACGTGCGGCTGCGCGCGCTGGCGGGCGCGCAGGCGGGCCAGCAGCGCGCCGTGCAGCGCCCACAGCTCGTCCAGCCGCGGGAACATGCGCGCCAGCTGCGCACAGCTCGGGAACGTTACCGTAGGCAGCCTTGAGGCGGTGGTGCGCGGGCGGCGCGAAGGCGTCGGCCAGGATGTCGGCCACGCTGCGCACGTGCGGCTGCGCGCGCTGGCGGGCGCGCAGGCGGGCCAGCAGCGCGCCGTGCAGCGCCCACAGCTCGTCCAGCCGCGGGAACATGCGCGCCAGCTGCGCACAGCTCGGGAACGTTACCGTAGGCAGCCTTGAGGCGGTGGTGCGCGGGCGGCGCGAAGGCGTCGGCCAGGATGTCGGCCACGCTGCGCACGTGCGGCTGCGCGCGCTGGCGGGCGCGCAGGCGGGCCAGCAGCGCGCCGTGCAGCGCCCACAGCTCGTCCAGCCGCGGGAACATGCGCGCCAGCTGCGCACAGCTCGGGAACGTTACCGTAGGCAGCCTTGAGGCGGTGGTGCGCGGGCGGCGCGAAGGCGTCGGCCAGGATGTCGGCCACGCTGCGCACGTGCGGCTGCGCGCGCTGGCGGGCGCGCAGGCGGGCCAGCAGCGCGCCGTGCAGCGCCCACAGCTCGTCCAGCCGCGGGAACATGCGCGCCAGCTGCGCACAGCTCGGGAACGTTACCGTAGGCAGCCTTGAGGCGGTGGTGCGCGGGCGGCGCGAAGGCGTCGGCCAGGATGTCGGCCACGCTGCGCACGTGCGGCTGCGCGCGCTGGCGGGCGCGCAGGCGGGCCAGCAGCGCGCCGTGCAGCGCCCACAGCTCGTCCAGCCGCGGGAACATGCGCGCCAGCTGCGCACAGCTCGGGAACGTTACCGTAGGCAGCCTTGAGGCGGTGGTGCGCGGGCGGCGCGAAGGCGTCGGCCAGGATGTCGGCCACGCTGCGCACGTGCGGCTGCGCGCGCTGGCGGGCGCGCAGGCGGGCCAGCAGCGCGCCGTGCAGCGCCCACAGCTCGTCCAGCCGCGGGAACATGCGCGCCAGCTGCGCACAGCTCGGGAACGTTACCGTAGGCAGCCTTGAGGCGGTGGTGCGCGGGCGGCGCGAAGGCGTCGGCCAGGATGTCGGCCACGCTGCGCACGTGCGGCTGCGCGCGCTGGCGGGCGCGCAGGCGGGCCAGCAGCGCGCCGTGCAGCGCCCACAGCTCGTCCAGCCGCGGGAACATGCGCGCCAGCTGCGCACAGCTCGGGAACGTTACCGTAGGCAGCCTTGAGGCGGTGGTGCGCGGGCGGCGCGAAGGCGTCGGCCAGGATGTCGGCCACGCTGCGCACGTGCGGCTGCGCGCGCTGGCGGGCGCGCAGGCGGGCCAGCAGCGCGCCGTGCAGCGCCCACAGCTCGTCCAGCCGCGGGAACATGCGCGCCACCTGCGCCGCGCTCGCGCACCCCACGCGCACCATGCCCTCCGCGAACATCTGCACATGTCCAACACCTCATCTCTACACTCCCGCTCCCACTTCCTGTCCAACACATCGGATTACCACATGCCACATTATACACCCATCAGAACAATTATTTTTTTATTAATTATTTTTATTGATTTTGTATCTATCCACCTACACGATATATCAAGTACTACATCGACCTACGAAACCAACGATTTTCTCCACGAATTTAATAAAATGGCGCTGTTATTAATACCGCATACATTAGTTCACAGAGTCTTACCACAGGTCTGACGAAGTTGATCCGATACAATGTAGGGATCTAAGAAATTAACAAGCTTTTAGCGCTCCCTTCTCCATTACCGTTACCGCTACAAACCTATGAAAATCCATTGCTAAACAACAACCTCCCCATAAATTGCCACATAGGAGAAATATTTTTCCATAGCTGCCAAACAAACGCTTGGCAAACTTCGTTGACAATCGCAGTTTTTTACTTTTACTCGTTATTAGGAAGACGCTGCTGCTCATATCCTAATTTCATGCTCTCAATCACCTCTTACGACATCCACGGGATAATATGAGGTAGTGAATATTCTTATACCACCACCACACGATAACACGACTCCCTTCTTCGCTGCATAAATATTTGTTCAGCACGAAGTAAAAGTGCGAGATTCAGTTTTTATTGATATTTTTTTATATTATTCTAAGCCGACGCTTAACTACAATCTCACCTGATGGTAAGTGGTGATGTAGCCTAAGATTGTGAAGCGCACTGACTTAACAGAAGCCTATTCACTCTTGCGTTAAAGACACCCACACTGTAATCGGATGGAAAGACAGATGCAGGCAACTTATTCCACGCAGCAAACCGTTTGGTTCGAATACGTGGTAAGTCAACAACGAAAAGGTGGAGACTGGCTGAACGTCTGGTTGTCCGATGGTAGAAAGGAGAGGGAGGAATTAAATGCACACTCTGCGAAGGGCATCCTGTAAAAAATCGAAAGGCTGGCTACTTTGCGCTTGTGTTCGAGGCTGGTGAGAATGGTTTTAACCAAATTTAAGTCACCAATAAGCCTCTTAGTACACCTTTCCATTGAGTCCAAAGCTGATAGGTGGCATTTTGCTACTCAAGCCCATATATGACAGCAATACTCCATGCACGACCGGACTTATGCTTTATATAAAGCAAGCAGCTGTCCCGGCGTGAAGTATCGCCGCACCTTTGCAAGGGCTAAATGAACCGCCCGAAGTTCAAATTTGAGGATAGCTAGAAATGTAGGCGATTAAAAATCTAATTCAAGGATATGCCTTCCATACCCATGAAAATAGTTATATGATTTATTATATATTAAATGTTACGGCCTAATTCCACATTCATCGTAGAATCGAACACGTGATACCCGACACAGTACGGACAGTAGTTCAAAGTTCGACATTCAATGTCCCGGATTCACTTATCACAAAATTATAAATAGGGGACTAACGAATAAATCTCTTCATGAGTCACACGGTTCAGCGCTAAAGACAACTAAGATCCTTCGTTCGATACCAAAACACCACGCCGCGATAAGAATTCAAAATACGCCTCGTTGACACGCAAAACTAACAAACCAACCAACTCACAAAAAAGGACACTTAACGCGACGGCACAATTATAATGATTTCCAGACAATCAACCGGGAGACGCTCTCGAACAAGGAATGCGCGGTTCGAATCCTAGACCATATATCTACTCGGCGCGCGCGTGCGAAATTCCGCATCACCCAAGCAAGTTAAATATTGCAAAATTCACATATCCACGTAGCGAAGTAACACACACTAAATCTAACCATCTGGACCCTACCGGTCGCGTGAACTTCTGCCGCGATAACCGAGATACGCGCATTCACCGCATCGCGGCCAGCGAGCTACTCATCTCTTCGCCCACGCGTCGAGCCACTGCAAGCCACAAACGGCCGTCCCACTTGGCGGCGTTTACCTCACCTACACACCATCGGGTGACGCGCCAGCTCGAACGCGATTGGATGGCGTTCAAAATGACCAATTTTGGGCATAAACATTAAATATTAAAATCAAATATTTTTGTTCCACCAGGCCTTCATAAAAAGGCGTTTACTACCGGTTCTTTCCCCAGCAAATTTGAATTTGATTATGTAAAAACAATTCGGCAATAAAAACACCAGCGTAATTTATTAACTTAATGCTTCTGTGATTCGGAATTTAGAGAACCGGAAAATCTTCTTACTTAGAACGAGGTGCTCTATCTTAGCAAGGGTGACAATGCATTTACATTGCAATTTAAAATAAACTGTGTGCTCGTTTATCAATCTTATTCTATATAAAATCACTTTTAACATGACCAAATGAGAAACAAAGCAACGAGATGTATGCCAAATTTTTCATCTACTTTTCATTTTATGCAAGTAAAGGTGACAAATGACTACAGCCCACCAAAGGGTAAGTGCTACCGTGGTCCCGACAACCAAATATAAGCTCTGATCCAGACTAAGTTGAAATTGGTATCCGTTTCTCACGAATAACTATATATGTCAGTAGCATAATAATGTTATAAAGACTGATTGATATCCTGTACAAGAATGCTCCTTCCTCAGTCGAGCCGACCTATTCGCGCTGCAGCGTGTCTCTATTAGAATAAATACCGGGTTGTTAGTGAAACGCTCCCGAAAACGAAGACAGACGATAGTACTAACGACACCTTTGATGATGGGTCATAAAGAAATTCGATCGAAAATCGAAAAATAAATCATCTTTACACAACGTTTTATTAACTTTATTCACGCTCCCCCGTGTTAGTAAAGCTAAATGAAACGATAATTTCATTAAAGAAATCATGAAAATACTTAAACATAAAACCGGCAGTGAAACTTAAAATAAAATCAGCTGACAATAGGGTCAATGTTCTCAACGACCCCATACTCTTATCTAGCCCGGCGCGAAACAATGCCTACTCACTCTACCCTTCCCTTTCACACACGCGCTACCGCCGCCCGGCCGGATCGTGTCGTCTCGCGCTGTGGAATTTACACATGTCAGTTCTGCCAACATGTGGGGAATTCCCAAAATTGCGGGGACTTTAAAGTTGGTTGGGGATTTTATGGGGATTGGTATTATGCGGGAAAAATACGTGGATTTTGAAAATCGTTAGCCAGGGCCAAGTCACAACCATTTTTCAAGAAATCTAAATACTTATATTAACATTTTGTTAGGTTAGTTATGAATATCGAATGACTCCCTTTTTTAATTATCTTCATTGCACCACACTTAATTTTTGGATTTATTTCGGCAACTTTTTTGTATCATTTAATGCTTTTCATTTCTTTATTTTTTAATTTTAAAGAAATAAATGTTACTTAAAAAGTAAATCTTATAAATGAATCAAATTTCGATCGAATTTCTTCATGACCCATCATGAAAGTTATTGTTAGTACTATCGTCTGTCTTCGTTTTCGGGAGCGTGTCACTAATACGCGGTATAGAAATAATTAAAAATTTTGTACAACTGACAATATATATTATTAGGGATAACTAAAAAACTATTGGTCAGGCCTTGACCAAATTATGTGATCACATGAGAAGCACCAGCTTTCAAATAAAAAAAGAAGCATCGAAATCGGTTCACGTAGAACAAAGTTATGAAGTAAAACACATAAAAAACATACAAACGAATTGAGTACCTCCTCCTTATTGAAGTCGGTAGAAAAAATACAGAAAGAAGAACTGACCTTTTGCATAAGTCGTATCGTGAGACAATGATGTTTCTCCGTCAAAATCAACTCGTAAATGTGCTCTTGACGCTTTGTTTCCCTTTCGCCGAGTGACCTGGAACATTGTTCATGATACAATTACAGTTCAAGTTTTATAATGTAAGTATGTATTTAATAAATTTCTTGACATTTGACTGAAGGTTGGAAGATAAATCTTGTACGTGTTCCCGTCAAGATTTATCTTACTTTTAGATTATATTATATTACTTATTAGATTTATTTTACTTTTGGCCGGTAAAGAACAAACAAAGAAGTATAGAGGAAAGTGTCTGACTTGGCGAGTCCCTTGGGCGCGCCGGCGGCCCAGGTGTCGGGCTCGATGGCGCCCAGCCCCAGCGCCGCCGCCTCCTCGCCCAGCTGGTCCGCCGTCAGCGCAGCCTCCAAGCACTCGCTCGCGCCCGCCTCGTCCGAAGCGCTGCACGACAACCACACCCGCTGTTAGTAGCCGGGCTGTGCAGCGCTGCAGCCGCTTCATGCGCCGAGTGCGGCAACCCGCTCGCAACCATCGTCATATAGCAATATAATGCTAAGACTTCTATGTATACTACTACTACAGGGGCTCTGCGGCCTTAGTACAATGCGCATTTTCTCCGTAAGCCACGAACGGTATTTTCGACAATCGAACACTGTTTTCTTTAAATGTGACTAAGCAAATACTGTCATTATTTATGTGCGCACTTTGTCAACGCGATTTGAAGTTTCTTTCAGATAAGTATGTAACTTTATTTCGTATTTGCCTTAACAGTAACTGTCGTAAATAAAATACGACTGACATCTTGCCTGGCATATTTACCGTGCCAGCTAACCACCCCCACCCGCGCCCGCACGATCCAAACTGTGCCACAGTTTTGTTCTAAAATGCCGGTCTAGTGGTATACATAGACGTCTTTGGCGTTTGGCATTGGCAGATACCGTTTTACTGGTCATTCTATCTTAGTTCTCAGTAGTGACAATACATTTGCTTTTCGATTCTTAATCGAGGAGGATATATGAGATGTCTATAGGACACAGTATGCATGTTACTCTTTAGGTGTACTGTACGCTCGCATGTGAGTCACACTGGGACCTGATTTTTCTATCGACATATAAAAGTTGTCCATCAAATAAATTGTAAGTTATAAAAGTGAAACAATCAAACTATTTTTAACCGCCCACGCAAAAAAAAAATAAAATCAAATCAAATCTAAAATCAAATTAATAGTATAAGTTTGACCGGTATGTGTGTCTGTCTGTCTGTGTGTCTCTTTGTGGCACCGTAGCTCTTAAAAGGGTGAACCGATTTGGATGCAGGTTTTTTTTAATTTAAAGCAGGTTTTCAAGCGGCGGTTCTTACACATGTTTTATCAAAATAGGTTCAGCCCTTTGAAGATCATCAGCTGTTTTTGTTTTGGTGGTTATTAAATTTTCAATTTATGTTCATGTAACTTTAAATTTCAATTTGCTTGAGTTGTATTCCATGCCGTAAGCGCTAGGCACAACGGTATGTTCTACTAGGGCCTAAAAATTAAGATTCCAACGTTTTGTCGCATGAAATCATGTATCTAGCAATCATATTGTACATATAAGTGATAAAAAAAGCACATTGTCAGAAAGATAAATGATTGTTGAACTTATTTTTTTTAAATTGATTAATTGCTATTTTTACATAAAAAAGGAGTTTTAGTGGCTTATGGTGTGGATTTATCAAGTCCACATCTGCTAATGGAATTCCTCGACGAGGAGAAATAGATGTGCCGAGTTTGGGCTCGTTTTGTTAGTTATGATGAGACTTTACCTTCGGACTTAATAGATGGATTTGAAAGTGTACTTTGATGACTGCTACTGGAACTCCTTGACGAGGAGAACTAGAAGTGCCGAATTTGGGCTCGTTTTGTTAGTTATGATAAGACCTTACCTCCGGACTTGATAGAGTGACTTGAAAGTGTACTTTGATCACTGCTACTAGAATTCTTTTACGAAGAAAACTACAAATTACAATTTTTTTTTAATTTTTTCATAATCATATGAGCATTATGTGTCGTGCACTTTTGGACTTTCCAAACTTTTTTTTAAATTGAAGTTTGACATAAAATTATCGGAAAATTGGAAATATAATAAGGTTATTAGTGAAAACATGTGTGTATTTAAACTACTTTGAAAATTCCGTATAATAATGTTATACGTATTTTTCTTTAACGCGCTTTGGGAATGCCCGATTGGATTTACTAATTTTTGTAATTACTAAGATTAATCTGTTTAATGCCCAAATACTCAAACGTTACTCAATTTATCCTATTAATAGCTTTAATCTGATGATTGAAAAATCGACAATCTATATATTTAAAAAAATTCTTCTTATTGCTCATAAATAATCCTCTTTTATTTAAACATATATTAAATACAAAAAAAATATACGTTTAAAATTAAAATTTCTTACGTCAAAAATAAAAAAAAAATATTATCATATATATTTCATAAATCAACTTCAAAATTCTTTAGAATCAGTTTAATATATAATAAAACACTTATCACTGCAAGAGTATTATTGATACATATTACTTAATTTATCTTTCAATAATTTTCTATTTAAAAAAATTAAATAAATAAATTGAGAAACGTTTCAAAGGTAAAAATATTTTCATGGATCGAATATTTAACTTCTTGAACGTTCTAAATAGAATAATTTCTATTAGGAAACACACACACACACACACACACACACACACACACACACACACACACACACACACACACACACACACACACATACATATATATATATATATATATATATATATATATATTAACGCACTTTGAGAATGTAGTTTGTTCAGAATCGTTTACTGAATCGATTTCTATCATTTTTAATATTGGTAATTTTTTATTCCAAAATAATTGAAACTACGTAATTTACAGTCACACTAAACCTGTACAGTCAAAACGAAACTGAAATGGACCGTAACTCAAGGCAATAAGACTTTTAAAAGTGCAGTTTTATTTGTATTAATACAAATTCCGTCATTCAATACAAAATAAAGAAAATTGAACCTTATTTCAAGTATATTAGTCTTTACAAATACAGAGTTTGGAGTGCCTTATAAAGGCCATTGACCGCCCAGATCACCTGATTTGACGCCTCTTGACTTTTTTTTATGGGGACGTATTAAATCATTAGTTTATTTTAGTGAGACAACAAGTGCCGAGGACGTAAATATAGTAATTCTATGAATAAACGATTTTAGAATAGTGAAAAATGATACTGAATTGCTTTCTAAATTATTTTCTTTCTTTTTTAAAACGTAACCTCCACACTAGGATTTTCTCTTGTATTGTGGGTGCAGTGTACAAGACCCGGAACAATTATTTGTAGGCCATACAAATATTTTTCCGTGCTGGATACGAACCGGCGGTCCTTATCGCTGCAACTCAATAGGGTATTACACCCATTTTCAATAAGTGTTTTAAATGAATCCTAGAGTGATAATGAACCACTATATTTTTTATATAATTTTTTTAAAACCGAATAGTGACATAAAAATTACTTTTAATCTATCGTTTTAAATTTTCGCGTGAAAACGCTAGCCGCCATACTGTTCAACTCGTGACGTCACTCGTAGAATTTTGACAATTTGCACAGGAATAAGATACTTTTGAATGTTAATGAGTTATCATTTATATCATTGTTGTGTTGTGCCTGATTGCAAAAATACGAGCATAAGAACGCCGGGGAAGTTACGGATTAAAGTGTCAACTGATTTAAATATGAGAAATACTTGGTTAAAACTGGCAAGAAGAGACCCGAAGGCATTGTCTACAAAATCTAAACTATACTTCTGTGAAGATCATTTTGATGTAAGTATGACTTATATTTAACTAACGATTAAACAAAACAAAACATCGTGACATGATAGGTACCTATTGCAAGTCAAATTTTGTAATAGATTAGGTTAATCGCTCGTCTGTCCCGCCTTTTGTGGGCCATTTTGATTTTACTTAATTCCTGTTTTCTTCTATTATATGGGAATAAAGACATGGTTTGTACTCAGATCAAATAAAAAGTGACTATTTCGTCTGAGGGTTTGTACAAAAAATATAACAAAAGGTTTTTCTCACCTAAGCTTATATTATAATATCTATAACATTAGTGCTAAAAGTGAAGTAATAAACTCGCTTTTACGAATCCGTCTTTCATGATGCCATTTCAATAAAATTCGAAATAAAAGTCAACAATCGTAATGATAACTTAAAAAATTTCGAAATTAGCTAGTTAGTACACGCACATAACCTCGTTCTTTGACCTAGTGACGTCACGACGCTATCTAATATGGCAGACATCGTTTTACAGATTTGAGGCACAGGTAAAAAAAATATTTTTTAAATTGAAATATATTTATAATGCATTACAATAGAAATCAATATTTCTCGTTTACTTTTTACAAAATCTATCATAAATATATATTCTTTGATTTTTTTTACATGGTGTAAAATACCCTATTGCTAAGCCACTGCGCCACGGAGCCGTGGTGGACATTTTGAAAATGTATTAAAATACAACGGTTGCATGAGAGTTTAGGCTATCAGTAAGTTAAATATTTGATTCTTAAAATTATTGTAATCTTGATTCACATCTTTTACACACGCCGTCTTTGAATTATGTTGTCGTAATTGCCTCTTAGTTTTAGCAGTAAATTATTATTTACAATTACAATTAAAATGTTATGCAAATTCATAACATTTTGTAACGAATATTGCCTATTGACATTGTATCATAATCAATAAACAAAATTATTCAGTCGAAAGTCCAATGCTTGAAAAGTGTGATTGAAAGATGCAATCAAATGTTTACTAGACTTAAATAAATAACTCAATGCACGGAGTTCTGACATCTGTTAATGTCCATAGGTAGGTATTTCTTTAACGTAATCAATCATGTATTGTCGGCTTTTTTCTAGGTTAGCAAGACCTATACTTAGCGTCCGTGGTTTTGTACGGTGACCACAACATTCTTCACCTTAACCTTCAACTGTGTAACCTTAAAATCGCAAATGCCAATATCTTTTCTTACGCAGATGATACAGCTCTTGTATTCTCTGGTGAAACATGGACTGAAATCCAAAGGATCGCGGAAGAGGGACTAGAAATAATTGCTCAGTGGTTAAACTCAAATCTTCTTACCCTCAACGTTATTAAAACAAATTTTATGTGCTTTACAATTGATAAAAAAACAAAAACTAGTGATGACTTTTATTGAGGATACATAACTGTAGAAATCGAAAAAGTTCATCATGTGCATACCAATCAATTGAGAAAGTTGTGGTTGCTAGATATCTGGGAGTGGTTCTTGATCAGCGCTTGTCATGGTATCCACATTTAGATAAACTTATTAGTAGGATTAGAAAACTAACGTGGATATTTAAAAAACTTAGACATGTCGCTGACAAAACATTGTTAACCAGACTCTATATTACGTTGGTACAATCAGTATTGTCTTATTGAATTCCTGTATGGGGTGGAGCCACTAAAATAAAGTTTCTGGAAGTGGAAAGAACCCAAAGATCTCTGCTAAAGGTTATGCTTTTCCTACATTATCGATTCCCAACTAATACATTATACACTTATAGTGCCTTGTTGACAGTAGGGCAGCTATACATTCTCAAGCTACATAAATTTTTACCGTATGATCCTGCAATACTGACTAAAAGGAGGAAAGACAGAGTCATTGCCACCACTACGGTGAAAACAGCTTTTGCAGCTAAACAATATCTAATAATGTCGCTTAAGCTTTATAATAAAGTTACACACACACACACACACACACACACGCACGCACACACATACACAAACACACACACACCCACATACACACACAAACAAAGTAAAATTAATATTAAATTATATAATATATAATAGTAATTTTATGTAGACTGATTTTATAATTAATCACAAATGCTACACTTTGTATTTGTAACTAATACTTACCTCGTAGTCATATAATATGGAAGAGCGATAACTTCCTAATACAGGTATTTATATACTTGAAAGGAATGTTATCAAAATGTGTTGGTAAACCATATTTAAAAAAAAAACACGTAACATAATTAACGCACATCCTGAAAGTAGTTTGTTCAGAATCGTTTACTGAATCGATTTCTATCATTTTTAAAATAGGTAATTTTTTTCCCAAAAATAATTAAATCTGCGTAAATTACATTCACACTAACACTACATGTACAGTCCAAACAAACTGAAATGAACCGTAACTCAAGACAATAAGACTTTTAGAAGTGCAGTTTTATTTGTATTAATACAAATTCCGTCATTCAATACAAAATAAAGAAAAATGAATTTCCCTGGGAACCTGGGATAGATCGAGATAGCACGTTACCGGAGCGGGCGCTCCGCGCTAGTCGGCTACGATGAAAGCTAACTTAAATTAAACAATATTTATTAGTCATTATGAGTGGAAAGTACTTACGAGATTGTGTGCAAATAATTTTTCGCGCGCGATGTCTTTCCAATACAGCAACGTTTAGTACACCAAAATGGTAAGGACTTTTGCACAGTGTGGTGATAATGTGGCTCTAGCTTGCAGAACATTCAACCAAAGCTATGGTACAAGAGTAGACCGCAGGACTATGTTAGCTGCTACTCAACGGCTTCGCGATCACGGAACGTTCCGTCCGAACACGGCCATCGACAGGGGAGACAATGTGCGTACACGTACTCGTCTTCAAAACGAAATACTGGACTATTTCGATGAGAATCTCCATGCCAGTACTCGAGAAGCAGCCCCACGCTTTCAATGTAGTCATATGCATGTGTGGAGAACACTTCGTGGTGATAAAGAACATCCATTCCACCTCAGAAGATGCCAGGAGTTGACTCCAAACGATTACGCACCACGCTTGCAGTTCAGCCACCGGTTATTAGAAAATTGGCAGCGGAACATAATTTGGACAGATGAAAGTACATTCACACGTGTGGGGATGTATAATCAACACAACACACATTTATGGATGCACGAAAATCCTCACGCATGCAGAGTTGATTCCTTCCAACACCGTTTCTCAGTTAACGTCTGGGTCGGTATCATTGGTAGATACATACTGGGGCCTGTGTATTTACAAAGATTAACAGGAGACGCATATTTACTGTTTTTACGAGAAACTCTACCTACGCTGCTAGAAGACATACCTCTTAACAATTTACAAGAGGTATACTACCAACACGATGGTGCCCCTGCTCATTTTACTAGGAGTGTTCGACAACACCTTGATAATGAGTTTGGAGAGCACTGGATCGGACGCGGCGGCCCAGTTCAGTGACCTCCCAGATCAGATGATTTGACGCCTCTTGACTTTTTTTTTGTGGGGACGTATTAAATCATTAGTTTATTTTAGTGAGACAACAAGTGCCAAGGACCTAAAAAATAGGATAGTGAACGCTTTTGGAATAGTTAAAATGACACTGACGTGCTTTCTAAATTAAAATACCAGTCGATAAAACGCTCATTAAAATGTATTGAACAAAGTGGTGGACATTTTGAAAGTGTATTAAAAACACAACGTTGCATGAGTGTTTAGGCTATCAGTAAGTTAAGTATTTGGTTTTTTTTTAATTATTGTAAATATTTTGATTCACATCTTTTAAACACGCCGTCTTTGAATTATGGTGGAAGTATGGTCGCCTCTTATTTTTAGCAGTTCGTAATTTACAATTACAATTAAAATGTTATGCTAATGCATAACATTTTGTAACGAATATTGCCTATTAACATTGTATCATAATCAATAAACAAAATTATTCATAGTCGACAGTCCAAAGATTGAAAAATGTGATGGAATCAAATGTTTACTAGACCTAATAAACAGCTCGAGTACGAACATCAGTTAGTGTTCATAGGTAGGTATTTTTTTAACATAAACGTATATTGTCGGCTTTTTTCGGCACTAATACCTAACTACAGTTGTGTCAAGCGGCGGCGGCGTTAACTCGTCTCGAACGCGAGCGAATACCTACTGGGATTACCAAGACTCTCAAAACCTATACATACGTGAGCGACTGCGTGCATTCGTGGATTTATACTGTGACCACAACATTTTTCCGGAATTAGTATAACTAATTTAATAAATAAGCAATGCATAAACATGTTTAATTAAATAGTCAGTGTATGTATTATGATTATAACATAATATACTAATTGGGGTGTCTGAGGTTGTGCGTTAATTACGTTATAATAATTTGAAATTGTATATATATATACAATATATTATATTGTATATATATACAATTTCAAATTTATGTTATGTAACGCCTATTTACATATAACAACTGAATATAACATAGTATGTTGCATCAACATTTATATAGTCACTTACGTGTTATTTTATAATAAAAACAAAATACTTTAAAACATTTACGTTTAAACTTTTTTAATACTCACTTGCTCTGGTCGTGTTTATGATCTGAGCCGTCCTTTTCATCGTTGTACACACTCGTGCTAAAAATACAAAATGGCGTTATCAGTATATTGTAATCTAAATATTCATATTACAAACAGAATAATATATTATATCTAATTAATAATAATATATGATAGATCTTTTCTTCTCCTTATATATACAATAAATATTCTACATAATATATTATTCTGTGTGAATTTATATTGAATACAAATAATTGAAAAGGTACAGACGAGGGCAATATTCGGCCGACTCAACAAATGGCACTGATACAGTAGGTTTTCTTAAGCAATATACGTGTGATTGTGATAATATACCCCTTTCATACGACCGGCTGTAAATTATAAATAAAACATAACAAAATTGTAATACGTTCACTATTTGCATTATAAACAATAACCATATTTATAACTTCAGCAAAGCCTAAATAGTAATAAAAAGCGAGACGAGACGTTCACAGTTTAAAAACGCAAAAATAACCTCATGCAGATTTAAAATCGCCTAGGCAGTTTGTAACTAAATGTCGAAAATTTGAACAACCCCTAAATGAAAAAAACAAACCTTCTCAATACAGGAAGAGCTAAAGAGGAGATGTTGACCATTTAAAATTCTAAAATTAAGTCATGAAAAAAAAAAGAAATATTGAAGATGCAAATGAACCGATACAACAGTAAATTGTAATTTTAAATGCTGTTTTCCACGTGTTCAGCGATGAATGAACTGGACTCAATGAACCACTCAAAGTTGGGGCCTGGAATAATATCAACGCGCAATAGTTGTATGAACTGTAGGCCGTCGGTGTACTCCAAAGATATATCCCGGAAAGTAGGAGCCGGGGTGAGCGGAATCCTATCCTGAGACAGGCTTGTGTTTTGGAGGCTTTAAATCTCACAAATTTTGGCATTAAGAGACTGTCTGCATTAAGACTGTCTGCAGTAAGAGATTCACACGCTCAACCATAGCTTCTTTTTCGAACTCTGATCCCGACTGACCCGAGCATTCAACTGGTATCTCTCTGTAACCTATACTGTACTCTCAGAAATGATTATTTGTTGCACTCAGAACGATTTGGTACAAAGGCGAACTTAATGCTGAAAAGGCATTCTCTGCCAGCTAACCTTTGGTAGTGTGGTGAGAGCTATGGGTAATGGGCAGAGCCCCGACAGAAAAAACTAGCTTACATCGAATACAAATTAGATTGTAATTTTTTTTATAGAATAAGGGTGACAAACGAGCGCACAGTCCACCTGATGGTAAGTGAACGCTGCGGCCCATAGACATCTACATCTATCCTAGATTAAGACTCAAAATGCAGATGCGTTGCCATCCCTGAGGACTAAGATGGAATGCCTCGTTTCCTGTAAAAAGGGTCTCCGGTTCTCTACACTCACAATTAGAGACACAGGAACATCGAACTGCTATTTTACGCTGGTATTCTGTGAGAGCGTGGTCCTTCCCCCAGTTGAGGCGACCCATTCGTGCTACAACCATAATAAAGCTGCATGGCCCTCCCACGCAACTATTTTAAACATAAAGGAATAATAATGAAACCCAAAACTATTTTCTGCTTCAAATTAAAAAAAAAACGCTAGCTGTATCATAACAGCAGTGCAATATATCACACTTAATTTTTAACGACTTGTGGTTGGCCATTATTTATATAATTTAAACTAGCAACCCAGACTAGCAACGGGCAGAAACGTTAAATGTGTAAGACGTTAGTTCAGCAGTCGTTTATTCGCCTACCAAAAGTGACAATTAAAGAATATCCGCCCAAAACGGGGGAGAATTTACGGGCTGATGATGAAAAAGAAAAACAAGTAAATTTTATAAAAATTAAAAAAATTACCACGTTTCGAATTTGAGCTATATTCAAAATTTCAAATTTCCAGCTCATCGGGAAGTTAGTTTACATCAAATACTAAATTCCACCCGGAACGACAGACAAACAAGAAAGAGACTTAATAAAAACGTAGTAAAGTAGTTTAAATGGGTGGCGAAAAGTATTCGAACGATTTAAAAGAAATACTTTATAAAAAAAATCATCACTTATCAGTAACATCAAAGTTCAATCTCCTATTTAACTCTTCTGTTTCTCGCCACTTACAACAAAACAAGAGTTCAGCAAAAAAAATAATACATATCAACTGATCGTAACTCCAACCAAGATCTACGACAACATTTTTCTCAAGAGAAATTTCAAACTACCTCCATAATAGATAGAAAGATACACAAGTAAGGCGTTGTGGATGATTCAAGAACAATCTAGAAGAGCTTCTGTATTGAATGTATGATGAACAGACACTGGAGACGCAACAAAATTGATCTGTTAGAGGTACTTTGTTATTTGAACATTTGTTTCTTATTATTAACTTCAAATTTGTTTGCAGCCAGAATTAGACAAATACCTATTAAAGTTATATAATATTGTCACCTATTAAAGTAATAAGTTTTTTTTTAAGTTATGTCATGTATAACTGATAACAATGTGGTGAATTTTAGCCGAAATAAAGGTATTTTACATTATGAGTGTCCTATTACTTACATTGTGAATATATTTTTCTATTATTTTATTTCTAATATATTTCTTTAATACTGGAATATTGAGTACAAGGAGCGTTTTGAATTTCCTCTCCGCATACACCACTTAGTTATAACCGCTAAGCTCAATTTAATCCCTAATGGATGTGTACATACGAGCGCTTTTTAATGGTTTTGAGTGGCTTTTAGTACAACAGCACACACCTACAATTTTTATCAGATACCAAGCAAAAATATTACGAAAAATAATAAATCTGGCATCTACATGGACATATCCTTATAATTATTTTATTAATTCGATATTTATTGAAAGACAAGGTTATTATATTCTGAGAGAGGTAGTACTAGTCATAATTAAATAAATTGAAAATGACAAAGTACTTCTAGACAAAAAAAAATCGAGATCTTAAAATACTGCCACTAAGCAAACGAAATACTCAACAAACCTTAAAAACTCAACAAAAACAAAAACCGGCGCGAGTGACCAGGAGTACAGAGCCGCGACGAATGTGAGTAGAGAGAGCGAGAGAGACAGACTATGACGATGAGTGTGCGGATGAGAGAGATAGAGGCATTCCCGCAAACTTACTGCACGCCGAGCTTGGTCGCGACGCGCCGCCACGGCGAGTAGCACCCCGACGTCTGCTTCTTGCTGTGTGCGTGACCGAACACGAACACACGTGTACATATGTGTGTGTTTATACACAACTATACGAGTCTGTGTGGGGCGCGGTGAATACGCCACTAGCAAAGGTGACTATGATAATTAAAAACACTCCAAATAATGTTCGTTTGGTGTTTTTAAGTCAGAATTTAAGAAAAAAGTATTAATTCAAAGGTTTACGTACACATCAGTGCTCGAATTTACGAAAAATCATTTTGTTGTTATCGGCGTTACTTAATTTCAACAATAGTAAAAACATACATAAAGGCTAAATATGTCAGAACTCTCTGAATAAAAAAAATATATTTGAACAAATTATATAACTAGCATTTCCCGCGAATATAATCAAAAAATGTTAGGATATAGGTAGTTTTTAGAAAATTGTAATAAATCTTGCCAATTTGAAAGGAAGATATTATATTAATATTTCTACAAAATATATATAATAAATATATATATTTTAAGTTTTAAAATAAAAAGAATAAGGCGTAGTCACATCTGCCAGTCACGTATTATAGAGCCACCATGTTGTCTAAGAATTTTGTAATAAACAGTTCACCTCGATTCACGTACCGATGAATCCTTACAAATGCTGACAAATGAGTCGTTAGAAAAATAATTACTAAACCAAACAGGAAAAAGTAGCTTACCGGAAGACAGCGACAGCGTTACAAATAAAAATAGCCGGGAAACGAGAGAAATTGGCAATGATACAAAGCAAAATAGTAAAAGTATATAAGACGTTTAAGTGTAGTATATAGAAAAATACATTCTCCGCGTAATATAGTGTCACATACTTGTGTATCTTCGTATAGTTATATAAAACACTTGGCATATAGCATCGTCCAATATGTCATCGTACCTCAATATTAAAAGTAAACGACGTCCACCTGCAGGCGAAATTCGGCTCTTTGCTCGCAATATTTTAAAAAGAATCTTGCACAATATCGCGCGCAACACAAATTCAAAAATGCATTAACGTAAAAACCCTTTATAGGCACTATCCCATTGCGCCTTCGACTGCGACAATTAAAAAAGCAACAAAATATATGCCATACAAATTATATCGAAAATTCTAAAGCATGATTCGTGTAATTTATGATTTTAAACTTACAAATTAATTATTATTATGCTTTTGCGACTATTTTAAGGTTCATTTTAAAATATCAAAACTGCTTACCTATTGGCATTTTGCGACTGACCGGAGAGGGAGCTACGTTTGCTACTTTTGCCGCTATTTGTGCTTAGCGATTTGCCGACAGAAGTCTGAAAAATAAGATATTTTGTTTTCTTTGTTTTCTTTTTTTAAAAACGTTACCCCCACACTAGGATTTTCTCCTGTGTCGTGGAGGCAGTTTACAAACATAAATTGCACAAGGACAAACATCCAGATCCGGAACAATTATTTGTAGGCCATACAAATACTTGTTCCGTGCGGGATTCGAACCCGCGGCCCCCAGCGCAACAACTGATTGCTAAGCCACTGCGCCACGGAGCCGTATTGTATTTAGTTTTATCAAAAATAATAATAATAATAATGCAAAATCGTAATATCATAAAAAAGGAACATTACATAGAATAACTGTTATGTGTGCATTTTACTTTTTCTTATCTCTAAAGCTGAACGTACATTTATCAACACCGTACGCGCTGTACGCGCCGCATTTTAGAATTCGTTGTATGAAATCATATGAAACCTCGCACATTGCAACCGCAGCGTACGCGTCGATTTTTGAATATGCGGTAGGTATCCGAATATTGAAGGAGGCATGCTGAAGACGCCAGATAACGCGGCGCGTTCGGCGCGTGCTGATACTCAGTTTTATCTAATGTTGCCAACTTAGCGGATTTTCCACTAAAACGTGTGGTTTCGATGTTCGTTTCGAAATATATTTTATATAGGTTTTAGTATATGTAGCAATTCTTGAAATTTCTTGTATGTCAAATGCAAATATCTGAAAACTCATTCATCATCTATACAAAATAAATAAAATTGAAGTGTCTGTTTGTAATGTCGAAATAACAGCTTTTTACTATTTGCACATGAAAGTATATACGGTACTTATAACAGAAACACTGTTCTTAAATTGTTTGTCTGTCTGTCTGTTTGTTCCGGCTAATCTCCGAAACGGCTGGACCGATTTTGACCGGACTTTCACTGACAGATAGCTGATGTTATAAGGAGTAACTTAGGCTACTTTTATTTTATAAAACAAATTAGGGTTCCACGCAAAAAATTAAAACCTATGAAATCCAATCGTAATAAATTACGCGCGGGCGAAGTCGGGAATAGCTAGTCATCTAGTAAGTCTTTAAATAAAGTATAACATAATTAATAGAATCAGGCGTTACTTTGCGGAAATCCATTATATAAAAGCTTTTACAAAAATTTACTTCGCAAATATCCGCGTTATAAAATAAAATGATGTGTCTTACCTAGTATGAAGAAGCACCTCCCGCCCTCCCTCAATTGCGTGCACTATCCCCGTCACCACTAATCCCAGCACCGCTACTTCCAACACCACTACACTAGGCAAGACACACCACTGACGATAATACGACACGTGTTTCGCCTCTACACGAGGCATCCTCAGGTGATATAGACTCTACGGTGGCTAACCGCTAAGTGAGCGGCGAGCCAAAACAAGTGCCTTTTATACAAACCGATGATGCAACCGCTCTCTACCTAACGAGCGAGCGATTGCGTCATGCGATAAAACATGCGACCAATCACCGCTGGACTTACGCAGCCGTTTGTAAAATTAAAAACAAACCGCCGCGCAACGCCCACATTATTAGAGAGCAGGCTTGAAGATATTTAAGAGAGGTGAGTTAGTAACATTTGTTTGTTCATTCAGCAATGCAACGGTATTATTATTACTTTTTAATATCTCTAACTGTTCCAGCACACACAGCCGCAGCCCTTTATTACACGTATGTAAGACTTTAAAGGAGTGGTCGTTGGCTAGGTTGTGTCCAGTGTCCAAAAGATGTTTGGCAAAATGGGATTTATCGGGATTGCAATTCCTGCACGTGGCTAAATGCTCTTTATAACGTGTCTCGAAATTGCGACCAGTCTGACCCACGTAAACGGCGTGGCATTCGTCACAAACAAGTTTGTAAACACCTGACTTTTGACGAATATCTAACTTATCTTTACTATTACAGATATTTCTAAGAGAATTGTTTGTTTTGAACGCCACATGAACGCCGTTTTGTCGAAGAGTATTAGCTACTTTTTCAGATATGGGGCCTAAGTAGGTCAAACTGCTCACATATCGATGAACACTTTGAGGTTGAACCGCGTACAGAGAGTTGCGAATAACATGCTTTTGTTTCTTTTTAATTAAATTGTTAATGAGATTTTTTGAAAAACCGTTAGAGACCGCTATTTGATAAATTATATTAAGTTCTTTTAAATAATTTTCTTTACTTAATGGGACAGTGAACAAACGGTTAATGTAACAATAAAAAGCGGCTACTTTATGTCGCCATGGATGACATGATGACGCGGGGATGACCGTGTCGGTGTGAGTTGGCTTTCGATAAATTTGGAAAACATGTGACGATTCTTTTCTTGTTATTGTTAAGTCAAGAAAATTAAGGGAACAATCTTGTTCCAATTCAAGTTTAAATTTAATTTTGTCATGGACTCTATTTATTTTATTGAGGAAAACATCCAGTTGTCTCCTTGTGCCAGTCTAGCAAATAATTATGTCGTCTACATATCGATAGTAATATAAGATATTTTGATTGACAACTATATGTTGTTTTTCGAAATTATCCATGAAAATGTCCGCCATAAGGGGACTTAGAGGGGACCCCATAGCTAACCCTTCTTTTTGTAGATAGAAACGGTTATTAAACCGGAAATAGTTTTGTTTCATACAGAGAGAGGTTAAGTTAAGAAGATCATTTGTTTCCCCGGGATGTAGACGACGTTTTTCAAAGAGATCTGCGAGTATACGCAAACAGTCAGGGGATGGGACATTTGTGAAAAGACTATCAACGTCTAAAGATAACAATATGGATTTAGGAGGAATACGAATATCTTTAATTTTGGAAATGAGATCTAAGCCATTTTTTAGGCTGTAAGTGGGGTTGAACCCAGATTTCTCTCGAAGGAGGAAGTTTAATTTTTTAGCAAGGAAATAAGCTGGTGCACCAATATATGAGACAACTGGACGAATAGGAACATGTTCTTTATGTATTTTTGGTAACCCATATAAAATGGGTGCTTGAGGATTCATTGGAACAAGATTGCTCCGAGACAAGTTGTGATCGGGAAAAACATATGATGACTGTTGTATACATAACTTAATATCCGAAGTAAACTTTTTGGTTGGGTCAGACTCCAATAGCTCAAAGTCATCACCTTGGATAACATCGTTAACTTTCTGGCTGTACCCACTACTCTCCATAATAACAACAGTATTGCCTTTATCGGCTTTAGTAACAATAAGGTCGTTTTCCCTTATTCTCTGCTTTAGGGACTTAAAAACAGGGAACTCAGGATTGAAATGGGAAGACGTGGGCACAGCCCGAATTTCATTAGCTACCAAACTTTTAACGATGTTATCTTTCTTCCCGATCACAACAGCCACCTCCGCGTCAACAGCCATAGTCTCTAACGATTTTTGGGAGACCGAAGGTGTTAAATTATACTTTAGGCCTTTATGTAAAAGGGACAACTCATCTGTTGGAAACTGGACATCGGAAAGATTTTTAACTCGGGGATAAAATTGGTGATATTCTGTATGTATGTCGTTATTACGATTACGGGATGAAGAGGATACAAGTCGTTGTAATTTACGGGACTGAATTTGATATTTCTCATAAACAGCCATTGAAGCAAGTTCTCTGGCTTTCCCATCCAAAATATCAAATTCAATATTATGTAATTTATATGAAAGTTCAGAGTATAATACTTTAAGGTGGATTTTTAAATTATCTCTATTGGAAAACCAACGACGACACTCCTCATTAAGCCAAATGTTCTGAGCTTTAGAAATAGCAAACTTTTTCAGATATGGGGCCTAAGTAGGTCAAACTGCTCACATATCGATGAACACTTTGAGGTTGAACCGCGTACAGAGAGTTGCGAATAACATGCTTTTGTTTCTTTTTAATTAAATTGTTAATGAGATTTTTTGAAAAACCGTTAGAGACCGCTATTTGATAAATTATATTAAGTTCTTTTAAATAATTTTCTTTACTTAATGGGACAGTGAACAAACGGTTAATGTAACAATAAAAAGCGGCTACTTTATGTTGCCATGGATGACATGATGACGCGGGGATGACCGTGTCGGTGTGAGTTGGCTTTCGATAAATTTGGAAAACATGTGACGATTCTTTTCTTGTTATTGTTAAGTCAAGAAAATTAAGGGAACAATCTTGTTCCAATTCAAGTTTAAATTTAATTTTGTCATGGACTCTATTTATTTTATTGAGGAAAACATCCAGTTGTCTCCTTGTGCCAGTCCAGCAAATAATTATGTCGTCTACATATCGATAGTAATATAAGATATTTTGATTGACAACTATATGTTGTTTTTCGAAATTATCCATGAAAATGTCCGCCATAAGGGGACTTAGAGGGGACCCCATAGCTAACCCTTCTTTTTGTAGATAGAAACGGTTATTAAACCGGAAATAGTTTTGTTTCATACAGAGAGAGGTTAAGTTAAGATCATTTGTTTCCCCGGGATTGCTATTTCTAAAGCTCAGAACATTTGGCTTAATGAGGAGTGTCGTCGTTGGTTTTCCAATAGAGATAATTTAAAAATCCACCTTAAAGTATTATACTCTGAACTTTCATATAAATTACATAATATTGAATTTGATATTTTGGATGGGAAAGCCAGAGAACTTGCTTCAATGGCTGTTTATGAGAAATATCAAATTCAGTCCCGTAAATTACAACGACTTGTATCCTCTTCATCCCGTAATCGTTATAACGACATACATACAGAATATCACCAATTTTATCCCCGAGTTAAAAATCTTTCCGATGTCCAGTTTCCAACAGATGAGTTGTCCCTTTTACATAAAGGCCTAAAGTATAATTTAAAACCTTCGGTCTCCCAAAAATCGTTAGAGACTATGGCTGTTGACGCGGAGGTGGCTGTTGTGATCGGGAAGAAAGATAACATCGTTAAAAGTTTGGTAGCTAATGAAATTCGGGCTGTGCCCACGTCTTCCCATTTCAATCCTGAGTTCCCTGTTTTTAAGTCCCTAAAGCAGAGAATAAGGGAAAACGACCTTATTGTTACTAAAGCCGATAAAGGCAATACTGTTGTTATTATGGAGAGTAGTGGGTACAGCCAGAAAGTTAACGATGTTATCCAAGGTGATGACTTTGAGCTATTGGAGTCTGACCCAACCAAAAAGTTTACTTCGGATATTAAGTTATGTATACAACAGTCATCATATGTTTTTCCCGATCACAACTTGTCTCGGAGCAATCTTGTTCCAATGAATCCTCAAGCACCCATTTTATATGGGTTACCAAAAATACATAAAGAACATGTTCCTATTCGTCCAGTTGTCTCATATATTGGTGCACCAGCTTATTTCCTTGCTAAAAAATTAAACTTCCTCCTTCGAGAGAAATCTGGGTTCAACCCCACTTACAGCCTAAAAAATGGCTTAGATCTCATTTCCAAAATTAAAGATATTCGTATTCCTCCTATATCCATATTGTTATCTTTAGACGTTGATAGTCTTTTCACAAATGTCCCATCCCCTGACTGTTTGCGTATACTCGCAGATCTCTTTGAAAAACGTCGTCTACATCCCGGGGAAACAAATGATCTTCTTAACTTAACCTCTCTCTGTATCATCATCATCATCATCATTACAGCCCTTCACAAGTCCACTGCTGAACATAGGCCTCCCCCAAAGAATGCCACAAAACACGGTCCTGAGCCACCTGCATCCATCGACTTCCTGGATGTCTTACCAGGTCGTCACTCCATCTCGTGGGGGGACGCCCTACACTTCGCCTACCGGTACGAGGCTGCCACTCGAGAACCTTTCTTCCCCATCGGTTGTCGGTTCTTCGAGCTATATGGCCGGCCCACTGCCACTTCAGCTTACTAATCCGTTGGGCTATGTCGGTCACTCTGGTTCTACTGCGGATATCCTCATTCCTAAGTTTATCACGCAGAGAAACTCCGAGCATAGCCCTCTCCATAGCTCGCTGAGCGACCTTGAGCTTCCTCATACGGCCAGCAGTGAAGGACCACGTCTCAGTTCCGTAAGTCATCACTGGCAACACGCACTGGTTGTACAATTTCGTTTTAAGGTTTTGAGGTATGTCTGACGAGAAGATGTGTCGTAGCTTCCCGAACGCTGCCCAGCCGAGTTGAATTCGTCGATTTACCTCTCGGTCGAAGTTGGACTTACCCAGTCGGACTATTTGTCCCAGGTAAACATACTCGTCAACAACTTCGAGCTTAGTGTTCCCAACAACTACCGGCATAGGTGTGACATGGACATTAAACATGATCTTAGTTTTGTCCATGTTCATCTTAAGACCTATCCGTTGGGAAACACTATTGAGGTCATTGAGCATAGTGCTTAGGTCTCTCTGTATGAAACAAAACTATTTCCGGTTTAATAACCGTTTCTATCTACAAAAAGAAGGGTTAGCTATGGGGTCCCCTCTAAGTCCCCTTATGGCGGACATTTTCATGGATAATTTCGAAAAACAACATATAGTTGTCAATCAAAATATCTTATATTACTATCGATATGTAGACGACATAATTATTTGCTGGACTGGCACAAGGAGACAACTGGATGTTTTCCTCAATAAAATAAATAGAGTCCATGACAAAATTAAATTTAAACTTGAATTGGAACAAGATTGTTCCCTTAATTTTCTTGACTTAACAATAACAAGAAAAGAATCGTCACATGTTTTCCAAATTTATCGAAAGCCAACTCACACCGACACGGTCATCCCCGCGTCATCATGTCATCCATGGCGACATAAAGTAGCCGCTTTTTATTGTTACATTAACCGTTTGTTCACTGTCCCATTAAGTAAAGAAAATTATTTAAAAGAACTTAATATAATTTATCAAATAGCGGTCTCTAACGGTTTTTCAAAAAATCTCATTAACAATTTAATTAAAAAGAAACAAAAGCATGTTATTCGCAACTCTCTGTACGCGGTTCAACCTCAAAGTGTTCATCGATATGTGAGCAGTTTGACCTACTTAGGCCCCATATCTGAAAAAGTAGCTAATACTCTTCGACAAAACGGCGTTCATGTGGCGTTCAAAACAAACAATTCTCTTAGAAATATCTGTAATAGTAAAGATAAGTTAGATATTCGTCAAAAGTCAGGTGTTTACAAACTTGTTTGTGACGAATGCCACGCCGTTTACGTGGGTCAGACTGGTCGCAATTTCGAGACACGTTATAAAGAGCATTTAGCCGCGTACAGGAATTGCAATCCCGATAAATCCCATTTTGCCAAACATCTTTTGGACACTGGACACAACCTAGCCAACGACCACTCCTTTAAAGTCTTACATACGTGTAATAAAGGGCTGCGGCTGTGTGTGCTGGAACAGTTAGAGATATTAAAAAGTAATAATAATACCGTTGCATTGCTGAATGAACAAACAAATGTTACTAACTCACCTCTCTTAAATATCTTCAAGCCTGCTCTCTAATAATGTGGGCGTTGCGCGGCGGTTTGTTTTTAATTTTACAAACGGCTGCGTAAGTCCAGCGGTGATTGGTCGCATGTTTTATCGCATGACGCAATCGCTCGCTCGTTAGGTAGAGAGCGGTTGCATCATCGGTTTGTATAAAAGGCACTTGTTTTGGCTCGCCGCTCACTTAGCGGTTAGCCACCGTAGAGTCTATATCACCTGAGGATGCCTCGTGTAGAGGCGAAACACGTGTCGTATTATCGTCAGTGGTGTGTCTTGCCTAGTGTAGTGGTGTTGGAAGTAGCGGTGCTGGGATTAGTAGTGACGGGGATAGTGCACGCAATTGAGGGAGGGCGGGAGGTGCTTCTTCATACTAGGTAAGACACATCATTTTATTTTATAACGCGGATATTTGCGAAGTAAATTTTTGTAAAAGCTTTTAAAGTATAACATTCTCTATACAACTGCTTTTCTAAATTAATATTGTGAATCCAGAATCTTCTTTTTCTTCGAATTTTATTTTTTTCTTCCTCTACCAATAAGCAGGCTATTTATTAAAACATTTTTTTCCATAGCAATCCGGGCGATTCCGTGCGATCATTATCACTGTACGGTTTCATACCAGTGGTTGGAAAAAATTGCAAAAGTTGTTGGCAATACAAAATATTTGCGTACGGCACGGACGTGCAAATGTGCGAGGCCATCAGTAAAAAGGGTAAGTACGGCGCGTACGGTGCTGACAAATGTGCGTTGAGCTTAAAAGAGCATTAATCTAGCATGCTTCATTAATATATGGGGAACCACCTTCTTTCATTTCTTATTTTTTTTGAAATTTTTTTTGACATTGACAAATTACCTAGGAAATGATACAAACCTTTGAAGATTTTGGTTTATTGCATTCCACTATATAATCTTTACAGATATTTTGGTGAACTGTCATGGTACAATCTGAAATATGAAAAAAAAAACGTTAATAAAAAATAAGAATTGCTGATTTCAAGCATACCTATCAGAACTATTATTTTAGGTGGCGACAATTTTTAGAGTTGTTTGCATCTCGCATACATATATACGTAAGTACATGTTGGTTGGAAATGATTATAGAGGCATATGTGTACGTGAGTGCGTGTTCTTACAATAACTTTATTATGGTTTTTGCTTGTTTTTGCGTTACTTGAAATGTATGCAGCGCTACGTTTTTTTTTTAGTTGGTCTGAGGCCGCAGCGCAGCTTACATTTACTAGTAAGTAGGTTGTACAATCGTTTTCCACTTTATTACCATTACAGCTCATCAAAAAAGTACACTACTGAATATAGGCCTTCCCTATAGATTCATTCCAAGGGGAATTTTTCCAAAATTGTCATGCTTGGCAAGCGGGTTGGCAACCGCGGTTTTTTTTATTAGTTGTTATGAGGAAGATGCTCCTGTACATCCTGTTTTAGTTTCACTCTGTCGTTTGTTACTACACCCACGCGATGATATGGGGTAGTGGATATTTTTACATCTTTGTCACCTTTACTTTCATAAAAAAAACAAATACTTCTATGTATATTACTAGACGGGCTCTGTCTGTGTTTTAGAGTATCGAATTCGTATCAATTTCGATATATTTTAAAATGTTGTATTAATGACAAAACAAACAAATGGTGGTTGGTTGTCGCTTTTTTTTCTTCGTTCAACCGTCAGCAACATAAAATTTTGACCTTATCTTTACATCGTGCAAATGATGCCACTATATCTAAATTTATCACGCGATATATATCGATACTGTCTAAAAATATCGATTCGACATATATCGATATATTTCTTCCCTTGGGCATCCCTATCAGTGAGGCAGTTTTTGTTGTGAATAGCCGGTGGAGTGGTGGAGTGGTGTAGATAGAAGCGTTGGTTGAAGAGGAGTGCATACGCACTGTCGCAGTAGAGCGCGGGCTTGTCGGCGATGGCGCGCGCGCACCAGTCGCAGTGCGCGCCCGCGCCCGCCGCCGCCCACGCGTGCGCCGCCTTGCGCGCCTTGTCCTGCGCACACACGCACACACGTTACTGCCGCGACCACCTTTCTATACGCACCTCATCGTACTACTGCACACTACTCGAGCCGTGGGCGTAAAGCGTCTCCTATACACAAGTGGCTCCAGCCGCTGCATCAACTCACTACCGCGGTCGCAGTTGCGGCCTAAAGCGCCATTCGCATGGTTAATCTTGACGAAGTCTTATTATTCTTTTTATATTCAGCAATATTATCCCATGTTTTATTTTTAATCCTAACGTTTTTGTAATTACGATGCGAAGTATCATAAAAGTACTGAATAATATTGCACTGTTTCTATTAAAATCTCTGTATTTAATGTCATTTTTCACACGGTACATGGAGCCTGTTGTAAAAATTTGCAAGTGACTGAGCTGCCACCGATAGGGCGCGCGTCCGCTAACACACACGTGGGGCGTGCGGCCACGACATGGCCGCACGTGTATGCATAAACTCACTTACACTGCAAGCGAATACAACTGGCCGCCACCGCGACCGCCATCGCAAGCATCTTGTATGTGGGAGACGCTTAATATACGCACATAATATTACACTGCAAACATGTCATCACGCACCGCGCGCACACAAAAATAATCGGCGCCACTACTTTACCTACTTTAGCTCTATCAATAACGCGCGTTGCATACTGGCGCCGTATTTTCGGCCCTTGATGTATGTGTGTACCTCGCGTATAACAAACAACATTGTAGCACTTAGATGCTTGACATATTTTCAACGTGATATTACGTCCGTGAGTCAAGGCGTTACTTCTCTTGTCCCACAAAGACACACTTCTTAATATCAGACCTCGGAGCAAAATGTATACATGTTCTTATAAATTCAAAAGACACAAATTATGACGAGAAGGGAACAAACACATTTGGGGGAATCCAGAGTTGTTCAGTAACTAAAGCACACCATCATTTGTATTTAGTCTTTCGATAATGAAATAAAATCACTAACATTTGTCATTATAGTACGTTTGTTAAACGTAATTTTATATTACTACTAGACAATAGTTTAGCTATAAGGATTGATTTCGGGTCCCAAAGGACCATATTGGTCCTTCACTAGGCGGCTACAAAATACGAGAGTAAAATAGCAGCATAACATTACTGTTTTCGGGGACTAAACTAGATTACCTTTAACGACCACAAAGTGTTTCTTCTTACGTAATTTAAGAAAGTAACAAATGATAAAATTAAAAATTTTGTACTACCGACCTCTATATAAATAAAATTTATTGTTGATTTTTTTTTTGAAACTGCTCGACCGATTTCGATAAAATGGTGGCTAGGTGGTCCACCTAGAAAGTATACCTTTGAAACAAAAAAAGAATTTTCCAAATCGGTTCAGGAGTCTTCGAGTAATCGGTGAACATACATAAAAAAGATTCCGACAAATTGTAAACCTCCTTTTTGAAGTCGGTTGAAAAAGGAGAGGAGGGGATATCTCAAGACATGGATTGCCTAGGAACCTGTAGATGGTTTATTTAATTAATCCTCAGTGTTTTTATATATAATGACAAATATTGTGGATCCAATTACTCTAAACAGTGCCTATCTAACCACCAGGATTACTGTTCTCATTAATCCTCTCAATTCCAAAAAAAAAACTCATTTGTTACTATAAGTCCAAAGTAGAACGCCACGTTCCACGTAAGTGCGTCTCTGTATGTTATTCTTACGAGTATGATACGCTAAGTACACTAGCGTTACACTAATGACTCAACATTAAATTAAACTAAGACACTGAAACGTGAGATTCATATCATGTCATGTACAATGTTCACACGTTAGACTTCTTTTAAGCTTAAATCAAATGATCTCTGTATAAAGCGATACACAACTCATATTAGCCTTACTTTGGTTTGAGTCTTTACAGCATCCAACAACCATTGAACTTTTCTTATGATGATGTTATAAATTACGCACGCACGCACGCACGCACGCACGCACGCACGCACGCACGCACGCACTCACGCACGCACGCACGCACGCACGCACGCACGCACGCACGCACGCACGCACGCACGCACGCACGCACGCACGCACTCACGCACGCACGCACGCACGCACGCACGCACGCACGCACGCACGCACGCACGCACGCACTCACGCACGCACGCACGCACGCACGCACGCACGCACGCACGCACGCACGCACGCACGCACGCACGCACGCACGCACTCACGCACCCACACACCCACACACACACACATACACACACGCAAACGCGCGCGCGTGCGTACACACAAACATGGAAAAACACTAACTGTCGGTTTTTTGGGTCTAGATAATTTGTGAATTTCCAGGTTGGACACCGGTGCGTTAGGACGATTAGATACGAGTAGGAAGGAATACAACATCATCATCCCGTCACGTAAATCTAACATGTTAAACGTGATGTTCTTATATTTACGATATCCTATAAGATTTAGTCTAGTGACTACTTTGACCTGTCAGCAAGAAGTTATCAACTGTGCACATAGAAAGGGACTTGTAACACGTATCCCGATTTCGCTATGAGATGCATAACACAACAATACTAAAATATAATATGTTTCACACATCTTGACCAAGAATGTTTGAATGAAGTGCAGACACGTTAGAGCAGCAGTATGACGCGAATGTGATTTCGTTAAGTTTGTATGAACTTCGTTTTAAAGCTGAGTTCAAGACCCGTTAATAGGCAAGTAACGAAACGAGATTTTATCAAATAAGACAGTGTTTTCTTTAAAACATAAAATACCCACCTTATTTATTTATTTATTTAACAATTTATGTACACACAAACAAAGGAAAAAACACAACATGATGAACAGTTTGTACAAGGGCGCTACTTATCTCATTATGAAATTTCTTCCAGTAGGCCAGTTAAAAAGATATGTGATAAATAAAAGATAGTAAGGTGTGCACTTTGTTATTATATACACATACATACAAATATACATACAAGATAAAATAAATATATGTATAGTCATAATTAAATATATATAAATAATAAATAGTACAGTAAATATCAAAAATATGGAAACTTACACAGAAGACAGAGATAAATAATGTTCTTTTACACGTTTTTTGAATAATGTCACTGTTTTGATTTCTCGAATCGTAGGAGGAAGTGAATTCCAGAGTCTTACTGCATGTACAGAGAATGAACGGGAATATGAATGAGCTTTAAAGGATGGGAATTTTAAGAGGGTTTTTAGGTGAGATCTACAAATTGCATCTGGAGATTTAAAAAAGGTGAATCGATTACGAAGGTATGAAGGGAAATTCGGACTGTGTAAGATATTAAAAAGAAGACAAAGGATACGAGTGTTCCTGCGAAATCGGATCGGGAGCCACTTGAGCTGCTTTCTGTATTTAGAGACGTGGTCAAACTACTTGAGTCCAAAAATATACCGAATGCATAGGTTTTGCAATCGCTCAAGTTTGTTTAATTGCTCCTCTGTAGCATCCAAAAAACAGACATCAGCGTAATCTAAGATTGGCAAAATGAGAGTTTGGACAAGAGAGATTTTAGTTGATAAGGGTAAAAAACTTTGAAATCGTTTTAACGAGTGAAAAGTATAATGTACTTTACTGCTTAAGTCCGTTATATGAGCACCCCATGATAACCTATTGTCAATAATTAGGCCCAAGTTCTTCGCGGATTCCGAATAAGCAATTGATGTGCCATTGATAATCACATTTGGCAGGGTGTAGTTATCAATAATACTACTATTATATCTGCTGCTTACTATTAACGCTTGAGACTTACTTGGATTTATAGATAAACCATGGGATCTGGACCAACGATTAATTCTGTCCAAATCGTCATACAGTGCATCTATCGCCATTTTAGCCTCAGATGCCTCAAAGTGACGGTAAAGCTGCAAATCGTCTGCATAAAGATGGAAGTTGGAGGATATTATTTTCGTTATAGAATTAATAAAAACGGTGAAGAGTAAAGGAGACAAGACGCCACCTTGGGGTACACCTGCAATAAGATTGCACCAGTTGGAATAAGTGTCATTGGAGCGGATACATTGCGAGCGTCCCCGAAGATAGGAATCAAACCAAAGAATGGCCGAAGATGAAACATTGATAGCCTGAAGAATTTTAAGGAGGATATCAAAGTCAACAGAATTGAAGGCACTACTAAAATCTAATAAAACGAGTACTGTTAATTGTTTTTGATCTATGGCTCGACGGATATCATCAGTTACCTGAAGAAGAGCAGTTGTTGTACTGTGACCGGGCCGGAATCCAGATTGAAATGTACTTAAAATATTGTTGGAGTTAAGATAAGAAGAAAATTGATTGTGAACAATATGTTCCAGTACTTTAGAGAGGAATGGTAATATAGATATAGGTCGAAATTCAGAAGGTAATGTAGGGTTAGCAACCTTGGCTATAGGAATAATGTGTGCTAACTTCCACGAATATGGAAAACAGGAGAAAGACAATGAAAAATTAAATATGTAAGTAAGAACTGGGAGAATACAAGGTAAAATCATAGTTATCATTGTGGAAGAAATTTTATCGTTTCCCGACGCAGTAGAAGATATGGATAGCACTGACCGTTTTACTTCATCTTCTGATACTGGTACAAATTCAAACTGGGGGAAATGTTGTACAGGGCATCTGGATAATTCTAACAAGGTCTTAGCCTTTATAAATGAAGATAAGGAAACAGGTGGAAGAGAAAAATGTCGATTGAGAGTATCTATATCAAGATTTTCAATCGCAAGCGCAGGATGTTTGCCAATGCCGACTGTTTTGAGAAAACTCCAGGCTTTTCCTGAATCGCAATTTGAAAGTGAGTCATGAAAGTAGCGTCTTTTAGCATCTCTACACAGACGATTGCAGCGGTTACGTAAAATCTTAAACTTGATTAGATTTCTTTCCAAGCGACAATGTTTATATCTACTTCTGGCTTTATCCCTACGTGCCATAAGCTCTTTTATATCTTTTGTGATCCAGGGCGCAGGACAATGTTTTATTTTTATACGTTTGAGAGGTGCATGGCAATCATACAATCTAAGAATTAAAGTAGTAAAGTTATTCACCATATTATCAATATTTTGACAATCCATTACGGAAGACCAGTCCATTCCACTTGCATCTCGTCTTATGGCTTCCAAGTCAATACCCTTATAGCTACGAAGAAATCGAAAATGTGGTTTACGCTTTGGTGGACGAACACGATATGAATTGAAAATGAGGTCATGATACGAAAAAGAAGCTGTTATTTGTCCATGATTCGCGATGTTATTTAAAGATGAAACTATTATAAGGTCAAGTAAAGACGGAGTACAGTTGGGAAAATGATGGGTAGCAGAGAGGGGTAAAATTTGTAGATTATGTGAGGACACAATAGACTTCAACTTATATGCACGTGAATCGTTTTTGAGTAAGCAAGTGTTGAAATCTCCCATCACGATCACATGGCTGTATATAGGACAAAAGTCTGTAAGTAGATTTTCAAATACGTCAAAATAATTAATTTGTATATTAGGGCTGTATATCACACCAAGAAGGATTTTTGTGTGGTAAAGTGTAACCTCAAGAAAAAGGTACTCTGCAGATTCAGAATAAGTTGACGGGGAAGCAGAGATTTGTTTGTAAGGGATTTCAGAACGCAGGTAAATAGCTACACCACCTCCTCCCTTACCGATCCTGTCATTACGTATCAAAACGTAACCAGGAAGTGCAAACTGAAAAGAAGGAAGAGAAGACTTGAAAAAAGTTTCAGATATAAGAAGTGCGTCGATTAGATTACTGCTAATGGATGCAAGAAGGTCAGGGTAGTGGGCAGGAATACTTTGTGCGTTGATATGGGCAACATTAAAATTATTGGGATAAGGAGAAAATATGGCAGAAATATGATCATGCAGTCCAAGAGGTTCAGATGACTCGGTATCTGCGCTTAAGAAACTGGTTGAAGATGAATTACACGAGAAAAAACCATCATTAAAATCAGTTGGACTTTCCATAATTATGACAATAAAAAATAATATATATATTATATACTATAAAATAAAAATAAAAATAATAACTTAATAATAAAAAAAGCAATATCCTATTAGAAAAATATACCAATGTTAAAAGAAGAAAATACTATCTAACTTATGATAAACAAAAACGAAATTAAATAAGAACAAAGACAACTCAACTCAGTGCAACTCACTAGCGTAATGATTTTTTAAATTAATCTATAAATACACAATATTATATTAATACTAGAAGAAGAAAACCAAAAATACTAATTGCAATACAAAATTAACAAGGAGAAAACGGAACGTTATTTTAAACCTTAGAGTATACAATAAGACAAAGTAATGTAAACATTAGAAATAAGCTTAAAAAGTAGGTAGGTAGTAAAAACTTAATAAGTTTGTTTTACCTTCTTCTTTCTGAAGAACAAACTGCCCCTCTTTCGCCTTTTCTCAGCGTGATGGTCGAAGGCAGCACTGTATCAAAGCATAATGTATTTTATATATCATTAAATAAGGAATTAATTTAGTATAAACTAAATTATCATGCTTAAGTAAAACAAAATAAACACGTGACACAAAAACAGTAAGCGAAGCTGTGCTGTATAACATGCCGATATAAAATGCATTAAAAGGATTTAATAAATCTTAGAAACAATTTAACATTTTTTAATCAATTGCACATTATTGATACTTCTTAATTTAATTTGGTAATATATGTTTACAAAATATTTTCGAGTATTACGCTAATAGCGTACTGAAACAAAATAAACATTTTGTTGGCAGATTTTCATGAGTTTGTATATTATTACGTATTTTGATTGTTGGCATCTCCTTTTTCGCTACTGAATTGAAGGCGTAGGGGATTCACATAAAATCAAAGTAATATAAACTTTAAAACTATTACTATCTTGTATGTAATATCGTAATCCACTCACCAATGACCACTGCTTATTAAATATAAATATCACCGTAACTGGTAAGGAGAAATTACTCTTATTTCAAAGTAATAGAGTTCACTCACTGCTCTAAAAAGGTCAGACGGTCCAGTCCGAGGTGTTCTTGATGCGTGTTGTTCCTTCTGCCGGGCAGTTGGTTGATCGTGCCTTCGGTGGGAACTGATAAGTCTTCGTCGCTCTCCGTCTCGCTCGCACCACCGGTCGACAAGCTAACATCGAGCGGGACGTACAATGTGTGCGTTCGAAATGCCAAATAATCTGTTTGTTGTGCATGCCAAATTCGCATGTACTTTGCGTAAATATTGGATTAAAATGACATCTATCTTTTTTTGACTATTCAAATGTATCCATTGTTATCTAGCCATGGATTCTTTAACAGATGGATTTAAAATAACAATTTTATATAACAATCAATATTTATATTAATGTGTTTATTTTGTCATAACATGATTAATATCGCAAGATAGAGAAAATTTTACTTCTCTCCATTAACCTATTAAGCGTTTTTGCATTACTCTATAAAGTATGATTTTACGACTGCAAGCCTGACAATTTAGACAATATTCAAACCCCAGAAAAAACCAACCTGCAAAATAATCAACTTAGTACTTTCCTGGTACAAAGTGCAGAACGTAATTAAAAAGCAAACAGTGCAACAAATACTGCACACATGCACAGTTTACAATCAAATAAAAACGAATTGGCTCTTCAAATGATTAATAAGTAATAATAACACAAAAATACACAAGGCCTCTATTGCGCTGTCAAAATATTGATAAATTATTTATTTTATTTTTTAAATAAACTGTATATTCTAATTTAAGACAGCCCAATAGAGAATTAAGCTTTAAGTTTATACATGCACTATATAATCTATGTTTTGCGCGAAATACGTTATTAATTTAGATACCGTATGTTATTTAACACATAACATACGGTATCTAAATTAATAAAGTTGTCATTAAGATGATACTGATTTGTCTAATTGTAATATTTTTGTTGTAGTTTACTGTTGAGTTTATGGTTGTCGAGATAGTGTAGGTGTTGTTGAAATGTTTGATTGGGTAGGCATTTATTCAATCTAATTGACTTTTTTCTCTTATTTTACTTTGAAGGGTACGAGAGCCTGTATAGTTACCAGGATATCATATTATATTTGATATCAAATCTTAAAAATCACAACGCAACTATGCTATCTTTGTTTGGAGTTGGCTACAGGTGTCTATAAGTTATATTGTCCAGTTACTATCACGCGGAATGCGTGTTCGTTTGTTACTATAAATCTAATTCGTCGCGGCCTATGTATATCGAAGTATAAGGTTTTTTTTTGCATGCGTTTAATGTGTATACGTACATATAATTAGCTATATTTACGTGTGCGTGTGCTTATATAAGTGTGTCAGTATGTGTATTATTACGGCATGTGCTGTAGTAATACGCGTACGATGTGATGCGATGCGATCCGTATCTTATTATCTTTGTCGTGATGTAACACACGCGTTTGTCTATGGGCCGCAATGTACTTTGTACGCGATTTAGACCGTAATTACATAAGTGTAAGTGGTGTTCGTACGTGTGAATGGGTGAATTTGTGTGCAGCGTATACAAACATGTTACTTTGTACCGCAGATTGCCCCTACTGTAGTGTAGTACATGATTAAGTGTGTACCATTTACGTTTACGTGCGAGCGGGATCGTATACGTATGTGAAGTGCATATACTTGTACTCATGCGTAACGCAGCGCGGCGGAACGCACTTGGCGTAGCTTAATTACGTATTTGTGAGTGCATATAATATGAACACGCACGCGCTGTGTATGTGTGTGTATACTCACACATCGCACCGCCTGCGGCCTGAGCTGATAGTATAACAATTACGCATGAGTGTGTGCGTGTTCGTGTATGCGTGCGTGCGTACTCACGCGTTGGTCTGCGGCGCGGGCTGCGGCGGCTGCACGGCGGCGACGATGCTGGGCGTGGACACCGACTTCTGCAGCGGCAGCCGGGCGGCCAGCCGCGCGCCGCCCCCGCCCGCCCCCGCACCCGCACCCGGCCCCGCGCCCGCGCCCGCGCCCGCCGCGCGCAGCGCCGCCGTCACCTTCTCGAAGTCCTTCTGATGAGGACAAGCGCACGGACGCTGGTATAGCCGTCGCCACCACACCACACCGAACACTAACTCCACTCAAACTATACGTTTAAATGTGAACTCCGCCGTTACCTTTTCGAAATCCTTCTGAGGAGGGCAAAGGAACGGACTTATTGCCGTAGCACAAACACTCAACGCTAACTCGACTGACTGACATACTTTAAAGTTAAAAGTTACAGTCTATATACGTCCCACTGCTGGGCACAAGCCTTCTCTCATTTCTGGGAGGGTTTTAGGGCAAGGAAGTGTCCACCGCGCTGCCCCATGTGTGTTGACGAACTTCACATGTCTTCGAAATATTTTTTTTCTTATTTCTCAGACATGCAAGTTTCCTCACGATGTTTGCCTTCACCGCCAAACACGTGGTAAATCAGCACTTAAAATTACAATTAACAATTTCATTGGTGCCAGCAGGGATCGAAACCGGGTTGCTCGCGTACTGTGAAATTTGCAACGAGCGCTAACCATCTGAACTACCACGACATACGACTGATTGTGACAGATTAATGCGGTAAAATGTGAACTTTATACCGTATCGCGTACAAGTCTTTTTTACTTAATTACGGCGGAACCCCAAAATTTTGTAAATACTATAGAACTGATAAGTATGTTATGTATGGCCTATGTTCAGCATTGGACTTGCGATAGCCTGTAATGCTATAATATAAGTTCGTTTCTATATCCGCCCGTAACTCTTACTAATCGTTAGATTTTGACAAACATCTATAATTACATTATGAATATTTATCATGTTATGTTATATAATATGTACATCAATTACAAATTGTCTTCATATACACACATATATCAATGGCTTTGTCATATAAAAGTATTGTACAAGGCGTCCACTTTTGCCTAGTTTCTACACTTTAAACCTAATCATCTTGCTGACCGTTTACCACATATCAGCTACGAGTTGACATACTTATTACTTGTTGTCGATATATTTATCGAATTTTGCCGCTCAACCGTGATACAGATAGATACGTAACCGTTCGTAGGCATTGACGTACGTAAACGTATATAGACATAGACGTACGTAGACTTACGAAAATGAAATGTAAAAACGCTCTTACAAGATAAATAAAACTATGTAGTACTTACAGCTAAATCATTATCGTTGAGAGAATGTGTGGAGTGTCGAACTGGCCGCGGGACTTCACTCTCAGATTCCATAGACGATAATGAAGCGCTGTGTCCATTGAGCGTACTGTGGGATTAACAAGGCAAAATATATTTATTTTGTATCCCGTTTCTTTTTTTTAAAAACTTTTTGATTAATTGCCGTGTGGTGGCGCTATAGAATCCCACGATCTTATACCGCAGGTGTCGAAACAAACTTTAAAAACTGTGTTTCGTATGGTTAGTGTAGAGATATGGAGGCCAAATTTACTAAATTACTGGTAACGAGGTATTCCGTCTAGTTCTTCGAAGTGACAACATTCCGTTCTGCATTTTGATCCTTAATCGAGGATAGATGTCTATAGGCCAAAGAATCCACTCACCATCAGGTGGAGTATTTGCTCGTTTGTCACCTTTATTTTTACGCTAACAGGCGAGTTGGCAGCCGTCTTCTTCCTCAGTCCGTAAAAGTCCACTGCTGGTTTCTCTCGTTTAGGAGAATATGCACGAAGAATTGGCTTGAAAGGGGTATTGACATTGACAGACGGACTAGCACCTGCGCAAATTTATCACCCCATCTAACAACTTGCGAAATCAAAAGGACCTTGAGCAATAGGTCTACGTTAGGTCCGTATAAGTACCACCAAAATTTTTGTTAGGTCACCTATAGCTTTTTAATAAATATTTTTTTTAAATTTTGCAAGAATATATTCGCATTTTAGCACCTCATTTAAAAAGAAACTGATAAATTTTATAATTTTTGTATTCTTTATCGTTTAGGTCAGTATTGGTCTACACAACTAGAAATTATATTATGTTTTGAGAGCAGTTTATTTAATTATAATTTTTTTTTATTGATGCTGTAGCGTATAGACATTTAGGCCCGCCATATACATACGGAATTCCGTTTCGAGATTCCGTTTCGGAATTTCGAACGGTCGGCCACACACAAACGGAATCCCGTTTTGCCCGCAAAATATCGAACGGAAAACTACCGTACGTGTGTGGCGGGTCATAGATTTTATATGGACTTGCTGCGTTCGGGATTCCGAATCGGAATATCGAAACGGAATCTCGAAACGGAATTCCGTATGTATGTGGCCGGCCTTATAGTGGTGTATAATAGTAGTGTTCAAAGTTGCTATATGGATATCACTTGCTTAATGCTATATGCTTTATATTTTAAGCAAGCTATTTTATATGCTTTATTATAAGCATGCTTTTTATAAGCGTACTGCGACGTCTGCGACTGCGTACGCGCGACCGTGCGTAGGTAGGTAGTAGGTACCTACTTTTACGGGCGCCAAACGGGCGGGAGCGACTTTAGGTAGCAACCGCGGTGCATCGCGTTTATGAATTTATTACGATACGGAACAGTAAAAAAACAATGAACTTTCCTTCATACTTTTCAGGCTTAGGATTGTCTAAAATTAATTAAGTGTTATGATGAAATAAAGTATATTAGTATTTAATTAAAGCAATTATAGGCGTACTTAAAAGTTCATTGATTGTATTTACAAAAATCAAGTATATACATATATGTACATATTTTAAACTCGTTTACTCGTTTTCACTCGTTAACACTCGTTTTAAACGACAACTCTCGACGACAGTAATTACATGTAGTTTTACGGCCATCAATGGGCTTTTCAAAAAAGTTCCATATTGGCAAATCACTGTTCCTTCTAGACATTTTCGTCTGTTATTATACCTACACTCAAAACAACAACACGATATCTCACTCTGTCCTTACTTGCACAATTATAGCTAATAAATATTAAGGTGTCCTATCACTGTTTATTTACACTAAAAAGCACGAAGTAAAAAAATATTTACGTATATTATATTACGTGAGCCGCCCGAGATCGCGGATTAGCAAAATCGCAAGCGGTGCGTAAAACGATTACTTACTCACTTACGCGACCGAAAGCAATCTCTAGCATGCGACGACTGGCCGCCGCGATGCTATTGCTTTCTTTCATGCTTTGCGATTTTGTGATGCGCGACTGACAGAGACAGAGAGTGCGATGTAAAAAAGCATTAAGCAAATAGCAAGAAGTGAGAGCCACGATAGCATTTGCTATTTGTTATGTATGAAAAGCACGGTGCTTTATTTTGCTATATGATATATTAACCACCACTAGTGTATAACTCTGTCGTCTCGAGAAGCGCACGCGCGGGATCGCGGGGCGGGGCGGCACTGCCCGACCGACCGCCGCAGGGAGAAGACGTGGACGCTTACTACGAGCCGATATCAGTGTATAATAATAGTGTTACTTGTAATATATACTACTTACAATAGTGTTACTTGTTCTTTCTAAATATTGATCCCTGGGATCTACAGTACATTACAGATGCAATGAAAACGGAACGGGAAAACTTTGAAATTCGCGTGTCGTGTGTTGAGCGCATGCGGGAATGATAAATTATTTGATTGTTAATAAAACAAATAAAATGAATAAAATGAATGCAAAAACTATAGACCAATACTGACCCACTCAAACACAAAGAAAACCCGTCCAGTCGCTTAGGAGGAGTTCAGAGACAAATACACATAGTACAGAAGAATTATATATAGCTATAAAGATAAAAAAATAAAATCTTTGACGCTTCCATAATGTAACTCACAAAAATTTTGCCGTCTTACTTTTTTGCCGTATTTACGTTAGTAGATACTGACATTCCTTAAAAATAATCGGTCTTTGCTGAACTCAAATCGGCCACGAAAATACATGCGTTAGGTCTAGGGGAAATTTGGTAACCTCTACACAAGTGGCGGTATGACAGACTCGTTTAAAAGCTAAGGGACTGAGGTCAAAGCCAACATCTTATTTGTACAATATATTTAATCTCTATGTATCAGTCTATATATGTATATACGTAGTCGATTCGTAATGAGTCTTAAAAACAGCACGTAGACGCTGCTCAGAAGGGAAATGGGTCTGTAGTTCTTCAAGAGAGCATTGTCGCCTTTCTTGAAGAATAAAGACCACCGCACTTCTGCTCCACGCCTCCGGAGTAGTGCCACCATGGAGGACGGAATTAAAGAGCTTCTGAAGAACGTACCGGTTTTCCACCCGCTTTCAGAAACTCCGCTGTAATTCCATCTCGCCCGGGGACTTGCCGTTTTTAAGGTGCTGGAGAGCCATTCTAATCTCGCTCAGAGTAACGTCCGGGATATCTTCGGAATAGTGTCGGATAAGACTCGTTCTTCGATTGTTACGCACACTTGCGTGTGGCTCCAACGATGACGTGTACAGCTGCCCATAGAACCTCTCAATTTCACTCAATATCTCAGGTGTCCCGGAAACGATGCTGCCACACTCGGTCTTCAGCTTTGACAGTTCGCTCTTTCTGGCAGACAGATCTCTGGCAAAGACTTTGGAGCCTTGGTTCCGCTCGATCGCTTCTATAATACAAGCTGTATTGAAGTTGCGGAAGTCCCGCCGCATGCATTTGGAGATCTGTCTGTTCAGTTGCCTGTATGCTGTCAAATCTGTTGAAGACTGCAGCTTTCCTCATTTTCCGTCTAACAGCCATTAGATTAAAACTGTGATCGGAGTTTTTGTGATCTTCTGCAGCGGATCTTGCAGAACTTAGCTCCGACCGCTTGGACAGTTTCCACGAGCTTATCATTGATTTCGTTCACTTCATTGCAGTCTTCTAGGCACTGAAAACTGTTTTGTAACTGTAGCTGAAAGGTTTCGGGACTTTGCACTAGAGCACGAGGGGGACGTCATTAGACGATACCTTCCCAACTTAACGTTTAGGTTCAGTTTGCCTCTAACCATTCGGTGATTGCTACTAATTTTCACCCTTGCGTTCAATGAGACATCACTGAATAGTTGTCGTCTGATCGTTATAATGAAGTCAATCTCATTTTTGTCGAACCGTCGGGGCTCAACCAGGTTCACTTCCTGTGGGGCCGCTTCTGGAAGAAAGAGTTAATCATAAAGAGTCTTTCTTTCACTATTAAATCGGCCAGCTGCTGGCTCCTTGGGTTCCGTTTCCATACCCAAATTTCCCTACATTCTGCTCACCGTTTTCTCTTGTGCCTAGTTTGGCATTGAAGTCTCACATTAACATCGGATAGTGGGTTTTGTAATATGATGTTATATTGACTTTGTCAAGTCAACTACCTGATTAATAATTTAATTGAAGCAAGTTTGGTTTAGGTTAAAAAAAGGATTTTGTAGCTATTCTCAGAAATGTCTAGTATCAACACTTGAAATAAATTTCGATTTGTATTAATACCCCATCACAATGAAACACCACAATAAATTAGTTATTACTTCGCATACTACGTTGTAATGGTGACTGTGCGGTGGTGTTGCAATCACCATATATTGCCTGCCTCGTTGGTCTAGTGGTTGTAAGCGTGATAGCTTATCATGAGGTCCCGGGTTCGAATCCCGAGTCGGTCCAAAATACGTTTTGGTTTTTTCTGCTTCAAAAAGGACGTTAAGTCGTTGGTTCTGCGCCTGATCTCTCTGCGGTCGTGTCGAATTGTCGTCCCATAGGACTATGAAAGTGAGAGAATAAGAGCACCGGTGCTTTTCGCCTAAGCGACCCATTCTGTAGCAATACGAGATTGAAAACTGGTCGCCTAAATCAAAATTAGGTGTGAAGGACATGATACGGGACATTACCTTCTCTGGCGCCTGGCGTCGGGTGCGCGGGCGCCGGGCTCGAGCGCGGCCCAGCTGCTGCGCCGCGCCTCGTCGCGCCGCTCCCACGCGCCCCACGCGCCCCAGCCGCCCCAGCCGCCCCACTGCCGCCCGTCGCCTGTGCCCCCACATGCATAATCACTTAACAATATTTACAACCACGCCTACGGTTTCGAGTGCAAATAAGTGTTCTCAACCTCACTATTCACTGTGAAATCGCGGCCTACAACTTCGCCAAAACAATTAAGTTTCGGTCACAAACAGCGAATATTCGCTGCAAGTGTATTCGCTGCGCGTATTACTCGCAGCGATAATTCCCTACCTGCGAGCGACACACACAGCGAGTATTACACGAGAATTATCTATAATATGTATCTTTTATATTCTTAAATTTTCTTATCGATTGCTCTTGGATTGCTATTTCGAATCCCAACTCAATTAATTCGTTAACAATAAAAGCGTCTTTCTTTGCGTTTTTTTAAATTACTGTTATTTGTGTCAAACAGCTCCCCATTTTTTCTATATACACCCAAGAAACGAATTATATCGTAATTTCCCCATTTTAGAGAATCGTTTATCGGTTAACTCATTTGATTGACACATGTATTATGCAGCAACGAAACAACCTATACACTGGCGTGTAGTCTGGAACGGAATGGCTACTCGCAGCGAGTACCCTGTCACACACAGCGAATTCTCGCAGCGAGTGCTCATTCGCAGAGAGTAAAATTGAACATGTTCAATTCAATTCGCAGCGAATTCAACTTGCGGCGAACAAATCTAATCGCAGCGAATAGCCTGTCACACATAGCGAATTTCCACTGCGTGTGCCTAATCACAGCAAGTATTCGCTATGTGTAACCGAGGCTTTATGCGCATAATAGGACAGTGCGGTTTCGGCGACTGTACTCCGCCTCTATCCCCCCAGCTTCCCCTAGTGACCAATCACAATTTAGATGTTCCTAAGGAGGAAGACGTCATTAGACCTAAGGAGGTCTAATGACGTCTTGGCTGTCATGCGCCTAATTGTTTTGGTCACGTAGTATGTAAGAGGCGACGCAATGAGTAATATATAAGATAAAAACTGCGGTTGCCTACCCGCCTACTAAGCGTAAATGTCCCCCTATAAAACAACCTATGAGAGCGACCATGTTCAACAGTGCCTTGTTACTGTTATAAATATAACAGTAACAAGGCACTACCAGATAATTTTACCTCATGAAATGTTATTTCCTCATTTGGCTCATATATTTCTTTATTATTTAAATATTTTTTTCTCAGCTGAAATCTGGTAATTAAATGGCGATTACGGGTTGAAACCAAGTAACCGTCATTGTAATAGGGGATAAACTACATTACTGTCTTCCTGCATGAAATTTCGAACGATGCGACATGTATTTAAGATAGCTGCTTTTTGTAAATTAATGTAAGATTTCGGTGATATATCTAGCATTTTCAAAGTATGATGTAAGTGCCTCGGGATTATTCCGGTGGTAGAAAGTACTATGGGTATTATAAAAACTTTTTTCATCTTCCACATTTTTGTTATTTCTTCTTTCAGTTCTGTGTATTTATTTATTTTTTCGGTTATAGTTTTAATTAAATTATGCGTATTTGGTACGGCTATATCAATTATATATACTGTTTTATTTATTTTATCTTGGAGAGTTATATCCGGTCTATTATAATGGATGGTTTTGTCTGTGAGAATAGCACGGTCGTAGTACATTTTATAATTTATATTTTCAAGTACGGCCGTTGGTGTGTATTTGTAATATGGTGTATGTGAGTCTGGGATGAGTTTGTGTTTGATTGCTAATTTTTGGTGTATTATATTTACAATCTGGTTGTGTCGGTGTGTGTAATCTGTCTGCGTGAGTGATGGGCAAGCTCCTATTATATGCTGAATGGTCTCGGGCTGTTTGTGACATTTTCGACATTTATCATCTGATATTGTTGGATCTTTAATTATATATTTTTTATAATTTTTCGTATTAATGACTTGATCCTGTATTGCAATCATGAAGCCTTCGGTTTCAGGGAATAAGTAACCACATACAAGCCACCTATTCAATGCCTCCGAATCTACATGTGCTAGATCTAAGTCATAAGGATGTCTGCCGTGCAAAACTTTCTTTTTCCATTGTACTAATTTGAAGTCTTCTCTATTTGTATGTTGATCATTTATTTCTGTTATATGTGGTTTTTCTGCAAGGTTTAGTGGTGTGAGGTTCACGTGTATTGTAGCATTGTGTAATTTACTGGTAGTCATTTTTTAAGAAAGAAATATCTAAGGGTTGAGACCTGCTTAGTCCAGAGTGCTTGAATGTCTATAAGACCTCTTCCACCATAACTTCTGGCTATTGAAGTTCTTTCTACTGCGGACTTGGGATGTAAATGATTAAATTTTGTTAGTATGGTACGTGTTTTTATTTTGAGGCTAACTATGTCTGTTTTTGTCCATTTTATTATACCAAATGAATATGTTAATATCGGAATCGCATAAGTATTAATAGCTTTAATGAGCCTTTTTGATGTTAGTTGGGTTTTACAGATTCGGCTTACTCTATTTTTGTATTCTGTTAATGCGTTAAAATAATGCGTTTTTTAGGATAATGTGGTCTAATAGCTTTGATTGTTGATATCCTAAGTACCTCATCTGACTCCTTGGACGAAATAATGCCTCTTTCTGGTAAAGTGTAGGGTCCAGGTTCTATTTTTCCTTTCTTTATATTTAAAATTTTACATTTTTCTAATCCAAACTGCATATTTATGTCGTTACTGAATTTACTTGTAATATCTAATAAGATTTTCATGTCTTTAAATGAACTGGCGTAAAGCTTTATATCATCCATGTATATCAGATGTGATATCTTTATCTCGGAATCAGGGAGTTTTACAAGGTAACCTTTCTTTTGATCATTAAGTAAACGAGATAATGGGTTTAATGCGAGGCAGAAACACAATGGGCTCAAAGAGTCGCCCTGGTAAATACCTTTCCGGATAGCTGCATCCCTCGTATTAATACTAGTGTTATTGGTATGCAAATGTATAGAGGTTTTCCAGTGCAACATAATATTTTCAAAAAATTAATTAAAATGGGGCTTATTTTATAAATGTTTAAAACTTGAATTAGCCAAGTATGAGGTACGCTATCAAATGCTTTACGGTAGTCAATAAATGTGCAATGCAGTTTCTCTTCTTTAAATTTGCGTGTCTATGAATGGTTGAGTCAATTATGAGCTGCTCCTTGCAACCCATGTGGTTCCTCCTACACCCTTTTTGTTCTTCTGCCATAATCATGTTAAGCTCTAGGTGTGAGTTTATTTTTGCAGTAATAGTAGCGGTTAAAATTTTGTATATTGTGGGTAGACAAGTAATTGGGCGATATTGGGATGGACTATTTGTATTATTACTTTTTGGAATCATATATGTAATCCCTTTTGAAATAAATGCCGGAAGTGGTTGCTTTTGGAGTATAACATTTGTAAAAGTTTTAGCAAGAGCCTTATGGAGTGTATGAAATTGTTTATACCAAAAATTGTGAATGTTGTCTATTCCTGGTGATTTCCAATTATGTAGTTTAGAAGTAGCGATTTTAATGTCATTTTCTGTTATTTCGTTAAATATCAATTCCTCTATTGCATCCCATTTAATTTTCTCCTCTTGTATCCAGTCTGCCCTTACATTGTGCGATACTGGCGTCTCCCATATATCAGACCAAAACTGTTGTAATATACACGGCTGGAATAAGAACTCTAAACCGTGGAACTAAAGTTCTATTGTCATGCAAATAGATAATTTATATTTTTTTTCAGCTTAAATGAAGTCTTCCATTTGGCATGGTCGCTGTGCCGTGATTCCTTCTGTACAGAAGATAGATATTATATAAGATATAGAGACATAGAACCGTTTTACTTAAATAAATTGCACAAGAAAACAAACAACCGGCCCGAAAAATTTTACCTACTGCAATCCTTATGTAGGATAGGCCATACATAGGCCATATAGGGCCCGTAGCTTCACAGCCAAATGCTTAGTTTTCATGTTACCGAGCGGATAATAAAATAATGTGCCATTTGATCAATCGCTTCATTCAATCAACGTTTCGTTTTACGTTGTTTTCTTTCCAAACAATTGAGGAATACTCACCGCTACCTTTCCGACTCTGCGGGTAGAAGTCGAGGTGGGTGGGTGAAGAGCATTCCGGTTCCACGGTGCCATCTTTGCAAAGCGACGGGCACGATGTGCTGAGACGGCTACTACCGGTGGCCTAGAAAGTAAATTATATCAAAAGTTAAACGGAAGCATTTATTCCGTGGCATTGACATTTGTAAGATGTTATAATAAACATGTTAAATCGAACTAAATAGAAGCCCGAGCAACATCGATCACTAATGAAAAACTACATACACATTCCCATGCAAAAGTTCTCTAAAAACTGTGTCCAATTGTTTTGACGTAATTCTAGTTGAAATAAAAATACATTAATGTAAATTTAACCTTAAATGCATTGCCTAAAGTTGTATTCACAAAACTACGTACAAATTAAAAGCGCACCCAAATGTTCGAGTGGGCGCTGATTCGGTAAGGAAACTTTTTGTCACTGATTGTGTATACTAGTTTTTTATTAGTGATCGATGGCGAGCAAACAAAATATTTTCTAATCTCATCATTTCGAAAACAGTCCTGGACGAATACCGGACGTGGGCCTCCCCCATAATAGGAATTGTTCTTATCGAATTGAAAATCTTGGTACCAGACGTGTCGCACCATTGTCGTAGCCGGTAATTCAAAGGATTTTTATTAGAGTACTTGCTGTTCCCCGCGAGTTCGCTCGCGTGTAATTTAGGGTTTTAAATTTTTTGCGCGGAACCCTAATCTATACATCTATACAAATAAAATTGATGTGTATATTTGTAATGTCAAAATAACAGCTTTTTACTAAATGGATATGAAAGTATTTACGGTACTTATAATAAAAAACAAATTTTTTTGTCTGTCTGTCTGTTTGTTCTGGGTAATCTCCGAAACGACTGGACCGATTTTGACGCGATTTCCACTGGCAGATAGCTGATGTTATAAGGAGTAACTTAAGCTACTTTTATTTAAGTAAAAGAATTAGGGTTCCGTGCAAAAAATTAATACCCATGAAATACAATAGTAACGCGGGCGAAGTCGCGGGGAACAGCTAGTTATTTTAATAAAATAAAAGTAGCCTAAGGTACTCCTTACAACATCAACTATCTGCCAGTGAAAGTCCCATCAAAATCGGTCCAGCCACTTTTGGAGATTAGCCGGAATAAACAGACAGACTGACAGACAAAAATTTTAAAAATTGTGTTTATGGTAAAGTACCGTATATATTTTCATATGCATGTAGTAATAAGCTGTTAATTTGACATTACAAGACACTTCAATTTTATTTATTTGTATTGCATAATTGTTGATTTGTGTTTCCCAACTAAAAAAGTAAAGGTTAATAACTCAAATAAAAACAATCGCATGTGGTTTAGTAAAGGCTTACTAAAAAGTTGTAACACAAAGAGAAAACTCCGATATAACTATTATACACATAAATCAGCAAGCAATAGACAGAAATATTTTACATATTCAAATATCCTAAAAAAATGTATAAATAAATCTAAGAGACTTGCAAACATTAAATTTATTCAAAACAGTAATAATAAATGTAAAGCAACGTGGTCTATAATAAAAAATGAAATAGGTATAACACAAAGCGAAGCTTCTGTTGACTGTCTAAAAATTGACGACTCCGACATAGCAAACCCGGAAGAAATATCCCAAATATTTAACAACTACTTTACAAACATCGGAAAAATTTGTATTAATAATGTAAACAATGCTGAAGGCTCTTATATTACGAACAATTTTAACTTAAGCACAATGTTCCTTAAACCCATGTCAGCAAATGAAGTAAAATTAGAGGTAATGACCTTAAATAAAACCAACTCTGTAGGCTACGATGGCATAAATATACACATATTGAAGTCATGCATTGATAAAATAATTGACATTTTGACTCATCTTGTCAATTTGTCATTCTCATCAGGAAGCTTTCCAGAAACATTAAAGTCCTCCATTGTAAAGCCTATACACAAACGTGGCAACAGAAACGTTGTTAGCAATTATCGTCCAATTACCCTTGTACCTATACTTTCAAAAGTATTTGAAAAGTGTATGTATAAAAGGCTCCTAGAATTTTGCAATAAGTTTAACATTATAAATAAAAATCAACATGGCTTTCAAAAACATAAATCGACTAACTTAGCTATTCATCACCTAATCAATACATTGTTGACCAATATTAATGATAATTATTTGACTACGGGACTGTTTTTTGACTTGACTAAGGCATTTGACTTTGTATCACACGATCTATTATTAAATAAATTGGAAAAAAATAGGAATAAGGGGTATTACGTTGCAATGGATTGCTTCGTATTTAACAAATCGTACTCAATGTGTCACGATAACAAAACTAATCAATAAAGAATTAAGAACATATAAATCCAACTGCATTGAAAATATTAATGGTGTTCCACAAGGCAGTATCTTAGGGCCCATATTATTTATATTATATATTAATGACATATCTGATGCGACAAGTCATGAATGTATTACATACGCTGATGACATTTCGGCTATAGTTAGGACTAAAAAAAATAAGAATTCAATATATAATCACGAATTGGACATAAATAATACAATTGATAATATAATTGAATGGCTACAAGCTCACAATTTAAAAATTAACTTGACAAAATCAAATTTTATTCAGTTTAATAAGTCAAAACATAACCAATACAATTTCAAGTTAAACATTACAAAAATCAATCAAATAGAAAAAACTAAATTTTTAGGTGTTGTCATAGACCAGAATCTGAACTGGAAAGCACATATCGATGAAGTTTGTAATAAAGTAAACAAATGTTGTTGCGCGCTCAACCAAATAAAAAAAGTGACTGACATAAAAACATCTGTTATGACTTACCGAGCATATGCCGAGTCTATACTCCGTTATGGACTGGTGATGTGGGGAAATAGTTCGGATTGGAATCGGGCTTTTATTGCGCAGAAAAATGCATTAGGGCAATCTGCGGAGTACGACCTGATGAATCGTGTCAGCCTCTATTTAAAGGTCTTGGAATACTGCCACTACCAACGATATATATTTTAGAAGTTTGTGTTTTTGTGCAGAGACACAAACAATTATTTGAAAAAGTTTGTGAGGTACAGACTACTCGCTCACGTAGGGACCCACACAAGCTAGTACTTAAGGATATACCTAAATCACAAAAATATGGCAAAAGTTGCCTTACCATGTGTGTCCGAATATATAACAAGCTCCCTGACGAACTTAAAACCCTAAATATTACATTGTTCAAAAAGAAATTGTACAAATGGCTGAATGAAAATAATTTCTATAGTGTAAAACAATTCTTAGAAAAAAATTAGATTATGTACTGGATAACATTTATTTAAAAAAAAATTCATTTAATTATTGTAATAAATATAAAATAATAAAATATAGTATTGTACAATATATCTTTGATTAAGCTGTGCGACTATTATTAGGTATTGAAATTGACATGTAATTAATTATTATAATATTATTTCTCTTTGTTAACTAAAACAGCTGACTAATGTACTTCAAATAGTTAAAGAAAATTTGATATTGTTTAAATATATTTGCATGCTATGTAAAATAAGCAAAACATGAGCGCTCGATTTTTACCTGTGAACAACATATATACCATGTTTTACGCAAATAAAGATTATTATTATTATTTTTTTCTTTTCTCTTTTTTTTTTCTCCATGTAGGGTATTATGATGATACGGGCTTTAAGCCAAGTAGTCATCATTTGCTGGTATTATTAATGTATTATCCAGAGCAGTTTCTGGGATTTGTAAAAATTTTCGCACTAAGCGACATGTATTTAAAATAACTGCTTTTTGCATTTTAATATATAAATTTGAGGGTAAATCTAATAACTTAAGGCAGTGATGCAAATATTTTGGTATTAATCCTGTAGCTGAGAGTACAATTGGGACGATGAAAACTTTATTTAATTTCCATATTCTTTTTATTTCTTCGCTCAGTTCGTTATATTTACTAATCTTTCCGGCTATTGTTTTTTGAATATTATGCGTATTTGGTACAGCTATGTCAATTAGAAAGGCTATGTTGTTAAGTTTGTCTTGCAAAACTATATCGGGTCGATTGTAATGGATGGTCTTATCAGTAAGTATGGCTCTATCGAAATATAGTTTATGTGAGGTGTTTTCTAACACAGGGTTGGGTTTATATTTGTAGTATGGTTGTAAATTGTTATCGATGAGTTTATGTTTCTGGGCTATCTTTTGGTGTATTATGTTTGCAATTTGATTATGCCTGTGGGTGTAATCTGTTGATGCTAAGTTTTGACATGCTCCTGTGATATGCTGTATAGTTTCTGGTACTAAATTACATTTTCTGCATTTGTCATTTAAAAGATTTGGTTCTCTAATTATAAATTTTCTATAGTTTTTAGTACTGATGACTTGATCTTGGATGGCATTTATAAAACCTTCTGTTTCGGCAAATAATGTGCCTATTGTTAAATATTTATTTGATGCTGATATATCTATATGTTGTTGGCATAGGTCATTAGCATGTCTACCATGTAATTCCTTTTGTTTCCATTGTTTTATTTTTTCTTTTTCTTGATCAATTTTATTATATGTCTCTTGAGTTTGGTTTGCGGCGAGTCTAAGTGGAGTATAGTTAGTATCATTGTGAACTATGACTTTATGGATATTGCTGCTTGTTGACTTCTCAAGGAAGAAGTTTTTAAGACGCATGATTTGGTTCTCTCTGAGCACGGTTATATCAATAAGACCTCTTCCGCCTTTGTCTCTCTTAATTGTCAATCTTTCAACAGCTGATTTGGGATGCAAGTATCTAAATTTAGTGAGTACTGTGCGAGTTTTTCGTTCCAAATTAATTGTGTCTGTTTTGGACCACCTAATTGTTCCAAAAGAATATGTTAAAATGGGTATAGCAAAGGTGTTAATTGCCTTTATCAGGTTTCTTGCAGTTAGTTGCTTTTTGCAGATGAGGTTGACCCTATTCACGTATTCTTTTGTAATGTTGTCCTTAATTCTTTTATGATCTATTTGGTTGGTTTGTTCTATACCTAAATATTTATAAAATTGTCCAGGTTCGAGACATTCTATAATCTCATTACTTGTAGTATCTATTATTATTATTATTATTATTATAGATATAGATTTCCAATATTGTTCCTCGACTCTTATGACGCCTATGACGGCCCCGTTGGTCCAGTGGTTGCACTAGTGCGACTGCTGATCATGAGGTCCAGGGTTTGAATGCCAGGTCGGGACAAAAATAAAATCAGTTAGTGGGTTTTTCCGTCAAGAAATTCTCAGTAGCTGCCCGGAGTCAGGCAGTTGGCGGTGTCTCACCCCTCGGATGTCTAATGCCTTGGGAAACACGTAAAACCGTTGGTCCTGATCTCTCTCCGGTGGTGTCGGTTTACTGTCACATCGGATTCTGAGAGTGTAGAGATTAGAGAGTGCCTGTGCTTGCGCAAACACTTGGGCACTATAATCCTGTCTTTAGGCGATGGCTAGTCTCTGTTGAAACCGGCCGCCGTGATCGAAATTCGGTCTGGACGTCATTATTATTATTATTATGACGCCTATAGAAATTTTGGAACGATCAATTATTTTACGTGGTAGAGCCCTGTTACAGCTATACTAGTAGTATAGTTGAAGCACGAATGTGTCGGCTCGACCGGGGAAGGACCACGCTCTCACAGAATACCAGCGTAAAATGGCAGCTTGATGCTGCTGTGTTTCGTATGGTGCGTGTAGAGAACCGGAGACCCATTTTACTGGAGAAGAGGCTTTCCATCTTAGTCCTCACGGGTGACGACGCATCTGCATTTTGATTCTTTATTGGGGATAGATGTAGATGTCTATGGGTCATAGCTACCACTTACCATCAGGTGGACTGTGTGCTCGTTAGTCACCATATCCTATTAAAAAAAAACCTACACCAAATGGAAAAAGTAAAACCATATTAATTAGGTCAATGCACTTCATTGTTGTCACCGTGTAGTGGGCGGAGTTAGAATATTCACTACCCTATCCTATATTGTCCCGTGGTTGTAATACGAGATCACAGAGGGAAATTAAAGCGGAATATGAACAGCAGCATCTTCCTGAAAACAACTCAAACATTACAAAAACTGCGGTATTCAAACCGCCTCTGCCAATTGTGGCAACTGATTGAAATTGACGGCTCCGTGGCGCAGTGGCTTAGCAATCAGTTGTTGCGCTGGGGGCCGCGGGTTCGAATCCCGCACGGAACAAGTATTTGTATGGCCTATAAATAATTGTTCCGGGTTTGGATGTTTGTCCTTGTGCAATTTATGTTTGTAAACTGCCTCCATGACACAGGAGAAAATCCTAGTGTGGGGGTAACGTTTTTTTTTTAAAAAAGAAAAAAAAAAGACTACCTATGTCAAAATTCTCCCTACGAGGCAATCTATGGGGTATATGGGCCTATGTTCAGCAGTGATCTTTTGATAGTCAGTAACGGTAACTTCATTATTGGACGTGGGTACTCTCTCAAAGTATGGAGGATTATCTATAATCGTTATTCTTCAAGCCGGAATGCCGATTGCAGTCCGTCTGCTAATTTACATCTATACAAATCTATATCTCCATCTGTTTGTAATGTCAAAATAACAGCTTTTCACTAAATGCATATGAAAGTATATACGGTACTTATAACGAAAACACAATTTTTAAATTTTTTGTCTGTCTGCCTATTTGTTCCGGCTAATCTTCGAAACGGTCGGGCCGATTTTGATGGTATTTTCACTGGCAGACAGCTGATGTCATAAGGAGTAACTTAGGCTACTTTTATTTAAAAAAAAGAATCAGGGTACCGCGCAAATAATCAATAAACCTAAATGTTCCTACCTAAATAAACGCACGGGCGAAGTCGCGGTAGTCGCGAAGCCAGGTATAAATGAGATTGTTATACCGCACATCTACTGTGGGCGATAACGAAATAATTATGTTATGAGAAAAAGAAAATAATGTCCACTAGACCGAATTTTTTTTTATAGTATCGGGTGACAAACGAGCTACAGTCCACCTGATGGTAAGTGGTTACTGTGATTCATAGACATCTACATCTATCCTCAATAAAGACTCAAGATGCAGATGCGTTGTCACCCGTGAGGACTAAGATGGAATGCCTCTTTGCCAGTAAAAATGATCTACGGTTCTCTACACTCACCATACGAAACACAGCAGCGTTAAGCTGCTATTTTACGTTGGTTTTCTGTGAGAGCGTGGTCCTTCCCCGTTCGAGCCGACCCATTCGTGCTACAACCATAATATAGCTGCAGCATGGCTCTACCACGTAGATAATTTCGGTCACGGCGTGCCATTATCTCCGACAGCGACGAAGATCAGCGCAGTATAGGATTACAGTGCACAGAGTCAGAGTCGTAGTCCGATTGGCGGGTTCGAACCCACGACCTTTCGAGTTCGCGGTTCGCGCACTGCCATTAGGCTACTGACGATTTTAAACCTTACGACGATCTTTAACCTAACTTAACCAACTTTAGAATTTTTTTATGTATGTTCACCGATTACCCGAAGACGCCTGAACCGATTTGGAAAATTCTTTTTTATTTCAAAGCGTATACTTTCCACGTGGTCCTATTTAAATTTTATCGAATTCGATCGAGCGGTTTTAAAAAAATCAACAATAAATCAAATATATACCTATATTTGAAAGTCACATTTCACACTTTCGTTAATTTGCAAGAAAAACTTCCCTTAATATTTGTGGCAATTTTAGTAGTGATTTATCAAGTGCTCGACGGTAAAGAATCGTCGTCAATATCATGATAAAACATCTGAAAACCAACAAAAACATATTTAGAGAACATGTAGTCTACAAATACACAATGGAGCAGGCGAGCAGGAGAAAAGACTGCGCTTGAAACGTTTTGATAGTAAGAGAAACACATGTACCCTTTATATATACTCGCTACATACTTAAAAAATATATATAAACTAACCAATAACGGCAAAGGTGCCGCTCTCATACGCTGTACGGCAGCGTTCAGCCTTCGTAATTGCTGCAAGCTGTCATCCAGGACGCCAGGACTGTGCGGCGTCACGCTTATTGTAGGCACCTGTAATGATAATTAATGTTTAATACTGCAAAACTGGACGCGCGCCTCTTCTCATTCTCCTCGACCAACAAAAAGGACCCAACTTCTATTTTTTCCGTACATTTCCGGTCGACATCATTTGAATCCTTTTATACACTATTTGGCAACATCCTATTCTTTTATAGGATAAGGAGGCACACAGTCCACCTGATGGTAAGTGGTTGCCGTACATCTATCCTCGTTTGCGAAACAAAATGCGTTGTCAGCCGTGAGGGCCAAGATGGAATACCTCTTTTCCAGTAAAAAGAGTTTCCGATTCTCTACACTCATCATACGAAACAGAGTAGCATTAAGTTGCATTTTACGCTGGTCGACCCATTCGCGCATTTTCACATTTACTAATAACATGGACTACTCGGATAATTAATATCTGGGCATTAGGTAAACAAAATTATTTTATCTTAAAATTATTTTATCTTTAACGGTGGTAGAGCCACACAGCAGTTTTTGCTGTTGCATGTATGGGCCGGCTCGAGCCGGGTTGGTACCACGACCTCGCAGAATACCGGCGTGAAGTAGAAGCTTTGCTTCTGCGTTTCGTCTGGTGAGTGCAGGTGGCCGGAGGCCCAATCCCCCCCCCCCCCCCATCAACATGATAGCGGAATTACACGAAGAACTACCCCAGGAGGGTACCAGCACCCCTGGAGAATCCCTCGCTGAGCATCCACGACCATGTTATTCCGATCCTGAGCGTGGGTGCTCAGGCTGCCCCGCGTATTCTGGGGGGGGGGGGCAAAATTCCGCTCAAAAGCATTACTGCTAGGCGCAAACTGAGCAAGAACACCAAGGCGACCCCTGCCACGCTATCCGTGAATTTCTGCAACATCAGGGGACTTCACTCTAACCTAAACGCCGTCCACTACCATCTCGAGACGGCAAAGCCGGCCTTGCTCTTTCTGACCGAGACGCAGGTTTCCTCTCCGGCTGATATTTCGTATCTCTCCTACCCGGGGTACAAATTGGAGCATTCCTTTGTGCCTCGGGCTGGAGTTTGCGTGTATGTCAGAGAGGACATCTGTTCTCGACGCCTCGGCAGTCTTGAAGGTTCGGACCTGTCCATCCTTTGGCTACGCGTAGACAGAGACGACCATCCGCGCGTCTACGGGTGCCTCTATAGGTCCCATAGCGGTAATGCCGAAACAGACCGACTCATCGACCACGTCCAAATGGCTACAGATTTCTTGCTACAACAGGTCCCAACCGCAGAGATCGTCATCCTTGGCGATTTTAACGCCCACCATGCCGAATGGCTCGGTTCACGTCTAACCGATCATGCGGGGAGATCTGTTTATGACTTTGCCTTTGCATATGGTCTGACACAACTGGTTACTTCGCCTACGCGGATTCCAGATGTGGAGGATCATACACCTTCCCTGTTGGACCTTCTGCTGACCTCTCATCCGGACGGATATCTGGTTTCCGTCGATGCCCCTCTCGGCTCTTCGGACCATTGTCTGATCCGGAGTGTGGTGCCACTCACGCTCCCTTCGCGGTTGCGTTCTGCAGGTTGCCGCCGTGTTTGGCATTACAGGTCGGCGGATTGGGACGGAATGCGGTCCTTCTTTGCATCCTACCCATGGGGGCGGGTTTGCTTCTCGCCGGATGATCCCAGCGCTGTTACTGACTCTGTCACTGATGTGGTGCTACAGGGAATGGAACTATTTATTCCATCATCTGTGGTACCCATCGGAGGCAGATCTCAGCCTTGGTTTGGTCGCTCCTGTAAGACTGCATTACGCAGTAAGCAGGAGTGTTATCAAGCCTGGGCTGCGGCTTCGGCGACTCGGGATGTAAATACCAGCACACTTAAAAAGAAGTATAACTTCGCCTCACAGTGGTAGAGCCACGCGGCAGCTTTTGCTGTCGCACGGATGGGCCGGCTCGAACCGGGGTGGTACCACGACCTCACAGAATACCAGCGTGAAGTAGAGGTTTACCTCTGCGTTTCGCTTGGTGAGTGCAGGTGGCCGGAGGCCCTTTTTACTGGAAATGAGGCATTCCATCTTAGTCCTCACGGGTGACAACGCATCTGCATTTTGATTCGCAATCGAGGATAGATGTAGATGTCTATGGGCCGCAGCAACCACTTACCATAAGGTGGACTGTGTGCTCGTTTGTCACCCTTATCCTATAAAAAAAAAAGGTCCTTCAATAGAGTTATTGCCAAGGCAAAGTCAGAGCACATAGGCAGAATTGGCGAGAAACTAGTTCGCCTTCCTTCGGGAACCCGTGCATTCTGGTCTCTCGCCAAGGCTGTCCAAGGGAATTTCTGTAAGCCATCACTACCATCTCTGCACAGGGAGGATGACTCACTGGCCCATGACGCAAAAAACAAAGCCGACCTTTTAGGCTCCCTTTTTGCGTCCACCTCGACTCTTGATGACGGGGGGAAAACACCGCCGACCATCCCGCGGTGTGAGTGCTCCATGCCGGATGTGCTGTTCTCACAGCGCTCGGTTCGCAAAGCACTGCTCTCCCTGGACATCCAGAAGTCGAGTGGGCCTGACGGAATCCCCCCAATTGTGCTGAGGACGTGTGCTCCGGAGTTGGCACCGGTCCTAACGCGTCTTTTCCGGTACTCCTACTCCCAAGGCGTAGTCCCGAATTCATGGAAGACAGCTTTTGTCCACCCGATCCCTAAAAAAGGCGACCGCTCAGACCCATCCAACTATAGGCCTATCGCGATCACCTCCTTGTTCTCCAAAATAATGGAATCCATTATTAACTGCCAGCTCATCCGGTACCTTGAGGATCACCAGCTGATTAGTGACCGCCAATACGGTTTTCGTCGGGGTCGATCAGCTGGTGATCTTCTGGTCTACCTGACCCATAGATGGGCGGAGGCAGTAGAGTCCAAGGGGGAGGCGTTGGCCGTAAGTCTGGACATTGCGAAGGCCTTCGATCGAGTTTGGCACAAAGCGCTTCTTTCGAAGCTCCCTTCCTATGGGCTTCCCGAAAAATTGTGCAATTGGATCACCAGCTTCCTTGTAGATCGGAGCATCAAGGTCGTTGTAGACGGTGCATGCTCTGACTACAAGCCTATTAACGCTGGTGTTCCACAAGGCTGTGTGCTATCACCAACGCTGTTTCTTCTGCATATCAATGATATGTTGCTAACTGGTAACATTCATTGCTATGCGGATGACAGCACTGGTGATGCTCTATACACCGGCCGTGCCAATATTTCTCGGGAAAACGTCGCTGAGTACCGGAACAAACTTGTGTCTGAAGTCGAGTCTTTGCTGAACAAAGTCTCGGATTGGGGGCGACTAAATCTAGTCCAATTTAATCCTCAGAAGACACAAGTTTGCGCGTTTACCGCTAAAAAGAACCCCTTTGTCGTATCTCCTCAGTTTCAAGGCACTCCCCTTCTTGCCTCAGCCAGTATCGGTATCCTCGGAGTCGACATATCGAGTGACGTGCAGTTTCGTGGTCACTTGGAAGGGAAGGCCAAATTGGCCTCTAAAAAGCTTGGCGTGCTCAGCAGAGCGGGACAGTATTTCATGCCGGCACACCGCCTGCTACTTTACAAGGCGCAAGTTCGGCCTCACATGGAATACTGTTCCCATCTCTGGGCAGGGGCTCCCCAGTGCCAGCTCCTTCCACTTGACCGCATCCAACGCAGAGCGGCTCGAATTGTCGACGACCGAGCCCTTTCCGATCGGCTCGATTCATTGGCACTGCGAAGAGATGTTGCATCCCTTTGCATTTTCTTTCGCATCTACCATGGGGAGTGCTCTGAGGAATTGTTCGGATTAATCCCAGCCGCCAAATTTCACGAACGCACATCGCGGCAGAACTCCCGATACCATCCACACCATCTGGATGATTGGCGGTCCACCACTGTGCGATTTAGAAGATGTTTTCTTCCTCGCACGACCTCCTTGTGGAATCGATTACCATCAGCGATTTTTACGGACCGATACGACTTAGGGACCTTCAAGAAAAGAGCGTACTCCTTTTTAAAAGGCCGGCAACGCATCTGTGATTCCCCTGGTGTTGCAGTTGTTCATGGGCGGCGGTAGTCACTTACCATCAGGTGAGCCGCATGCTCGTTTGCTCCCTCTCCTATAAAAAAAAAATTTTGGTAATTTAATTGACAACATTCAGTACTCACATCATCGTAATTGAAAAAATAATAGTGTGACACTGGACATTTTTGCTCATTTTATTGCACTGCGTCATATCCTGGACACCCAGAGTCAATAGTTGTGCGAAACACAAAATTGCATTGTAACCGGAACTTTCTTTAATGGCATGATAAATTGATATTATTTACCACAGCGTGTATTCAAAAATCATTAGAACAAAAAGTGCTACAATTTTAGTAGTCATGAGAGCCATGGTAGCCCAGGGGTTAAGCGCTCGCTGTAAATAATCTAAATTTAACAGTACGTAAGCAACCTGGGTTCAATCCCCACCGGCACCAATGAAATTGTCAATTGCAATTTTCACTGCTGATTTACCACCTGCTCGGCGGTGAAGGATAACATCGTGAGGAAACCTGCATGTCTGAGAAATAAGAAAAAAATATTTCGAAGACATTTGAAGTTCGCCAACTCGCATTGGGGCAGCGCGGCGGACATTTCCTTGCCCTAAAACCCTCTCAGAAATCAGGTGGTCTGTGCCCAGTAGTGAGACGTATAAATAGGCTGTAACTCTACTTTACCTTTTTGTAGTCGGAAATCATCATGAAAGTCATAATTAATTTACAGGGTTTTATGTACATATATAAATTTGCAGAGAAGGTTCAATAGTACGTAATATAGGCAAATGGTGAAAAAAAAAATTAACAATAATCTCCAACATACTGTCCTTTTTATCTTTTAAATTCAAAATTTGTAGTAATGCTTATTTTAACTTCTTGTACTATTATTTCTTCTGTGTTTTAACTGATATTACTGCGCACGCACACATTCGTACGGGTCGATCGGTATGCAAAAACGTTGTTGCCCATAAATCACATTCAATTTGGGATAATTTCAAATAAAAGTAGAAGCCTTATTTACTCGTATTTTCAAAAACTGCAATAACAAATTCAAATATATAAATATTGATAAACCAAGTATAAAATTTAGCTACTCTTTGAAAAGTAACCCTGTATACCATTATATAAAATACGAAATATAAATAACATACTAAATAGTAAATACAAAATCAGTTGTATTGTATTGTACCGCACCAATTAGCGAGGGGATCGTACCTGCGCCCTGGCGGCCGCCATGTTGTCGGGGGGCGCGGATCTCGGCACGTGCTCGGTCACCTCGTCCTCGCTGCTGTCCGCACGTGACTCCGAACTCCCGCCGCCCTCGTCTGTCAATAACAGCCACTGTTAGTACTTTAAATGTGTTATATAAGTAGAATAGAGAGCTGAAATTTAATTTTAAATGTATAAAAGCCAACTGGCTTTTATACATTTAAAATTAACAAAACAAGTGGTAAAATTAAAAAAAAAAATTGTACAACCGACTTCAATATACGAGGGCGACACTGAAAGTTTTTAGAACCGGTAAACGATACAATAAAAAAATAAGTTCAAATTTTGAAAATGGAACTTTCCCAATATTATTGTGTATGTATTTTATTAATTTGTCATTTGTTTACGATTTGGCGGCAAATTGAGAAAATTGTCTGTGTCACGTCAGCATGAATTTAAGGCCTTAACAGTGGTTGAAATGTCTAAATCGTGGATATTTAAGTAAAAAAATCTCAATAACTGTTCTTTTAATCCACAAAAAAAAAAATACAGGGTAACAAAAGTGGATTTGGTAAATGCTTTTAATTGAACAAAATTGTATTTTTGTCAACCCCTTATTAGGAAAAAAATCCCCAAAGTGTGCCTATCTTTGTCATATTTTGCAACATTTCTCCAAAACAGCACAAGCTTTTTAAATAGTTCTTACACTAAAAAAAAGGTCTTAAAAATATTAATATTTTTAAAACCTTTTTAGTTTTTAGTTTTAAAGTAAATCATTACAACTTGGGGCGATCCCTGTCAATACATTCACTATCACTATCCGTACAGCCCATCGCAAGTCCACTGTTTGCCGGTACGAGGCTGCCACTCTAAAACCTTTCTTTCCTACCTGTTGTCGGATCTTCGAGCTATGTGGTTGGACCATTGCCACTTTCAGCTTACTGATCCGCCGGACTATGCAACTCTTGTTCTTTTAGGAATGTTCTTCTAACGGATTTTATTTACAGAGAAATTCCCGGCATAGCCCATTCCATTAACGCCGAGTGATTCTGGGCTAAGTCTATACATTATATCTACTTCTACATAGTATAAAACCAGTCGCTTACGCAGTACGCTGTACGCTTACATCTTTTAAACTACGCAACGGATTTTCATCAATAGACAGAATGATTCAAGAGGACAGTTTATATGTATAATACATGCATATTATATAAGTAATTATTCTGTCCGTGTGTATGTGACTGAACTCCTACTAAACCGCTGGACCGATTTTAATGAAATTTTGTGTGTGTGTGTGTGTGTGTGTGTGTGTGTGTGTGTGTGTGTGTATGTGTGCGTGTGTGTGTGTGTATGTGTGATAAAGTTGATTAGAGAACGGTTTAGAATCACAATACATATCTCATAATCAATTATTATTTAAGCATAGATAAATAGTAACTGTCCCATTTTATACGCATATAAGTGTAAGCAGAGTAATAAATTATGCTGAATTAAAAAGACTTGTATCAAAACCAAGCGGTCCTTATTTCATAGATATGAACAGTGAGAAGAATCTTTATCAACAAACCGTCTGTAAATCCATCTTGACTCCCGCTCGAGTCGGAAGTTATCCGCAATCGCAAACTGGATAAGGAAACGGATATTGATTTTCAATCATTCGTAATATTGACGCCGAGGTAAGGCATCGGAGACTTTTATTGCCAGTTAGCGGATTTCGAAGGTTTTTAAAATTAATTGATTGCTCATGATTTTATTACAAACACTCAATTTGAACGGCGTGTTTTGGCGCAGGGAAGGGAGCTCTGCTCTCGACTACTCTACGTACGGCCTGTGAATTTATAACGGTACCATAAACCTGTAGGGACACAGTAGTTACATACATTTTGCTCATTTGACATTTTACACTTGTGTCCGAAGTGCGCTCGATAATCGACTCAAAATTACTGTAATAAATAAATTTTCTTTATAAATAAAATGATACCAGGTTTGCAATTGTGCGCATTTCACGGAAAAATTACTGGATACATAGGTTTTCTAACTTTTATTTTTTAGACACTGGGCCCTTATCTAAAAATATTGCTATATCTTCATTTAATATAAAGTTATTAGCTTTTTTTTTTAACCTCGTGCCTCTGAAAGCACTTAAAGGCGTTGGTCCTGCGACTGATCTCCACGTCTCTCTGGTCGTGTCGGTTTGCCGTCCCATTGGACTATGAGAGCGAAGGAATAGGTAGTGCACCAGGTCTTGCGCATATACTCGAGCACTACAATCCTGTCCAGCAGATATTATTGTTTCTTGTCCAATACTGTGAAAATATTGTATGAAAACTTAAAGGTGAAACTCGGTTGCTATAATTTGACTGAGAGCAAGAACAAATTAGTCAAGTGGTGGCGGCATTAGAGAATTCAAAACCTCATTTCGTTCCATGGTGGTCTTAAGAGGTAACAGCTTATGGCTTCCGATAGCCATTAGTCTCACAGAATACCAGCGTAAAATAGCAGCTTAACACTGTTGTGTTTCGTATGGTGAGTGTAGAGAACCGGAGACCCTTTTACTGGAAACAAGGCATTCCATCTTAGACCTCACGGGTGGGTGACAACACATCTGCGTTTTGATTCGTAATCGAGGATAGCCGTAGATGTCTATGGGCCACAGCAACGACTTACCATCAAGTGGACTGTGTGCTCGTTTGTCACCCTTATCCGAAGGTGTCTGGTTCTGCGATCGCTAATGCCTACTAACCGCAACGATTAATACGGCAAATCTACCCTCCTAATAAGAGACTACGGGAAGGAGAAGAGAAGGGACTTTTATGGGCTGATGGGGAAAAAGATCACCAGCTGAACGCCCCCTACGGAAAACACACTGACGTACCGCACTAATCAGCTGAACACAATAATAGAAATAAAATGAACCAAAGGCAGAAAAGATTGAATAACTCCTAAAGCATTTCAGATGCACAGTATAATTGAATTTTCTAGTGATTGTTTGCATATGATGGATTCTAAGCGATCTAAATTAAACTTCTATTCATACACTGCCGGCCAAATGTTTAAGACCACACATAATTATCTATAAATTGTAACGAAATTCCATAAGATAAATAAAAGAAATGTACACCTGCATATTCTATTGTTAATATCGAATATCCAGTCATTAATTTTTTCACTTTCAAGTTATTGGAGAATAAACATGTATTGTTGTCAAACACCGACAAACGCTGCGTTAGAGCCAGGTGGTAGAGTCGTAATAATATTTTTATGATGGGCTAATAACTAATTGCTCTGCTTTTGTTTCCCATTGGTCAATAATTAGGATTATTTAGCTTCTAAAAACACGTGTTTCCGACTTATTATTATCTGAGTATACATGGTTTTGTTCACAATCTCAATTAGTCTAAACTTGTGGTTTCTAAAGTGAAGACGTCTTAAAATGGGAAAAGCACGCGAAATTAGCAGTGAAGTGCGTTCTGCCATCGTTGTTTTACACAATGAAGGCAAATCCGAACGTGAGATTACTTTAAAATTGAAGTTATCGAAGACTTGTGTTCATGGCACAATAACTCGATACAGGGACACAAGCACTTTTCAAGATCGTCCACACTCAGGAAGACCGAGAGCTACCACGTCAAGTGAAGATCTTTTCATTGTTGTTACCAGCAAGCGAAATAGACGCTTAACAGCACCGGAAATCCGCGTTGAAGTAAACAAAACCCGAGTTAAACCTTTATCATTGACTACAGTAAAACGGCGACTAAGAGATGCGAAATTGTATGGTCGTGTCGCCGTTCGAAAACCTCTGCTACGGTCAAAAAAAAACGGATGCAATGGGCCCTTGCCCATCGAAATTGGACTGAAGAAGATTTTAAAAAGTTCTTTGGACCGATGAATCCTAGTTTGAGCTATTCGGTTCAAAACGAAAAATTTACGTTCGACGCAGTGACCAAGAAAAGATGATGCCAGACTGTGTAGTCCCAACAATCAAGCATGGTGATGGCTCAATTATGGTCTGGGGTTGCTTTTCTAGCTTTTCTAAAATTGACGGAATTATGGAAAACTTTAAATTTTAGAACAAAATGCAGTTCCTTCGGGGTTGCGATTAATTGGCAAGCCTAAGCATAGCTCAAAATTATATAATAGATATTTGAAGAGAAAGAGGCACAAGGGGTGTTAAAAAATGTGGTTTGACCTCCTCAGAGCACGGATCTCAATCCCATTGAACTTTTGTGGGAAGAGCTTGATAGGAACGTCCGTAATTGTGCTCCATCCTCGCGAGAAGAAATGTGGAATGCTTTGTGCGAAATTTGGAGTAATATATCACAATACACTATCAACAAATTTATTGCCCGTATGCCGAGACTTGTGAAAAAAGTCATAGAATGCAAAGGAGGATTTTTGATGAAAAATCAGTTTAGCTAACTATAGCCTTTTCTTAGCATGGACTGTTAATATTTCTTTACGCTTTTCAAGTATATTGATTGTCAAAAAGTGTTTTATTGGATGATTTAACAGTTTAATTAAACATTTAATATTTTATTGGAGTTTTATTTAGTTTTCCTACTTTAATTTAAATTTAAGGTGGTCTTAAACTTTTGGCCTGCAGTGTACATCTTCTATATATAAAAAATACATGCGTGAGTGTCGTGGAACACTCGGTTGGAACGAAGTTCCTTTTATAGTATATTATTATTGATAAACGTATTATATTATTGATTAACAAATATAAATAAATTAATTATTAGCGTTTCTTAAAATGAAGCGTAATTTAAAATAAAATACACTATGACACAAGGGGTAGTGACGAAAAAAATCTTACACTTTTTGTTACCTAGCTCACATCCGCCAAACCCGTTCCGTCGATAAGGAACTTCGTTTCAAAAAAAACATACGAGAGTGTCGTGGAACACTTGGTTGGAACGAAATTCGTTTCGTAGTATATTATAATTGTTGATAAATGTATTATATTATTCATTAACAAATTCAAATAAATAAATTACTAGCGTCTATTAAAATGAAGCCTCATTTAAAATAAAATAATTTTTTTTTCATGGCAAGATAAGAAACAGTGCGTGGGAGATGAATATTATTCCATCTCGCTTCGTTATAGCCGCCAAGG